CCAAGTTGTCCCTGTCAGAATACCACAATTTTAACAGAGATGGGTATCTGATCTGATTATGTGCTTCCTTAACAACTGGTTGGAAGTGAGGATCCACAAGTTTTATTGCATTAGAAACTCCCTTGGCCTGAGGTTCTGTCAGGCAGCATTTTATGAATATATTGTTGACATCAAATTCCTGTGGACAACACAAAGTATCTAAGTCACAAATGCTAGTAATAAATCAATCCCAAGCAATCAACCCCACAGCCCAGCTTTTGTTGTCATCTATCATAATTGAAATTGGTGTTTAAAAGCAGAGAAACACAAATAACATAACATTATGAAGAAACAACCTCTTGAACCCTCCAAAATACCATGCACTGTAGCACAAGTATTTGGTAAGTACTAATTTTTACAGATGTTTTGAGTAATTCTTATTCCAGAGAAGTTCCTGCACAAAAAAAACCCTGCAAAGTAAAACGATTCAAAATTTTCCATGTATCTTCAATCCAACAAAATAAATAAATAAATAAAAAAAACTGGATGGGAATTAGGTGCCAAAATGCAATCTTCCTTTTCAAATTTACATAAGTATTATAGAATTGTCATGACCAAATTCCTACAAATGTACATGCAAGTGAACAGTGCTATTAACCCTTCCATTTCCAAGATCTCATGTTGTTACTTCACAGATTTTGGTATTGGATCAATTGATAATCCTCTCACTGATATTTTTCTCTATTCTCATCACATGTCTGTTTGATATTGTATTATTGTTGCAAAGAAATTCTGTCTTGGTAATTCATGTGAGTTAATAGGCTAACACCTATAAAAAATAATGCACAGGTATTGTACTAACAAATGTGAATACATGAAATCATATATGTGAACTGTGGTTTTTAAGAAATGAAGATGAAAGTGATCTTTGCAGTTATGAACACTACTTATAAACAGTAATTGTAAAAACAAAAGCCAAAAATAATTTATCCCATACAGGCCTGAAGTTTTTCTTAAGGCCTTATTTTTACTACTGCTTAAATAGTCTTCATTACTGCGAAGATCACTTTCATATTCAGGTATTGCACTGTTTGACTGAAGACACATGTACATGTAAGTACAAGTTGTATTCATTTGCTAACCTTTCGTTTCATTTCATCAAGAATTGTTTGCACTCCTTCTTTATTGCCATATTTTCCATAGCCATGTAGTAATGCAGCATATGTTCCCATGTCAGGTTCTAGTCCTTCAGTGTTCAATAAATTCCACAAAAACTTGATGCTCATGATGTTGCCTTTCTGAGCCCAACCATGAAGCAATTTGTTGAAAGTGTCAACTTCAAACCTTTTACCCATTCGCAAATATCTGTTGAACAACTTTTCAGCTTCCTTAGGCTAGGGAGTGAAAAGGGCACTGATCAGTACATCCAAGTATATTGAAACCTTCAAAACATTTTATGCCAAAAAAAAAATGATATACCAGTATGTAGATTGTGTAGTTTGCTGTGATATTTTTCATCTTACCTCAAATTGACATTTAGGAATGATCAGTATGCACATTTTAAGGCCCCCTTCAACACATTAATTCTAGCTGACCAACCAGTCAATTTGGAAACATATACAGACTGTACAATTTTTAATTCCACTAAAACAGAAGCCACAATTTTGAAATTATGGATCTGATTGGAAATACACATGTAGTATAATTGCAGTATATGATCCCACATCAGGTTTGTGTCCTTTGTTATTCAACAAACCACATGAAAAATTGATTTTTACACACAGTACATAATGTTTCTAACTGTTCTCAAATGAAACAGAATGTTGATTAAAATTAGAAGGAGACACCCTTGGTTAAAACAGAGGGCAAGCAGTATCAGAGGGTGAGTGGTCTAAAAGTAGTGACAGTTAGTCAAGTCTACTCTCAAGCTCAAAGGCCAACACTGTATGGGTTTACTCCAGTTTCTGAGGTGCAAAACAGAAAAGGGTTTTGCTATTCTCCCTGGATGGGATGCCAGTGAATCTTAAATTAGCCAACATATCGCTAGAGGTTTTCCTAACAAGTCCCTAGCATCCATAAACTGAATACTTCTTGGTGGAAACAGGTACCGTAGGACTAAAGAATCTTTCCCACAAATACTAAACCATGAAATAAAAACATGATGTTGACCCACTCCTTCCAAACTCAGGTGCCAAGCAAAGTAACTGTCAGATCCCTGAGTCTCCATCAAGAAGAATTACAAATTCAAACTCTGGTTGACAACTTACTTTTCCAAGGTAAAGGTATGCATCCATTTCAGCCAAAGTCTCCTCTTTGAACAATCTTCCTCCTGGAGTTCCGTCTTTGTATTTTGCAGGTCCTTCGAAATATTCTCCAGGTGCATTTCCACAGAGAGGTTTTGCCACATCCCCTTGTACTTCCACATTGCATACATGCTGATCAATGCTGCCGTCAATGTCCTCAAATTTACTTTGTTCATGGAAATGTTCCTCTGCTTCAATTAAAACAACCTCTGGACTATAATCTAAAGAGTGAGTTTCATTATCATTAATTACGCCACTCACTCGAGAGGTTGTCGTTTCCATAATTTTTTTTGATGGATCAGATTTCTTCTTTGCTTTTGTATTGTTTGTTCCACTGAGCTGTCCTTTTCTATTTGTAACTGACACTTGATCCACTTTCTTTTTAGTGTTAATGTCATCTTTACTCACATTTGGCCAAACAATATCAGTGCTTTGTCTTCTTGATTTTGCTTTGCTACTCTCCATTCCCTTAATTTTCTTCATTACAGGTAATGTTAATTTTGAAGCTGAACTCAGCTGATTTTTCACTTCATTACTGATTTCTTTGATAATGTTCTCATCTCCATTTGATTTCATAGTGTCATTCACTATTTTTACTGCCTCACTTTTCTTCACATTCTTTTTCTTTGTGTTATTTCCTGTGGCTTTAATTTTCTTCTTTGTGTGTGTTGGCTCGTTGTCAGTCGAAGACTCATAATTTGTAACCTGGATGGCATTTTGTTGTTGAAGAGGATATGCTTGAGTAGTAAACAGGCAAGTAAGCAGCTGATTACTTGACCTTGGCCCTAACAAGGTTTTCTTCAAGTTCCTCTTAGCTGCATTTAACAACATTAGACAGAGAAAGGTTAAAATGTACCAAACATAATACCACATCATACAAGTACAGATATCCATATTGATTAATGTATTTTGCACTTGAGGAACTTAGGACCTCTATAGGACACTGTGGTTAGAGATGTACAATAATGTATGCGTAGTTGGTTTAAATGCCGATATTATCGTTAGCCAGCACATTATTAACAAAAGTGCTATTTAAATTCATGTAATAACAAACCAATGAAGTTATGAATTACAACCACTTCACACTAAAATTAAACCGGAGACAGAAGTAAATCTTCGCATCCAAAAAGACATACATGTAATCACAGCGTAATTGCAAAGTAAGTGGTGTACAACATGTCACGATCGAACTAACACGTGCGACTGACACGATATTATGCTTATTCTGATTAAATTCTGCTGTGATACAAAATCAATTTGCTTAGCTCCACGAAAGTCTCCATTTCGTAATCGTTTAATTCACATTGCTTCGATTGGCACAAACTAGTCAGTAGTAGTAATGTAATGCACAACCAAGCTGCCAACACGTGAGGGTTGAAACACAAGAATATTCTAGTCTACAGAATTCTTACCTAAACACGTAGGCGCAAACTCTACGTTGTGATGTAGTAAAAAACAGGAGCTGAAGGAACTTCTTCCTGTCAATAAACGCTCCAAGGAATAACCTGCACCAAAAACTGGCCGATGTCGACGGCAAATCTGCAAAAACGCCATATTCACTCGCCATTTTCCATTCTGAGTCCGCAACAGCGATCAGTTGGGTATCAAAGTAATATATAAGTACGTCATGTACGAGAACGCACGCAATCCCGGTGACTGTAAGTACATATGGCTAAGTATTTGTCGAATCGAGGAGGAACCCCAGAAGTACAGGACAATTTTATAAGAAAATTTTCGTAGCGCTACAAATTATGCAGCTGGCTTGTGCGAGTTAATTTTGCAAAACCGCTTTGAAAATGATAAAGAATTCAGAATTCACAAAATAAAATAACTTCAACCCTGGTCTACCCCCCATAGGATTGCCCGTTAGCTAGATAGAAGTGCTCGGAGTTGGATTTGGTTGGTTGGTTGGTTAGTTCGATTTAAAGATTTTTCCCTAAGAATCCAATGTTACTTTATAACTAAATCAAAGCTGCCACCACTTCTTTTTCTCTTCTCTAAATTTTGCGTCCACTCAATAGACAATCAACCACATTTGTTATGAACAGCTGTACTGCTGCGTTGAACCGTTTGGAAAGTTCCACCTGAAAATCTCATGTATTAAGGGGCACAGTTTTTTCTTCAGTGGGATTTAAACACCAACGACTCTATTAGCCTACATGTGGCCGTTCCCTCCCCCTCAGGGTGAAACGCTTCCGTGTCACCTTAAGGGAGAGGGAGGGTACAGTTACACGTAGGTTACGAGTACAAGAGGGAGATTTACAGAGTAAATCAAAGCAATTTGCACGGTTGTTTCGAATGTCCAAAGTAATCTGGGATTACAGTGGTTTTGTTTGACTTCGCTTTCCGATTGGTCTAGAAAACTCGTGCCGCCCTCTCAACCAATAAGATGCTTAACCAAAACCAACCGCGAATTAGTCACTCGCATTTTCTCGCCCTCCAGGAAGCTTACCTTTGCAAATTTCCTCTGTTCTGGTTGGGGGTTGTGACTACTCGATCGAACTGCTCTCTGCTACTGACAAAAATATTTGAAAAGGCGAGGCAGACTTTTAAAACCCCAGACAAACGCCTACTTAAAAGTGTGCTTGTCGTTCTTCTTTTATTTGGCCTAAATACTTGCACTACATAATCTTCAACACACCCACAGACGTAAAAAATAAAGCTGAAACAATTCGTTTTTGAAACATGTTTACAACTCTAAAAACGAACACGTGTACATTAAAATAGGTACAGTTTATTTATACTAACACAAACAAAAGTAGAAAGCATCTCTACAATTTCCAATCCAACTTTTCACGCATTTCGCTCAATTTTCTATGGAACGTTCTTCATAGTGAAGGATGGGTATCCAATTATTCGTTAACAAATATATTGAGTCAAAGAACTACAATAAAGTTAATAACTAGAGATGCAAATTTATTGGAAACAGACTGGGCCGAGCTCGAATTTGACTGGCTTCTGTTGTGTGGTGGAAATGTCCTTCAAAGGAAGTAGGTCTTTTTGGTCGATGGAATGAACTTCGTTCTGGCCGCTCTGAAAATAAAAAATTAATGTATTGAGATCTCGGATATCACAAACCGTCTAGGGCCCGCTTCCCCAGGAGTGAATTTTACCCCGGATATCTTAGAAACTTTGTTTCTTCGAGTCCTAATGAAATCAAGCCCAGGCCCACTTTCTCGTGAGTAAATTTTAACCTCAACATTTTGGTATCTCCGTTCTTTCGAGTCCTAGATATATCACACTTGAGCTGCTCCCCCGGGTGTGGATTTTACCCCGGATATCACTTCGAGTCCTAAATATTTGGACCCGCTTCTCAGGGGGAAAATTTTACCCTAGATATCTTTATATCTCCCTTCTCTCGATAGATATAACACACTTGGGCCTGCTTTCCCGGGAGGCCTTTTAAGGCTGGTTATTTATCATCTTTCCGCAGGTTCAAGCTAACAGGATTTTTCTAAAAACGGTTAACATAGCAAGCAGAGTAAACTGGTGTCTTCTCTTACCGACAATAAAGTGTATCTATAAATAAATATTTTTTTACCGTGCATCTAGGGTGATCTGTTGTGATCTTTTGTCCGTTAAAAGTCGATATGGTCAGGTCATCGGCATTGCTAAGGCATTCATGTGAGATGTCTTGGACACCTTGCTTGCTCAGAAGTTTAAGGAACTTGAACTGTGTTGGACTTGCCTCGTAGGAGAACTAAAAAATCCGGAGTAAACAGACAGACAGACAGAGAGTCAGTCAATCAAAATTTGACGGCACAACGGGTAGGCCGGCAGCAAACAGGCAAAACATTTTAAACCGCACAAAGTATTTTCCTCAGGAACTGTTCACTAAATTCTTAGGTTGATAGGTTACCATGCTCTTGTATTGATAAAACGCGTAAATACCTTGAGGATCTCTCTTGAATTGTCACCCTGAAATTATAAGAGGGCATGTCAGGTTTTACCTTACCCCACTTCTAACGAGAAAAAAGCATGTAACGAACAAACTTACCAAAGATTAAACAGGCAAAAAAAAAAAGACAAACAAACAGAAGAAGAAATAAACAAAAGTAACTGCGCGCCGTGATAACGTGTTCTTTCCCCATGAATGTCGTAATACCAAAACCTATATTTCCGCATTCGTTACTCACTGACCGATTTCACTCTCCTGTCACATTTCGCTAGGAAGACTAAGTTTCAAAGTTAACTGAAAAAATTGTTATCCTTTGAAGTTCTGCCCGACTAACAAATAAGACATTTCAACAATGTCAACCCTAAAAGGAGTTTTTGGGCTTCACATACATAATAGAAAGTATTAGTTTCTTCTTTCGGTCCCGGTGGAATTGCGTCTAGTCCTTTTAAAATACCAAAGAACAGAGAACTTCAGTGATTCTTACCTGCAGCTGATTTGGGTATATGCATGTTTGTCCTCCAGCAGAGAATTTACATTCCGCTTGGAAGGCATCTTCTGCACAGCCGCCGTTAGGGTCTAGCCAGTAATTACCTGGAATAAAAATTAAAGACATGGTCACGAAGTTACTAAAAGCCAACTAGACTCTGGACGATCTAACACGCCGATCGCGGTAATTGGCGTATTTAATTCCTTATATCTGGCATCAACGATCAAATTTACCAGCATTAACCACCAAAGCGTGTTCCACCAAATTTCTACGATGATCGCTGGGTTACACCAGATACGTCGACCAGTCGGACCTTACGAGTTTTATTACAAGACGTAACCAATTGGCGCTATCCCAGCTACGTGAACTAATCAGGCTGAGTTAGTTTGTCACAAGACTTCTCAAATTGGCGGACAAGAGCAAAAGTTGTAGTTGAACGAAAAAAAAACACTAAAATCGGATCGGTGATCATGAAGGCAGCAAGTCTCCCGTTTTTAAGTCCCCTTGTTCGGCAACATTATCCTGTTTACTTACACTTGATTGGCGCCACTGTCTTTCAGATTTATTACCACTTTTATCCTTTTTGGGGGGGAGGGGGCGCGAATTTGTAAGGGGGAACCTGTCAAATATAACGAGGGGCGAACTTGTCGCAATGGAGAAAATTTACAATAGGGCGAACCCTCCAAATATTATTTCAAATTTGTTTGCACGCAATAGTTGAACGCATAAAATTCCCGCGAAGTAGACCAGGGGACAAATCGCTGGCATCAACGCACGAATTCACCAAGAGTTTGTGACAATTTTACTTGCGATTAAATTCGCCATGACTGTCGTACGGTATCACCCCGTATGTCGCCCGCCCGCTTTAGATGAGGTGTCTTAAGAATGAAAGGTACTTACCATCAGGGAGCGTGCTGTTAAGAAGCATGATTTCTTTACATGTCCTGGCAGAAGTTTTGGCTGATCCACCAAGGGGTGTTTCCAGGTTTTTAAGCATGTCCAGGACTTCCAGAACACCAATGGTGAGTTCGACAAACTGTTAACAAAAACAATCACTGTAAGATATTTAACCTTGGTAATAAACATAGGTTCGCAAAATCGCGAGTTAACTTTTATTTCGCATTCTCCGAAGTATCTACGACAACTCGTCGGAAGTTGAAGCACCTTCGCGAGAAAAATTTTTGTGATACATTGAAAATGTTAGAGAAACTGTTAGAATTTGGAATATTGGCACTATCTTTCGCTGACTGAAGTGTCATAAAAATCGGAAGAGTAGATCTTTTGACATGAACGAAAGTTAAGACCTTTATGTCCCAACCTCAAAGCGGTTTGAGTCGCAAATTTTCTGGAAAAAATTAGATCTCCCCGGAGGTTTAGGAAGAGTTAACCTAATAAGTGCAACCAAACCCTCGTTATTTGCCCATCAGTACGAACGTTTTTACGCCATTTACCATGAGCAACGTAAGCTGGCGAGAGGTCTGCGACGATTCAAGCACTCATTATTAGTGTCAGACCACAAGCAAACCTCTCCCCAGCTCGTCTGAAATCTTCACTCGGGGGGGCGGAGAAACGCGCGTCTTGAAGTGCTGATGATGAGCGCTCGCTCGTAGGCTAGTGCATCGCATGTCAAACAAAACACAGCAATGTACTCTTGAAGGTGAAAAAAGTGATTGAAATTACCTGATCTTCCACATTGTTAGAAACGGATCGTCGTTTTCTGCGCGAATTTCCCTAAAAGACAAAAAAACATTTGCCAACGCGTTAATATCTCTAGCCGTTGCAGAACATTGATGTCAAACTTACCACATATTATAGTACACCTGCGATGGATTGCAATATTTATTAAGTCGTCAGGTTTATTCTGATTGGCTGAAACCAGCCATGTATAGAGCGCTTTTCGATCGAGTGCCATAAAACCAAAAACAAAGAAATCAGAACAGCCAATCATAGCAAGGAAAATTTCACGAGAAGGAAACCTGCCTGAAACGCGAGAAAATGCGAGTTATCAGGTCGCGATTGGTTTTGGTTTTGAATCTGATTGGTTTAAGAAAGTGATATGAGTTTTCTGGACCAATCACACAACGAAATAAAGCAAAACCAAAGCGATCCCGGATTAATTTCGACACTCCTGCTCTAATCATGTGACCTGAATACTGCTCCATAATTGAATAGACCCAGTCATCACATAACACGTGACATAATGCATTTGAATAACACAAACTTACCCCAAACAGGCCGCCAACCTGAAAAAAGGAAAAAAAAGAAAAAAAAGAAAAAATTTAAGATAACTGTTTAGTGTCAACTGGGATATCATGATGAATGACCATATGATGTTCAAAACCAAGGTATTACATAAAAACAGATTCGTCATACGAACGTTTTTTTTTCCCTAACTGTTACGATCATCACGCTATCAGTTGGCTTGTTCTTTCATGAATCCATAACATCAAAAATACACCTACCGAGCCAGGAACTCCCGGGGGACCAGGGGGACCCTGGGTAACGGAAAAAATAAAACGAGGTTAACACCGCGTAGAAATCTACACATAGAAACGACTTACATGTCGCTATATTAGTGAAATGAGTTGTCTAAACAGAGTTTTATATGTGTATCTCGATACATGAATCAGTGACAGTTAAAAAACATTACCAAGGAGTTAAAGTGAAGTTGTTTTGGTTATGTTACAAACATTAACATAGTTTATAGGGATTGTGAGACGAGGATACACAAATTCACCTGTAGTGAGAGACTGTCAGTGTTTTGTAAGCTTCAAACTGCCTTGTCGCACATATAATTGTGAGCGCTATAATGGACTCCCTAGAGCATCAAATTTCTCAGGCAGCCCCCCCCCCCACCCCTCCCCCGCTTCACTCAAATTATACTTTAACCCTTTGACTCCTTGGAGTGACCAGCATCTAATTTCTCCTTAAATTATCTCTCCTGCATCAAACATTAAGGTCACAAGAATAAAGGAAATGATCCCCAGCTAAAGAAGCTCTTGATTGTTACCCAAATTCTCCTTGTCAGTACCACGGGAAATATATAAAATACAGTATGGTGAATATCCATACTGATGTTAGGGTGTAAAGGGTTAAAGTAGTGGCTGTATTATTACTCACTAGGGGTAGGAGCGTTTCGTTACGAATATACCTAAACTTGGCAGCCTACGGCTGTTTTCGTATGAGTTATAGAAGGGTCTCAGTCAAAGAAATGGATATTGTTGATGGTGCTCGTTAAATCTGGGCGACAATAGGGACCTTAAGCAAACCACGACGGCGACGGCAACGAGGACATGGAAAAATAAAAGATCTAATTAGCAGAACAATAGCTCAGCATGTGCGTTTTAAAACTTTCTACACCGCGACGACAAATTATTTTCATTTCCATTTGGAACTCAACGCTTCTTTTATACATTATGCTGAAGTTGAGGTGTGGAGCTGCATGAGACGATAAACAAATGCAGCAATTTTTAAAACTCTAATTAAAGGCAGAAATTCATTTTTTAATCGAAGTCTTCCTTGGCGTTGCCGTCCTGACTGCTTAAGGTCCCTAATGAAAAAGAAAAAACGGATACTCACGGGTGCACCAACTCTTCCCTAAAAGAAAGAAAACCACAATTATAAATACCAAAATAAAACAAAATTGATTAATCTAAGAGGGTCGCCTATTCTTTTTACGTGAAACGTGATAAGGGTTTTTTTTTCTCGTGAGTCGTGATTTCATTTTTTTAAATTTGCGAATCGAGATTAAATTTTATGTCTATGTGAACGAATTTCGTATTTAAACGTTACCCGTGAATGAAAAGTTGAATTAATCGTGATTCGAACGAATTAAAGTGGACCCATTTGTACTCGTTCCTTGGCTAAATAGGTATAAGTGGTTCTCGAAAGTAATAATCAAAATTTAACGCGAAACGTTACCTTGACACCTTGCTCTCCCTGAAAATAAAACAACAAAACTGACGTTTAACAACGAAAAGACATTTAAGTGATAAAGGGTAACGAAAATAACATGAAAAGGCTCTATTTAGCATTGAGCAAGCTAGCGTCGTAAAGTTTTAAAAAAATTGTACGATTTCTTTCGATTTCGTCATATATTTTTCGCCTGAAAGGATACATGGTCCAACTCACAAGATGTAACGAAACCTCAGTTTTCTGCCCTCCTTTGCAAGCCTTCCTTAGGGAGTTACACAACGCTCCTTGACGACGTTGTGTGACACCCGAAAGAGGGGCTGCGAAGGATGTAACTGGTCGGTTGAAAGAAAGGATAGAGTTAGAGATGAACAAGAAAGACGTTACAATGAAACGAGAAAAGAAATGTTTCTGTCTGACGCTGTAGGATTTTTCCAATTCTGATATCAAATGTAAAGTAACAGAACCTTAAAATTCCTGGAAGTGGATGCAACTAGCTATGAAATCAATACTTACGGAGGGTCCTTTAGATCCCTGCGAAAGATACGAACAGAAGAGTAAAATCATTGAGAGGAATTATTAGTTCAAACGTGTTATCTCTCCTGAAGTTCAACTATTCTACTCTATCACCAGGTGGAAAAATTTACATAAAAGGCTTAAAAACTCTGGGGCTAGTTCGGATGATTTTTACACACTTAACGAAAAACAATTCTCGCGCCAAGATAATTTGTCCGCAGTTGACATAAATGATTTTCATATATTTACTATCATTTATTAAAATCTACTTCCTCCGACTAAATATTCATTCTTTGAGTTAGAATTTAACAGATAAAAAAGAGACAGAAAAAAAAGGAAAAAATTAGAGTGACAAAACTCACGCTTCCTCCAGCTCTACCCTGTTCGATTAAAGACAAAAGAAAAGAAATAAATGGTGGGGTAGGGTGGGATAGGTTAAGAAAAGGTAAAGAACAGGATGTGCATCTATCCAGTTTTTGTTTATGGCTTTACCTGTACACCTTGGACACCAGAAGGACCGGAAGGCCCAACTTCACCTTTAACACCCTGAAAAAAAAACACACAAAGAACCAAATAAACAAACATCAACTGTGCATAGTACCCATGGTAGAAGTCTGATGGATAAACAGTCCCAGGTATGCGCAGTGACTTAGGGAGGACACAGAAATGCATAGACTTCATAAACATTTACTACGCTGGTTCCGCAAGGTTTTTTTCTCTAAGTGGAGAACACTTACCCTCGGTCCTTTTGGTCCTCTTGTTCCTCTCGATCCTTCCTCTCCTATTTCGCCCTGAACAAAGGAATACACATTTAGAGCTGATAATAAAAAGAGTTTCTGAAGTTACATCAATAAAATTCGAGCCATATTTTGCGCGAGAGAATCGCCCCTAAAAAGAATATACTTTTCAAATAATCGTTTGCTAATGTAGTCAAACACCACCGGGGCAAAAATAAGGAAAAGACAAATAAAGGGAAGTAAATGGTTAACCCTTTGATTCCAGAAGTGATTAAAATGTAACTTCTCCCTACATATATCTGAACAAAGTCCAGCAAACAGGTTATGAGAATCCTCAAGCATCTAAAGGGGAGAATTAACCATCAGATCTTGGGAGTTCAAGGGTTAACTTCTCCCTACAATATCCATACATTATCCAGCAATCAAGTAATGAGAATACTCAAACTTATCAGGTAGAACTTGTTATCTTGTTCTAACACCAAATTCTCCTCACTAATTTACAAGGAAATGTGTAGCAGCCAGAGGGGAGAATTAACAATCAGAACTTGGGAGCTAAATGGTTAAGGTTTGAATAGATTAACAAGGATGGAAAATGACGAGCTTTTCATACAAGCTAGATTTTGAAGACGGACGAACAGAGACGTGGCTCTTTCAAACATACTTCGAATGAAGTCTTAGAGATTAATAAAGTTGACGGGGCAACAACAAGATCAATAAATATATGCATTATGAAGGAGAGCTTAAAAGGGAATTTGAACAAAACTATTAGTGAGTGGGTGAGTCAACAACAATGGTAAGTAGCTGACAGTTTGAAACCAAAATATGCCATTGATTGACAGCTCTAACACACTACCTTTGGTCCTTTGGTTCCCGGGGCGCCAACAGGTCCCATAGGGCCTCGATTTCCCTAAAAACAGTCAAAACAGAAAAGTTAACAAGTGGTCAACATGAAATCGGTACCTGCTATTCTGTTTATGAATGCAGTGATTTCTGTCCTGTGTCCTTACGGTTAGCTTTTGATTTCACCCTCCACGAGTGGTCGTTTCACCTGCAGATTTCAATCACGATTGAGACACCATACTCGAGCCAGGGAAAGTGCATGAGTGGTGCAGAGGTGTAGTGGTGCAAGCACTCGGCTGCTACCGTTGTGGCTTGGGTTCGATTCCCGTTGCGCTGAGCGCTTTTCTCTAAGTTCTCCTATTTTCCTTTCTTCACTAAACTAACAGTCTAAATTCTTTTTGACCCGGAAACCGTGGACAATTCGAGCCATCAAATACAAGTCCACTGCTAAATATGTATCTGTTATCTTAGTTATACTCAACCATTACTCGTTCTATTAACTCACCTTGTGCCCTTTGACACCAGTTTCGCCTTGCTGACCTTGCATGCCTTGAGCACCCTGTAATAATGAAAAAAGTTCATTTTTTTCCACTGAGGTTTTTAACAACTGAAAGAAAATGACCAATACCCTTCCACAAGGAGATAGAAAAACAATTATCAAACTACTAGGCAGCAGATTTATCAAGATTCCCACTAAAAAGCTCGCCGTGCGCACCCCGCCCGCCATGTCTCAGAGTATATTAGGTGAAAACGAGAACAAGCCGGTAAGATTGGTAAATACCAGAACAGAATGGGATAAAAAAAAAATTGAAAACAAAAAACAAAAGATAAACTCATATCTGAGGTCTTAGCGAAAAAAATCAAAGGAAAATGTGATCAACCTTATACATGCTTGTGCAAAAGTTTTCACTTTGCCTTAAACTCTTTTAATGAAAAGTATCTTCAACGTATTGATCGAACTTAGAACTCAAAGGAGGATCAAACTGATTTTAGACGACTGGTTAACCATCAGAACTGGTCATGCGTGAATATAAACCAACCTGCACAGCATTTAAATTCGATAAGTATCGAAACACTTTTCTTCAATCAAAACTATCACATTAATGCAGTAACACACTTGACTTCATCAGCAACTTACATCTTTTCCCGTTGAACCTCTCTCGCCATCGGCTCCCTGGGCCCCAGTATCTCCCTGCCAGTAAAAAGAAAGGGTACTTTCCAAAGCGTAGACCAATTCTCCTTAAAGATTTTCTTATTTCTGATAGCAACGAGGCACCGCTGAAACACTTGGCCGTGCCTTTGTTCTTCAAATTAGTATAACTGGTAACTAACCTCTGATCTATATAATAACTGATGCCGCTGATATTACGGGGTAGCTCACGCAAAATCTACGATCTAACAAAACAGATATTCTGTGTAACCTTTCTTCCAGAAACTCCTTTGGCACCAGCTCTTCCCTGTGGTCCTGTAGCACCCTAAAATAAACACAAACAGAACTACTTACACTTTACAAAATCAAATCAACCTTAGATGGTATTCATTTAAAAAAACCCGCATATAAGAACCTCGGTTTTTTCAAGTTAGCCTCCATAGGTTCTTATTTAAATGGTGTTTACGGTAAAATTAGGCTACCTAAGGTCCTGAATTACGTTCTTAATTTTTGTTAAAAAAAAAAACCAAAAAAAACAAAAAAAAAACTTGTTTGTTGGTAGGTGTGGGTGTGATACTGTGCTGTATGCCAGCCTCATATTGCCCCGCTTTACATGGTTAACTTGTACACACATTCTGAATCGGCTAAGAACAAATTCCATTCATTTAACTGTTCAAGCCAAATAAAGGAGACTATCTGATGGGGACTATCAGAACAATAAATTCCTTTTTTGTCGTCACTTGATACGTACCGCTTGACCGGGGGCACCTGCGACTCCTGCAATTCCTCCAGCTCCAATATTACCCTGCACATCAGATAAATAATAAGTAAGTAAAGTAAATAATAGTAAGATAAATAATAACTACCACCCATTGTAATTATTACGGCCAAATGTATGACTGTAGGAGACAAAAAATAAATAATATTAACAATAGCAATAGCAGATTCCCATGAGCTTGGCCAGCCTGTTTAAATATTGCAACAAATAAATAAATAATAAATAAATAATGACCATTGAAATCACCCATTGAGATCCAAACTGCAGACACTCGGATTCCGCGGTTCAACTATCATTACGCTATAGAAGACACTCTCAGAAGTGATTTCAAAATATTGATAAAATATTAAATTCTCTTAACTAATTTAAAAGGAAATATAAAGTTTCCAGAAGGAGAATTACTGCTTACCAGACCTTGGGAGTTAGATGATTAAGCAACTGCCATAATAAAAAAAATTTCTGAGAAAAGATTTAACTCCTTACTTTTTCTCCTTTTGCACCTCGGGGTCCTGGGGAACCTCGTGGACCGATTGCACCCTGAAACACAAATGTTTGAACCCAACATCATTGTATTTCATAAACAGATGGGGAATATTGTACGCTGGATGTGTAATGAGTAAAATTGTATCTTATTGCAACTTGTCCATGACATAGGAACACGAGAGTAAAGATGTAAGGAGGTTGACCCTAAGAGTGACCGGCTTCTTAATTCTCCTCACAGTATCAATCTTGAATCAAATGCAAAGGTTAAGAGAATTACGGAAATGATCACCAATTTAACAATTTCTTGATTGTCAAACAAATCCCTTCTTATCATGAAATGTGGAGAGACCAGTGTGGAGAAAATGTATACTGATCTTAGGGTGTAAAGGGTTAGTGCTGGGTTTAGACGAACAACCATGTATGAAAACATAATAAGGGGTTATTGAAAATTCGTATTGATTAAGGGTGTAATCGCATGAAAAGTCTATAGTCACCAGGATGGCCTTTCAGTCGAATCTCTCAGTTTTTTCCCTTCGCAGCTGGGCGTGTTCAGTAGTTCAGTTTTACTTTGCAGTTCTCACATGGAGGACAACTTTGCACATTATTTGAATTGCACGACAGAACAATCTCCTTCATCAATAAAATTGAAAGGGGATTGCTTCAAATTCTGTTACCTACGAGTATTTCAGGTGCCATACAGTCTACAATCTCTTTCTCCAACCGTGGAAATCTGCTTTTCCGAAGTAATGAAGGTTGAAGAGTAATACTAAACGATTATTTGGCTGTATGGACTGTGCGTCACACAGCCCTAACACCAGGAGTAACTGTTGAAATTGATAATCGGTCTTTCCACCTACCGGCTGACCATTAGAGCCTGGTGGTCCTGTGCCTCCTTTTGCTCCTTGAGGTCCCTGCGAAATTAGAAGTCGCTTAACATTCTGTTTTTATCATCAAGATTTCTTTATTTTTTGTTTCATCATAACCATTACAATTTCCTCATATGCGATAGGTGTATTAGCTGCTTTATTCTGCACAGTTGTCATCGGACAGTGTAATCGGACTGTTGGCTGTAATCGAACACCTGTAATCGGACAGTTGAAGCAGCCAATCATACTTAGTCCTTTCAGCCAAATCCACCAATCACAGAATTGATCACAATAACCATAGCAACAACCACTTATCCTCGAAAAAACTGTGGAATTTCTAAAATGAGGAAATTTTTACGCTACACTTTGTCTCTACCGGAGGTATTTGTCGTAAATGTATTTGTTGTTTTCAGAAATTGTAACGGTTATGATTAATTGGTAAAAAGACTTTGTGTCGTCTAATTCTGTCTGTAATCATACTCATGATTGACAAATCAAACTCCCGCCTCGCGGACACTTAGCAATTAAAAGAACTGCCGAAAATACGGACACTTAGCAATTAAATGATGAGCTCGAGATTTTTATGGCGTGATAGTCGATTAGAGAGAAGCCCGAATCACCTTTCACTCGTAGAAATCGAGAGCGAATAATCTAATTGTTTTAGCAAACATTTACTAGTTCGTAAAGTGCAGCCCGTGCTCTCCATATAGTATGAAATTGCTGTAATTTTACTTGTAACTGTTGGGTACAAAAATAAAGTTGTTGCTGTGTTGCTATAGAACGCTTACAAGTTATGCCGATACGCTTTTGTGCTTTGTGCCCTACTTAGATTTTACGTTACTTACAGGAAGGCCGGCTGCTCCATCAACGCCATCTCTGCCAGCAGGGCCTGGGTCTCCCTGTTGAAATTAGACACCAGTAAGAGAAACAACTAAAGAGACTCGAAAACTAAGCTATGAACACAACGCAATTAAGTCAATGCGTAAACTAATTGTTATGGGTTCTGTTATAACTGAATTATGTACTGAATGCTGATCTTTACAACTTCAAACCCCCCACACGTGTAAACAGGTGAAAAGGCTTAACTACAGCGAATTATTTAGAGAGTACATTGATTCAATTTTTTCTTTCCTTTTTTTAGCACTTTCTGACATAAGAGACATTATATTACCGCTTGGCCAACCGGACCGACTGCACCCACGCTGCCTTGCATACCAGGATATCCCTTTAAAAAGAGAGGTAGAGTAAGAAAAAGCTTTCAAAGTTAATTCATCACACAGTTTTTTTTTAGGAAAGGTAGTTAATAATCCGTGTTTGATACACCAAACAGTGCAAATAATAGACCGATGATCCAGGTAACGGTACTTAAATAAAACGCAAACATGTTTCTCGAATCCAAAGACCACTACAACTGAACGCCCTACAACAATGTAAAATCTGTTTGTTTTATCGTGATTGGTTGGCTGTTATTTCTCCCTTCATTTTGCTTAAACTCCTAAAAATGGAGAAGTGACATGGTCATACCGCCTCTCCTTTGCTTCCTTGCGCTCCTTGGGAACCAACTGCTCCTGGTGGACCCTGTAGAAAAATAACAGGTCAGTAAAGGGAAAAGTTGAAAAAAAAAGCCCACGCCTATTCCCGTTTCTACGGCTCGAGCCAAGTAGTCCACCCAGCCGGAGCTTATCCAAGTTTCCATAGCATGAAGCGAAAAGTAGTATTATCACTCCTCCCTAGACGGGACGCTAGTCCACCCGAAGGTTACACCCCTACATATTATTAAAATCCCTGACCCATTTATACTCCTGAATGTGGAGAGGCACTGTGTGAGTACAGTGTTTTGCCCAAGAACACAACACTGACACAGCCTGGTCTCGAATCAGGACCCATGACCCGGAGTCCAGTGTTCGAACCAGGACCTCTCGACCCGGAGTCCAGTGTTCGAACCAGGACCTCTCGACCCAGAGTCCAGCACACTGACCATTAGGGTCCAGTGCGTCTCCCACGAAGTGACAAGGAGTATGTCCACTAATCCTGGATGGGATGCTGATGTCCTCTCCCATACTACAACACAATGAACCGCCTAAGGCTCAAAATGGAGGCTTTAGTGATTGCCAACATGTTGCTGCGCCACCCCATGAGAAAAGAGATTCTATTCACACCTCAAAAAAGAATCCAGTACTTGGTGACTACTGAGGTGGATAGTTGGTAATAATCCTTTAATGCTCACCATTTGTCCTTGTTGACCTTTTATTCCAGGCTGACCAGGTAAACCATCTCGACCCTGGATGAGAAAAAAACCACCATTTTACATTTAAACAAATAATTGTTTTATTATCAAGTAAACCTGAGCATAAATTTTAAGGTAGAAGACGTTTTTTTTCTATGGTTCTAACTCAGATTGTTCTTTAATCGAAACGCCACCTTCCTGTTACATCTCCTTTTCGAACAGTAAAGAAGCCATTACGATAAAAACAGGCAGTTTAAGACTGCATGTGGCTGCTGATATAGCACAATTTTTATAGCATTGAAAAGAACTAGAGGCTGTATAATGATGCTAGAAGGTAGTGTTGCAAAAGATTTTTCTGAGACAGAAAACCTGCCACAGCCCACATATTTATGAGTACCCTGTTCCAAAAGTTACTAATTGACAAGATCAGAATTCTACAATTACCATCACTCGCTCACTCATTTCGACGACATTAGTGGCTTCACCCTCTATAGGAAGCAGTAGCCAAAAAATTCAAATGTTATCCTAAACTTTTTGATCATTGAATGCATCTTCTTAGTCGCAGTTTGCGTAGCATTTACTGCTAATACTTTAAACCTACAGCATTTCCAGGTGGTCCGTCTTCTCCAGCTGGTCCTGTCCCTCCGGCCTCTCCCTAAGACAAATAACCACAGAGGAAACTACGATGAAAACCAACACGCATTGGAAGGGACAAAATGTTATGGTAAACTATAAAGGGACCCAGCTTTAAGAATCACCTTTGCCTCAACATCAAACGAAGCTAAAGCCCTGTAAAAGAATCTTGTTTCTCTTTTCAGAAGCACGCGCGCAAACAACGCATCCCTCAAACTGTACAGTTCCTTTTTGCCCACTCCCCTTACTCTTACCTCCGTTGTCAAAATGTCGTGGGGGGGGGGGGGGAGGTGTGGGCTTTGTCATTTTCAAAACACAAAAGCCAAGGTTACGTGGATTAAAGATATCAAGGAGAATGAAGACTAAGCCTCGTACATATGTGCGTATTTTTTGAGAGTACCGCTGAAACTTCTAGTCAGGATTATAGTTGACACTGAGCGCACAGCTAAAAGGAACCAAACAATGTTCTAGTTAAACTAGTTAAAATTTTGAAAACCAAGTAGACCACACAATGTTGGACAGGGAGAAACTAACTTAACTTACTTTTGGACCATCAAGACCGTCGCTACCTGTGCTTCCTTTCGGTCCACGTGGTCCCTGATGAAAAAATGGAGTGATGAAAAAAAAAAAGAGAAATATCCTCTACAAACCTCAAAACTACATCTAGGTACTTATCCTGAAAGCAAGAGACATATCAAAGCGCAATACAGTATTTTCAAATGAGTGTTGAAAGCAATTATGGAGGGAATTGATTATGCGTTACTTTCCTCAGTAATTGGTCTCAAAAAAATTCTCAGCCAATCAAATGCAAACAGCACCTGGAGTCGTCTTAATGCATATACTTTGTGTTCTCACTGGCTCTTGGTGATGTTTCCCTGTGTTTAGCCAGCGAGTAGGTCCTCATTAGAAGCGCTTCAGCACGAACACTTCATCGCCCGCGGGAAAGTATGAAGCCTTGAAGTACACGAACTGGCGAGAGATCTGCAAGGTGTATAGCACGCAGGCAAACCTCTCCCCGACTTTTCTCAAACCCTCCTACAGGCGGAGAAACGCGCGTCCTGCAGTGCTAGTAATGTGGACCTTTGTTCTGATTGACCTACGATGACTACTTTAGTTTTTGTGTTACGAGACTCGAGGCACTCTACAGATGAGGATAGTTTGGTTACCTTTGATCCTATTTGACCCTGTGTTCCCTGACCTCCTTGAGAACCTTGAGCTCCCTTAAAAATAACAAGGCAAACAGAAGTGTCACAAAAATACCTCAACGGTAAGGGGAAAAAAAAAAGACAGCCAATTCGTCACTAAGTGTCTTATCTGTATATAGAGTGACTTTCACACCAGCAGTAACTATCTACGAACAACACTGAATCCTACACTCATATTTGTTTCTTTGTTCTACGCTGGTCACTTATCTATTTTACATCTCTCTTCACTGGAAAACCAGGCTTTTAAATTCATAATATTCCTCTCTGTTTTGCTACAGACGAGTCTTTCGACAAGACGATCCGATCAAGGCGTATGATAAGGTTTAATAAGGATAAAGGCCAAAGTGTCCGATGGTTATTACACAAGGCGGGTTCGATACTCGAGGGGACCGTAATTTAACCCTTCAAAACCTAAGTGACCAGCATCCAATTTCTCCTTTCCATAAAACTGCTAAATCATTCATCAAGATCGTAAGAATAGAGAATATATCGCCAACCAAAGAAACTCTGATTGTTAAACGAATTCTCCTTGTCAGTACCAAAGGAAATGTATACAAAGAGTATGGAGGATATGGATACTGATGATTAATAAAATCCTACACATCTCACAAATCAATTTTTCTTTGGCCTTTACACTACCAAGATCTAACAATCAACTAACTGATCTGTCTGCCATACATTCATTCTCACATGAGCCCTTAGAGTTTGCTGTTAAATCCCGGCAAAGCTTACCCCCATAAAGAAATCACAGTTTCTTCTCATCATCTTTCGGCTCGAAATGTATTAACATTGTAAGGAGAAATATACTTTTAGTCCCAAGAGTGAAAGAGGTTGACTATTACCGATAATGTTTTAAAAACAAACAAACAAACAAACAAACAAACAAGTCAACATAACACCGCTGGATAATCATAACGTTTATCCACTAGTACTTACAGGCGCACCGGAAGTTCCACGGTCACCTTTTGCTCCAGAAGGTCCTGGAGGGCCCTGGGAACGAGATGAACGATGGTTAACAGAGTTTACTGATGTCATTACTTTTGGCTAGAATTCGATTAACATTACAAGTGCTCAAGAAAGTTCTAAATGAGGGCCAGTAGTACTTTGGTGTTACTTTATTTCTGACTCCGTGATTAATCCAGAGAACTCGTCCCACCTGCTCTTCCAAGCTGATGCAAAACTTGAACCAAACGTTTGCTCGCAGTTCAGTTCTCATTGGCCCCTAACGATGTTTTTCTTTGCTCCGAATGGGTGTTTTGATTACGGTGGTATTATTACTACGACAGTCAATCGAAATTGCGTTTTTGACTATTGACTTTAGAGTAAGACCTCTGTTAAGCCTGCGTGCAGGCTCGTGAGTTTGGTTTTTCGCCTTACGGCACAGTCGCCTTGCACATTATCGCAAAATGCACTTCCCCATAGGAAAAATCGCAAAAATCTTGGGCTTATCACGCAACACGTTATCTTCCTTTCGGAGACCATGCTTTCTCAGTATTTACGATGACTTACCTGTTCTCCTTGGGCGCCAGATATACCAGGTGGACCATTTTTTCCAGGGCTTCCCTGAAACAAGAGATATTGTACAGCTAAACAACAATTCAGTTAGTGTAAAAGATGCCTCGCTGTGTTATTTCCCTTCTTATTTTATTTCTGTTCACTCCAAATGAACAGCATCACCCGAAACTTCAGCATCATGGACTACTGCTTGCATTTGTACAAATACGAAACTGTGCTTGGTGAGTTTTCCCGTGTCCGTTCAATCCTGGACATAACTCGTGCAGCTTTTGGTTGCAGCTTACTCCATCCTAATGAATCTTAGTTAAATAACACGTTCGCTTATTTAATTTGGGAAAACAAGGTCGGGACGGGACGAAACGAGGATGCTGGTCTTATCGTTATAATCTACAGGTTGGTCTCCTGAGGCCCGTTTCTCGAACGTCCCTGTAACTTAACGGGCTTGAAGCCATATTTTAAAATAAAAATTTAAAGAATAGAGAAGCAGGCTCTGGCGTCTTAACCAATCCATTTTGTTTCTTCAGCTGCTAGTTTTACTGTATAATTCTAAAAACTTTTCAAACCTCCATTTTGAATGAAAACAGAACAGCTTTACGGGCCCGTTCAGTTACCGGGACCTTCGAGAAGCAGGCCCTTGCTACGCTAATTTCAAATGTGAAACTGGGTGACATATTATTCACCCACCTGGTCTCCAACAGGTCCAGTTTGACCTCTTGATCCTCGTCCGCCAGCAGCTCCCTAAAACAAGCCAATGAGTAGTGAAACTGCTGTAGTAATTATTAGAAACAGTTGCAAACGCTCACTTCAAGGTTACTCTATCACAAGATTATTGTCATGCTATCAGAACAACCAGGGTGTCACACCGTAAAGCAAACGACTAAGTTTTTCGAGAAATTTCAAAATTGAAAGTGATCCTAAACTGCAGTTGTTTTGGTTTACAACGTTTTGTGATTGGGCTAGAAAACTCACGCCTCAGTCTCAACCAATCAGATGCTAAAGTGATTTTTCAAAGGCTAAAGTTTTTTAGCCACTGAAGTTGTTAACTTGTTTAGAATTTGAGAACTCATCCGTCCTAAGTGATGTTGACCTTAGCAGTGCTGAAGAATTAAGTTTAGCCTGCAGGACAGGCGACACGGGGCGAGTACTCTTCCATTTGAACCTGACTCGCCCTTCACGCTCTTCTCACGCAAGCCTTGCGCTTGCCTCGCGCTTGCCTAGCGCTAGCCTGAAAAACTCTAAAATAAAGTCTGTCTGGCAGGTTAAATTAAGTTTTGGTTTGAAGACACTCAATCGAGAAGTGCACCGAAACAAACTTATTTTATTCTGTAGTTATAATTACCCACAAAGTGCTTGTTACATTGTCAACAGAGACTCTTTTTCGAAAATCCTCTCTTAATTAGCCAAGTTGCACACTAAACCCAATCATAACCGCATATCAATGTTAAATAGTAGAAGTCTGCTTGAGTTCTCACACAAATGCTTCGATCTGATTGGCTGAGCAACTAGCTATCTATTCTGTGACAGAGGGTGAGTAAAGAGACTGAGTCGACAGTGTACGGTTGCAAACAAAATAAAATAAAAAACATGAACCCGTCTTGTTGATAAGTTTTGAACGACTAGTTGATTTTTACAACCATGAGATTGTTTACTCTTGATTCTTGAGTGCGATAGTTCATTCGGGCTCTGCCCTCGTCAACTATGACGCGTATCACGTGATAGAAACCTCAAGCCAATGATCTAGTCGTTTAATAAAGGAGAAGAGGAAGGTTCATCTGCCACTTACCATTGGCCCTGGTGGTCCAGGAGGACCAGCCACTCCCGGCTCCCCAGAGGATCCCTGGTGTAAAAACAGGAGGTCAAGGTTAGCGAAAAAAAAAACACTCTATCATAACTATGATACCTGAATATATTATAAGTGTTGAAAAAAAGACGAACTCGACAATCAGTCGCGTGGTCTTACCCTAACTCCGAGAGCACCATCTCGCCCGGGCGTTCCTGGTTGCCCTGCGTCTCCCTATATAGTGAAATAACAGTCTTATCACATCTGACTTAAGGGCAGGTACTGATGTATTTTTGGGCTACATATTTTGCACTTTCACTGGCTTATTAAAAGTTTTAAATTCCCTAAGAACAAAAATAAATGTAGCTTTCACGTGGCAGTGTGGTTCATTTCCTAAACATTTCAATTTATTGCTTACCAACGAAACAGTCTTTTCTGATTTTTAATGTTCCCTTTTTTTCACTCACCTTTTCGCCTCGTGGTCCTTGTTCACCAACAGGTCCAGGCATACCAGTGGAACCCTGCGGTATGTGTTATTAAATGCATAAGGCCAAAATCAGTGGGGCATTCCAATGTATACGGTTTTTTGAGCACATACGTGTCGAAAGTAATCCCAGATTGCACCAGTTTTTTCTTTACTTCGCTCTGTAATTGGTGTGTAAAAATAGCGCCACCCTTTCATCCAATCAGAAGCAACAATAGTATCCACTTCTACTTGGTCATTCAATTTACATATTTGTTTGTGGTGGCGCTGCTGTGTAATTTTTTGAAGTTAATTACGCAATTAATCCTTTCTGGTGGGATGGAAACTAGGAGAGCCCCAAGTTATTTTCCTATGGGGAATTGCATTTGATAAAAAATTTCCTCGTCTATCCTCGCACTCGACCCCCATTTTTTACGCTAATCCTAATCAAGAATTCTGACTCAGTGATCAACCGTAAACTAATAATGCTGACTTGCCGCTCTCTTGTTCATTCTTACAATAAAGTGACGGTTAATTTTCAAAGAGTCCACTTACGTCAGCTCCTGGTCCCCCTGGGGCTCCAATAGGCCCAGTCTCGCCATCTGGTCCCTAAAAAAAGAAATTATTAAAAAAACCGAACGAAGAAGGCATCATGTGGAGAATATCTCGCTGGTTAGACTTAAAGGGCTAGGTCACGACTCACGCATGTACAGTTAGAACACAGGAAAAAGTGGCACCAACGGGCCGTTGGTAACCTTGGCCTTCGTGTTTCCGACAATCCAAAACAAACACCTTGTAATCGTCAGTTTTTACGATGACGCTCTTTGCATTTGTCGTTTCTAACAAAGTTCAACGGCAATTTGATGCCTATAAGTGTACAACTGGAAGAACAGTGCGCAAGCTTATAGCGTGACCTAGCCCCTTTGCGTAAAAGGGTAGAAAAGCCCTTTTTTCTCTCCTATTTACCATCAACACAGTGCTATCAGTATGGATGCCTGTTTTAGCAATCTCTACGGAAACATCACAGCAAGAGTGTCAATACCGTAAAACATTCTGCATGTTCGAGGGGGGGAGGAGGAGGCGGGGGGCGCTTATCAGCCCTGCGAGTCAGTCTCGTATCCAGACCTTTTTAGTGACAACAATAAAGTTGTTAACACAGTTAACGACTTGATACTTACGGTACTGCCCTTCTCTCCTGCCGGTCCTGTTGCTCCTACTGGACCCTCTGGACCCTGCCAGCAACAGAGCAGAAAAACAAAAATGGTGAAAGAGAGCAACAACAATGTACACATCTAATTTCTAATACTACGTTGATGCCACCGACGATTCAAAGCTCTATTTATAACCTACGGAGATAAGTTCATTCAATTCATCAAATGTAACATGAATGAAATGTAACCTTCAAATTCTAAATAGATAGGGGTGACAGATTATTTGACATGCCGAGATGTCTGTCTTCTGTGGTTTCGTCTAGCGACTGTAAATACTGCTCATAGCTTTTTGGGTTCCCAATCTTGAATGGGAATGTGGCAGTTCGCTTCTTTCAACTGTCAGTTGTTTTGTCCCAGCTTTCAATTTCGATAGTTGATCTCTTTGCCGCTAGTAAAACACGATACTTTGTTCGACTTCGTCTAATAATTGGTAATTCACTGTTTTACTCACCGAAGCTCCTTGGGCCCCAGTTTTACCAGCAGGTCCAGTCATTCCTTGGGATCCCTGTGAATGACAATAAAAGAGTTGGTCCACTACAATTCGATGAAATTTCTAAAAGTTATCTGGACAATATCTATTGAAATACTTGGAATCGAGAAGTTGTGTGCAAGTGTTGGTTAAGTGGCAATAAGCTAGTACCATAATGAAGAAATCAAATGCTATCATAGGGTTAAAATCAAATGCACCATTGACAGTGCGCCAAACACACCACTAACAGCAAACCAAGGTACTTTGCAGTGACACGTTAACTTTCGACTTCGTCGCCAAACTAAGGCTAGTAGTATGGCAATCGGGACATCGCGATAAATACAATTGATAGCCTTCACCGTGAGACAAACGATTCAACGTCCCTTATCTGAAAAACCACGACGAACATTTTCCATAACAAGGTTAAAATTGCTCTAATCTACCGAAGAATTTTATCAATGCTTCAGAACCTTATCTGTTCTGAATTTACGCTTTTATTTGAAGTCAGTTCTTCCACACCTTGGCCCCTGCCATCAGAATTATTTTATGGAAATCTGACGAGTAGCCTTTGATTTCTGAAGTTGTTACAAACGTGATATCTGGAATATAAACGCTTTCCAAAGAGTCTCTTTTATATTATGTGAACAGAAATTCGTTTGTAACACCTGTCACTGAATTTGAAGATAATGTAAATATAATTATGATTCATGTCTGCATTAATCGCGAACTCATCATATTAGCCCATTAGACAGGAATTCATTTCGCGTCAGATGAATCATGAATACAGAAGTGCAAGTATTTCGGTATTTAAAAGGCTTCGCTTTACTTCCCTCTGCGATTGGTCCAAAAATTTCTCACCATCCATTCAACCAATCATATGTCGGAACTAAAACCACACGTGACTTAGTCACCCCCGTTTTCCCGCGCTTCACGCAGTTTACAGGTAATCAGTATAAGTGACTGCTCAGAAGCTCCTCTTGACATTTTTCCTTACAATCTTTTTTCTTTGAAAGGCCTTGGTGATGACTTTAATTCACAAGTTTCAATAAAAGCTGGTAACGGGCAGTGTACCACCGCCTATGAGACCTCTTACCACCGTCGGTTCAGCCTGTGAAAAGGTTAGTATTCGGGATTTGCCCCGCCACCAGCAGCCACTCATGGAAAAAAAAAGATTGAAGCCCCTGCTATCTACCATAGCTGAAGTTCTTAAAACGTTCCTCACCATCATTCCTGGTCTTCCTTGTGGTCCTGCTTCGCCCCGTGCACCTGGGAGTCCCTAAAGGGCGCGAAATGTTTTAAACATAGCATAAAAGAGTATATTCGCTATAAGTAAAAAATCACACAGCAGTACAGAGAGATATGAGCTCTGTAACCCTAACGACCTTCAACGTCACTACCTATTTACAGTCTGTAAGCCTGATCTAATAAGTAATTGTTTCTTCTGTTTACTCGCAATAAGATCTCAGGCGATATAACTTTTGTTTCAGGCGACCTGACCGGTTACCGTATGTATATTATTGATTTGGAACAAAAAGTAAGACCAGTAGAAAACGACAGGACTTTCTGGCAAACATCCTTATTCATTAAACACCTGTAGCACTGGCTACCATTTAACACCCTTTACTGGATATTTACACATTAAGTTCACAAAGTTTCTTATATTTTATCTATGGCAGAAGCTTTCAGTCGATTAAAAGTTCTTAACAGCGACCACAACCGCAAAATGACAAATACATGGGATCCATGGTGGAACCGGCATTTGCCAATTTAATCTGAGGGCTTTGGTTCCACCACGATCAATAACTTTACCCCAGACTCATAAATACTCTAAGAAATATCGTTCACTACGAAACTCATTCCACAGTGGATCCATAGCCCTGTTTGTTAGAGCATAGTACAAAGAATAGGAGGGGTCATAGGCTTAAAACCTGTGTCCATCCTTTAAGATATCAACTCACAATTCCGCCCAAATCACCACCTGCTCCATTCAATCCTCGGGGTCCCTGTATTTCAATGAAAAAAGAATCAGTATTGTCAAAATCGAACAAAAGTAGAGTATTTATCCACTTGCTCTGACGGAAGGCTAACGCTCGAAATATCAGCTTTGAAATTCTTTAAGGTGGCCAATTTACGTTACCAACTCAATTACTAATACCAGATTCCCTTGTTATACCCTTCCACCGACGCAGCACCACAGTTTCTTTAGAAACTTACCCCCTTTGTTCGATAGTAGAGTAATTATGTAAATGATTATCAAGATGCGCATGCTTCAATAAAGCAAGGATCGTGCGAGGATTGCGTCCTGCATGGCCAAATCAGAGTAAATAGAACCCAGTCCCTTTCAAGCGAGCCAAAGAAACGTTGCTAATGGAAGAGGTTACACAAGAGAAACCATCACAATAGGCTTAAACAAAAATGATTGGATGCACTTATTATCATTAATGATTTATTATTTATCACTTAACCGGGGTACATAAGCACATTTTAACAACATTATTCATTTGCAGCACAAAACATACGTTTTCACCATCTCTGCCGCTCCTTCCTGCGTCGCCTGGGGGGCCCTGGAATCAAGTCAAACATATAGCAAGTGATGTTTGGGCGAAGAATTAAAAGGATACCGGAGATGGGAAACTTTAACAACATTTCAAACAACGACGCATCCGCAGCGAGTTTTTTTCTTTTAACTCACCCACTCTCTTTTTACTTGTAACTTATCACACTGTTTTCATTTTCAAATTTTGATTATCATTTTATTTTACAAAAGACTATTGGCAAAGATGGTTCGAGTTTCTAAAGGTTCGAGTTTTTCTAGTGAAAATTACAGTATTAAGATTAATGAAGCTCTGGGTGACCGATTTCATTTCGAGTTATTGGGAGTCGCCTGGATATGTTCCAAGGTTTCAAATTCAATAAAAACCAATCGTTTACTTTGTCCAATATCTACCTTTTGCCCATCCTGTCCAGGTTGCCCCTTTCTTCCCTTAACTCCTCTCGAACCCTGTAAACAACGGTAAAAAGGTTATTTAATCATCACTCTGAATCAAAAAATGAAAATGATGATACAATCTTGAGACAATTACATCGAAAAACATTTGGCACCATTAGCACTGAGCAAGGGAAATCACGAAATGGCACAAAATTATGCAAGAAAAAAATCCTTCGAAGCGACATGATTGAGTCAAATTTCAGATGATTAAAGCGCATTGTGTTGGTTAAGGTTCAATAATGTCCTAACCCTTGCTTGCGTTAATGTACGATTTGTAATGACCTGAAATCAACCCTGTACATTAGGAAGTCATGGATTGACGATTGCTTAGCAAATGAGAAGTTTTAGAGGGGGAGTACTTGGGGAAAATAAAAAGAATTGGGAATTGAGAGCATCAGCATCAAATTTGTGTATGTATACCAAATTGGCTACTCCTCCATGGGCTTTTCAGGGCCTATACAAATGAATAAATGAATGAATAACTGGATGAATAAGCAGTGTTTAAAAAACCCAATAGGCAAGAGGCAAACCAGATGGTTATATACAAAGCGCAGCCAAGGAATTGAACTCTGGGCAACAAAGAACAAATCCAGTGACTAGCAGAGTGGAAGTCTTGAACCTGAGACCAACAGATTACAAGCCCACTGCCCCAACCGTTCGGCCACACTGCCTTTGATGACATATTTCTTCCGCAAAAGGCAGAACGTTCTAACACCCACCGGTCTTCCTTGTGCTCCTTTCTCTCCATCTGCACCTCTTGAGCCCGATGGACCCTAAAAAACCAACCAAGTAAGAAATGAGTTCCCCCAAAAACTCGACAGGGAGGGTTGCATAGGGCTCTAGCATTCTACTAACTGGGATCAGGAAGGAGGCACTGAAAGGTTTGTCCCTCTCTGAACATTTCAAGTCGGTGCTTGTGCTACAAATTCGTTTTTTAACAGAGTATCATTACAATGGCTGGCTAGTCCAATAACCTTCTATTAGCCTATGAAAAGTCTAGTTCCTAGTTCTTTAGTATTTGAAAATATCTGGGCTTAATCTAACATCATTAACCATAAGTGTGAAAATTGCCTCTCTGCATTAACTTAAACAAAATGAAATTTGCGCTTTGAGTAGAGTTACGAATATAAACAGAAGCTGATCAAGTGGCAAGCAAATCCCATTATTCACACAAAAAACGAAAAAAATTAAGGACTGTCTGATGACCTACCATGGGACCTTGAGGACCCGGGGGTCCCTCGCTGCCGCCTGGACCCGGGTCACCCTAACAAAGAAGAAGGGAAGAGGTTTAAACTTAGGATAAAGAAAGACGGTACATTTCGAGTTGGGTTATCGAATACAGATACACGGTATTTATTTTTTCACGGGTGTACCTCAATCATTCAATCTGAGTCTCCGGTGAGGGTTTTAACTTAGGACATTTGGATTTCGTGCTCCGACGTACTGCAATACCACTAAGTCACAGAGCAGTCAGGCCATGCAATAAGTTCAAATGTAAAGCGTCCTGTTCACTAAAAGTCAGTGTTGAGCTCGGTCGTTGACTAGTAGATCAAGACGCAAATTTGACGGCCTGAAATTGTAATTCTAGTTAGCCACTCGATTCTTTTTTCTTTGTACCACACTGACAGATTAAAGAAACTTTTTTCAAAAAGTTCTGTTTGCATCACCATTTACACTTCGATTAATAAGAGGTGGAATAGTTGACACACTCCGCTGTGGTTCATATGTCAATTTTCGGCATACTATATTTCTACCTTATCTGGGTTTATTTTTGAACTGAGGTACCGCAACGTGGAATCTATCGCTTAATTACACATGGGGATAAAGACACCTGACAAACAAACAAACTCTTCACAGGACATGAAATACCTGGGGTCCCCGCTCTCCATCGGGTCCAGTCTCTCCCTGTTTCCCTTGAGGACCCTAAGGCATAAAACATAACATGAAAAAAGAAACATGATATTTGTAATCAAAACTACCACCCAACTTTTCATAGGTTAAAAAACATTTAAGCAAATGCATAGGAATGCAAATTTACTAGATGATAAATTATTATTCAACACCCCAACATGTCCAGGGATACGACAGTCAAACTTGCCTTACGCTGTCACCCACGGGGAATGAAACAGTGACCGTTTAAAACAGATTGTCTAGTAAGTGACTTGAGTGATGTTCGTGCGTAACATTGGTCCTTACAGTCTAAACAAGAAAGCTAGTCTGCAATGCGTTGAGGAACTTGGAACTCAAAGTACTAATACTGATTCTGGGAGATAAACATGATTTTACATGAGAAATTATTCTTAGTTTTGTTTGAATCGTTACGCTCTAAGTGACCGTTTAATACAAGAGGAGGACTACATAAACAGGCCGTTGGGTCTCAGTCAAGGGCGGGTAAAAATCGCAGTAATTAAGGGGAGAAAATTTCGGGACTAATACAGAGTGACCGCTAAATACAGTGCCACTTAATAAAATTTTATCTCTTTAATTACTACAATTTTTACCTCCATAAAAGTAGTCGTGAGGACCACAGGGTTATCAGTGAAAGCCGTCCCGTGTCACCTTCTTTAAACAAAGTCTCATAAAGGTTCGAAGGTGGGGAGGGAGATTTTAAGGTTTAGAATTTAGATTTATTTTTCAGTGATCACAAGAAGGATAGGTTAGGATGAAAGGATGAAAAGGATGAGAACTTCCTTTACACTGATCTTAAATATTATAATCAAAACAATAACCAAGATGGAATCCATTCATCTGAGAGTACTCAGTAGATCCCCAGGATGGGTTAGAGAACTTCCTTGACACTGATCTTAAATATTATAATCAAAACAATAACCAAGATGAAATTCATTCATCAGAGAGTACTCATTGAATCCCCAATCAGAAAGCCTTCACATCTACCTGACTACAATGGCTTCCACAGACATCACCATAGGAAGACATTTTGAAAAAAAAAATGTAAACAATAGAAGCAGGTGCATGATAAAAACACATTTACTTTACTGATGTGTTGTTGATACAGGTACAAGGGGGGTACATACCGGAGATCCTCTCATTCCCATCTGTCCAGGAAGTCCTTGAGACCCAGTCACACCCTAAAATCAGTTTAAAATATGTAAGGATATTCAAAAAATTGTATGTGCTGATTTCCCTTTCTTTGATCTCTGAAAGCCACCAGTGCCTGAAACTAGTAGAAATCAAATCAGACTCTGTTCTGACAAAAAACGCATCAATAGTTTCTGGTATATATAATCACTAAAACAGTGGATTGCACTAAAGGCATGCCCTGATTGGCTACTCAAACTCGAGATATCATTTGCTATCAAAGAAGGGGGAGGGGGGAAGAAGGGAAGGAGGGAAGGGAGGGAGAGTTAGGGAGAAAGTGATGATGCTAAATGTTTTACAGTACTTACAGGTGCTCCTTGGCTTCCTGGGGTACCAGCATTTCCTTGGAAGCCCTAAGAGAAAATCACAGTCTTAGATCCTGTAATTTGTTCTGAGCTTGCCAATTACATTTTAGTCCAAGAAAGTTTATGGCAAGGAACAGGCTATGAACCTTACCAACCAACTATGTTGATAACCAGAAAATGACACACTGGTAAGATTTTAATTAAGCTTATAGCTATTTGAAATCTTGAGTTTGATGATTCCCACCCAAAAATTTTAGTCACTTCAACAGGAAGCACTTAACATTGTTGACGCATTAAAACAATCACATGACTGTAAAAATAAGATGACAAAGTCCAAAGCCATCAGTAAAAATCAAATTTAAGCAGGCACCATCAAGCCAGAGTCTAATCTTGAAATTCAAAGAAAACACTTTCTTACAGGTAACCCATCTCTACCAGGGGAACCAGTACTTCCTTTTGATCCTCTTGGACCCTGAAATGAAGATAAGAAAGATTTAAAATTACAAATACAAAAAAAAAAAACTCACTGTAGACAATTACCTGGTGAGATAAACAAATACAAAGCAGTATACAACAAATGAACAATAACTACTTACTCTGGGGCCTGGACCTCCCCTCTCACCCAGTGGCCCTGCCTCACCCTAGACAAAAGCAAAATGTCAGTTGCCATTTTGTGTGCATGTGTAAATTGCATAGAGCAAAAGTAAGTCAAGCAAAATGCACAAATTTTGTTCTTTGTTCTTGCAACTTTCTCTGAAAGTTGGAGTAAAAGTTTGGCTGAAATGTGAGCTTTTTCAAGCAAAATTTTCCCAGCACAGGGAGTGCTATTTTGTCCCAATTTTGTTCCAAAAGGAAAGCTGACAATGAAAAAAACTTTTTACTGGAAAGTTTTCATAATTTTATCAAAAAAGCAACAAACTTCTATGCCTGATTTATTGGACTGACATGTGTTAATTCTCCCAGAAAATTATAAAATAATAACTGCAACAAAATGATTAAAACAAAAAAATTGTAAGAAAGATGCAGGGATACCACCACTCTGTATGTATTCATTTATTATTCACTCTTCTATCCAATGTCCTTCACAACAGAAGAATAAAGAATAAATGTCTATGCATTGCACAGCCAGACCAGTGTCTTCAAATGCAAAAGATATTTTGATTGATACATTATGTCAGTTTGTCAGTATTTTGGCTCACTCAGTGTTTCTTTGTTGCTCAACTATGGTTACAAATTCTAATCTTCAAGACTTTGTTTATTTTTACACTTGTTATTGCTCAGTGCTTCATTTGCCTAAATTGGAATATGCTCGGCCAAGCCCCCCAGATAGCTTCTGCCCATGAAAAAATTGCAGAAGACTGCCTCACAAACATATTAACAACTATAAAAGAGGCATCTTGTAGCTTGAGAACAGACCTTGTCTCCTCTGGGACCTTTAGATCCCCTTCTTCCAGTTCTGCCTGTACTTCCCTACAATAAAAAGTCACCATTGTAAATGTTTATGGATTTTTCTCAAATAGAGCATACCTCATTTTTTATTGCTTTCTTTGCACATCTGAAATTGACTGACTTATCACTTATCATTCATAGCACCCACCTTTGCACCTTTCATTCCTGGCATTCCAGGTAACCCTTGAGTACCCATGACTCCCTGGAAAGAAACAAGGGAAAGAACAATTAGTTTGCATTTGACCTGACATGACATGAAGCATCCCCTGTGCCTTGTTTTCCATAAACACTAACACTCTACTAAGAAAACACTCTTTGGGAATGAACTTCTGACTGATAATTAATGCTACCACACAATACACATACACTCAAAAAAAGGAAAAAAAGGCATAATCCACAAGGTGTTTTCTAGAGTGCACATACAAACATATGTAGGTGTTTCAAAAAGAGGCAGTATCTGGCAAAATTTGCTGTCTATGTGAAGCAAAATCACCATCTATTTTCTCTCAAATTAGCCACTATAGAGTAAAGATCTACCTTTCGTTAGCTGCCTCCTTTACAGTTTTTGCTATCTACTTCAAAACTTAAACCCCTGATCAACTAGCAGTGTAAAAGAACAACAGTGATGGGCATAACATAGTCCATAACCTTCCACAAGAGCCAAAAAAACAAAGGCTTGATTGAGATGGTGCTTCTTTTATCCCAACAGTGGCTTAAGTACTTTACAACTGTTCATCCACTGTTATCTGGCTGGAAAAATCTTGCCTTAATCCTTCCAGGCCAATTGAGAGAAGTAATCCATGTCTACTACTATCACTTGCCACTTTATAATTTGCAGACCACAGCCACTGGCAAGTTAAGAGAGGCTGACTGCTTTTAGGGCTTTAATAGTATTTTAGTTTGTTTTTGAAAAATCACCTTTGGTCCAACAGGTCCAGGGCCACCTGGAGGCCCTTGCATTCCTACTTCACCCTGATTTAACATAAAAAAAAAGAAGAAAAAGGGAAAGAAAAAAGAAAACAAATGAAAATTGCACAAAACGTTACATTAATTCTGGCAAAAATGAATGTGATGTTTAAGAAAAAAAACTGGATGAAGGAAATGCACCACATTAACTAACAATAACCAATGAATTGTCATTCCAATGGGGTTATTCAATGCACTTAAGGGCAGATGCGTGCATTTCAATGGCAAGTAGATTCTGGTGTTCAACACCAAACTAGCAATTTCATTAGCTATTCATGATTCTATAAAGCATCTAATAGCGGAGACACATGACACAGATCAAAACACTCAACCCTACAACAAGAAAGTTTGAAATGAATTGAAGAATGCAGCAACTACTTGTGATGGGTGCTCACTCAAGGAGAATAAAACTGACAATGATTGCCAAATTAGCACAAATGAAGGAGCAAAAAAAGAAAAAAAAGAAAGCACCAATTGATTTAAAGATAAAAGTAACTCACAGGAGCCCCAGGGGGCCCAGGGACACCAGGGTCTCCAGGAAGGCCAGCAGTTCCCTGTAATAGATTACAAATAAATCATTACTTGTCAAAATCTAATGAAGATGTAAATTAAAGGGATTAGCCATAATGCTTTGTGCTCTTGATAAATGCAACCAACAAAAATCCTGCTTTGAGTGATGGTGAAATTTAATGTGAATCTTCATAATCCTTTCTATCCAAAAAGTGACAAATTATAAAGTATTATCTCCCAGCAATATCAACACAAACTGTCATGCTGGAAGGTGATGAGAAGAAAGAAAAATATCAAATGCTGTAGAAGAAAGAGGTCAAGACACAACACCAAATTCTCACGGAAACAATAACAATAAAACATATAGCAGGCAGTATGGAGCGTTGATATCAAGAACTTGGGAATGAAAAGGTACATTTCAAACACCCTTCTCTCTTTAGGATTGTGAGTACCACTTCCATGTTCAACTCGATAAATAGAGTCTTTTTTATGTGATACCATTCATTTTGTATACAAATTTAATTTAAATTTTGGCTGTTTAAGTAAATTTTTGCTAGCAGCTGAAGAGCATCAAATTGATTTTTGTCAAACTTAGAAAATTGGAAACAAGAAAAACTGAGAAGGGAAAAGAGACCAACAGCAACTTTAAATATTTCAATTAAACTAAGTGAGTCCACCTACACTCTGTTAAATGACTATTCATACTAACACTGTCATTTTACAAGAGGGAGGGGAGAGAAGGTAGTGTGATAAACTGTACTGCTTACCCTGTCTCCTGGTAGGCCTGGAAATCCTTTGACCCCAGCCACTCCTCTCTCACCCTATCAAACAAAAGATGACGAGACACTCATGCTAACCCTGTCATGACAAGACCTCAAAATAGATATGACCTTTCTCTAAGTTTATTGAGGCAAGTTTACAGAAGCAAGAGAACCACAGCTATCAGTCTCAGTATACCTACTTTAGTTTCAATGGCCTCAAATAACTCAGCAAAAAGTGACATTACTTTCCCTTGAAATTAATGTTCATACACAGTAAATATATGTACACTAACCAATCCATTAGTATCTTTTAAATTTTTGATGAAGAGAAAATAAGCTTGAAGTTGACTAGGTACACTTCAAGGTTGAAGTTGGACATTACACTGTAGAAGGTGTTTCAATAGTAAGTCCATCCCACCAGAGGAAAATGCAGCTATGCTCCTATGAATCCTGAGAACAAATTCTTAATAGAGGGCATTAAGAGGCCGCGAGAGGTGCCAACTGCCCTGTAACCAGCTATTTTAGAAAATTATAAGTACATTTGTAAGTTATTTTTTTTTTTAATTCATAGGATACTTACAGCCACTCCTCTCTGTCCTTTCCTTCCTGTTGGTCCAGTTACACCCTACAGCATAACAAAATTAGTACAGGAAAATAGGTACCAAAGAAACTAAAATTACCAAAGGGTCCTAGAATCAAAAATTGAGACAAATGTGCTGCAATTTAGGTTGGGAGCTCCTTCTTAACTTCAACCATTCAAGAACAATATATAATCATAACAGTTATCACAAGAGTACCAAAAAGAATATAACCTTAAGACATGAATGGGAGAGATTTATTCACTTTCAGTTGTTGAATCTTGCTTGTAGACCTCATAATTAGGGATTTGCATACCAATTATGTGGACAACATCAGGTTATGTTCAAAGAGCATACCTAAAATTGTTAATGAAATCATGGAATTATCTTAAAGAAAAATCCATTGAAACGCTATCTTACCTTTGGTCCCAGGTCTCCTTGTGGCCCCTGAGCTCCCGGCGGGCCTGGTGGTCCCTGCAGAATAAAGAATTATCTTGCACTGAAACTACCCATTGGATCTGTACTTAATTGATCTTACTTTAAGAGATAAACCTTGAGAGAGGTGATGGAGTCACAGAAAAGCTTCAAATTACATTCATAAATTTATTTTTTCTCATGTTGGCATATTTTTTAATTGATTTAGCATTTACATGTTTGTATGAGGATATTTCTCAAACCCCATAATTATCTAGTTCACCAAAAAGAAACTATAATTGACTTGGCAGACTGGCCAAAACATTGAGAGAATTTTGTTAACATTCAGAACTGTCCAGATGAATCAATCACTTCAAACATACTAAAAAAACTCTTACACAAGTATATATCCATTGTTAAACTGATTATTCTGCCCCAAGATACAAAGTCATACATTAAAAAAAAATCAGGAAATATAAAGTAACCAAATGTCTATTTGGTAGACTTACAGTTTCGCCTTTTTCACCAGGAGTTCCATCAGGTCCAGGCATACCCTGTCAAAAGTAAAACAGCAAATTAAACATCACTGCAGTAAGCTGTTATGTGTACATTCACCTGAAATAGAGAAATCATTTTGGAAAGAATTTCCAATTTCAAAATAATCATTACAAAGATTCAATCCTAATCTTGGTACTTACAGGATTTCCAGGATTCCCTCGCACTCCCTGGGTTCCTTGAGCTCCTGGTGCACCCTAAGACAAAATTTAGCAAACCCTAAGTTTCCTTCATAACAAAAAAAAAGAGTATGTTCTCCAGCAACTTAAGTTATCTGATTTTCTATCAGGACTATCACAGCAACAATCAAGGAAAAGTAAAGTTGATTTGTAACTTACAGGTGGACCCATTTCACCTGAAGGGCCATCTACACCAGGGTCACCCTGAAAAACAAACAAACAAACTAATAACCATACACATTAAAAAGACTAAATAAAACGGGCTCTGATCATAGATGACCAAGGAAATATTTATATTAAATCAAGTCACTATAAGTGATGATAAATTTCACAACAGTCTTCCATAGCTCACTTTCATGTCAGATGTCTTATTCTTTTGTAAAGAGCAAGAGATGTACATACAATTACTGGTACATTTGAATGATGGAAATCAAAATTTTCCTTGCCTCATAATGTTTTAAACAACTTTAATTTTCATCTGTTTATTATGACAAGTTATTGTAGTGGCTATTATCACCTGTCTTAAAGATTCCATATGCATATTTAATTTAATGAAATGGTGAGCAAAGAGGGGAAGTGCTGTGATAATGATGGCTTACAACTTGACCACTGTACACACAGTGACAAATCAGCAATATCTACAGCAATTTCTGTCTTTGAAATTTTTCCCATTCATCCTGGTAACTGAAAACATCGACAGGTTAAGGGAGTGTAAATCAATAGAAACTAAAACATATTATTGCAATCTTTGATATACACATTAATACATGAAGGGTAGAATACACACCCTTGGTCCTCTTGCTCCACTGACACCTTGCTGTCCAGGTGTCCCAACAGCTCCCTAAGAAAAATGCCATGACATCTCAATTTGTTGCATTACATGTTAGAAAAAAGCTTAGTTATTGCCATTTACTGAACAATTATCTTACTATTCTATTAATTAATCATTTTATTTATTTATTAATTAGCCCTTTAACTTCCCGACGTGATTGACATTTAACTTTACCTCACAATTTACCGGTATGTGTGATCTTGCAAACAGTTTATGAGATCAGACTAGCCCATCAGCTGGAGAGTCTTGTTCGGATACGAGACCATATTCTTTTGTCTTATTTATAGGGAAACATATAACTTAGAGTAGGGAGAATTACCGAGTAGATCATGGAAGTTAAAGGATAAACACAACTAATACACTAATTTTCACTCTACCTTAGGCCCTCGAGGTCCTGGAGGACCTATTGGTCCTGGTAAACCCTGTGTAACACAACAGTAAAACAAAAGGTTAAGATAAGCCTATGTGTGGCCACACCCTTCCCCACAAGGAAAACCCAAGGAAGGGATCAATTCTTCACTTGCCATCTCACCATAATTGTGCATGTATTGAAGAATTCATAAAACAGCCTATAAAATACTACAGTGAAAAGAGTTCTCAACAGCTATTACATATTTCTTTAAGTAACATTGTATATTATTTCCAATATTTTCTATATGGATTCAACACCTTTGCATGAGATGTTCTTTTAAGGATCCTAGACTATAAACAACTTGATGCTTTCCAAAGTTAAATTTGGATGAACCTACCTTTGAGCCTGGATCACCCATTGGTCCTCTTCCTCCTTTCCTACCAGGTTGACCCTGCATGATGCACAAAGGAACATTCAGTAGTAAAATATATCACTTTCATCAATAGTTCCAATATTCACATTCCTGTAAGTATTAACCTAACTCTGACAGTCTATACAGAATTAAATAATATACTAGATAAATATAGGGCATAAATTATACCAACTAAAGTTTGTGAGAGAATGAGGATGTTTCAGATTGCGAGCAAAATTGTGCAATTTCTGTTTGGGATAAAAATCACACATAGTTGTTGTTGTTGCTTTTTTTGTTGGAATATTCTTCTAGAGAATTTCCAGAATGAGTGGAATTTCAGAGGAAGTAAGACCATTTTCATAATGGAAACATTTCCTAAGAAAAATCTGGGAGCAAGCCCTTATTATTGGTACAGCAACAGGGTATTTTTCCCCATATGTAAAAATAAAGGCAATTTCAACCGTCATGCATCACAACAATCATCACACAATGAGAGAGGTGTACCACAGATGTTTCTATTCAGGGTATAGGTGAGTCCCATTTATGGTTTTTCCATTCAAATGGTATGAACAGAATAAATAGCTCACACAATTTATTATCGTTTGAGAGAGCTGCTAAGAGTTAAGGTAAAAAATGTTATCACGCTATAATTTTATTTTATTTTCGTATTCAACCAATCCCATTTGAACATACCATAGCACCATTTATTCCATTGGGTCCTGGTGCTCCTTGTTCCCCCTTGCAAAAGAGAAAAACCAATTAGACAAATTTCTATTTAGAGACACTAACGAATTTTAATTTATGGGAGCGCAATCAGAAAAGATATTGCTCTTTTCCAGCGTTAACATTCCTTTACACATGTAAATGCAAACAAATCTCCAAGCGTCATTGCCAAAAAACTTTTCCTCACAAAGGGAGATACACTCCCTGCTAAATTGTCCAAGCTTGTTAAATTTCAAAGTAACAATGTGGTTTATAAAGACCTTCTGTAATTGTTGAAGAATGTGTAATCAATAAATCAAGAGCTACTTTGCTCATACAAACACAACAAAAAGCGAATCCCTTGGGTAACAAAGTTGTGTCTTACATGTATATGTATAAAAGATAGACTATACCTTTTCACCCTGCAAGCCAGCTGGTCCTTTTGCACCTTGCTTGCCTCTTTTCCCCTACAAAACAGAAACAGCTAAGATAGTGAAAATTTATCAAAGAGAAAACAATTTCCTTAAAAGATAGAAATGCTAAGTAAAAAGATAATACAATGAATACTGAGAACAAAGAAAATTTTTAGGATGTACTTCTCAATTCTGTCTATAGTTTTCAAACCACAAAGGCGGTCAGAGGAAACACAAGAAAAAATTGTTGGCACGAAACAGAGTTGCTAAAAATATCTTTGCCCAGGAGAGCCCTCTGACCCCCCCCCCCCTATAATTAGAGCTTGTCACTGCTGCCCAAGGTTGTCATAAGTGCAACCTCAACTAAATTTAGCCCCAGGTTTCTTTCTAACTAAATGTAGCAACCGAAATGGTTGTAGCATGAAATCCTGAAAACATGACCAAGATTTTATTTATTGTTCAAATAAATAAAGATATACCTACCCTTGTACCCTTTCGTCCCATCATACCAAACATACCCCTTGGGCCTTGATCTCCCTGGATAAAAAAAGGCAACAATATCAATTAGCTTTTGATAATATTCCAATTTTTCTGCTTTTTTAAAGAGATCTGAATAATAACACCCACCTAATACAATAATGCACACTAACTGGCAGTAATATTATCATTCAAACATAAAATTCCTATTCATACACTGCCATGTGCTATACTGAAGATTAAAATGAAAAATTAGCATGCCTCATAGCACACTCCTTCAACCCATTCAGGAAATAAGTCTAGCGATTTAGCATTCATTTGATAAATTCATGGTAGCAGCGGGCAACTCAGAGTGAATGTTTTCTATGCATTTCAGAAAGTAATTCCTTCAGAAAATTCACGCATTACAATTAGAGGGTTGTAAACATAAACAGGGAGTCAGTGACCTTCATTATTTGCTCTGCAAGATACTCTGCTATTCAGTCTCCAATTCCAGATGCCTTTAAGAAGACTTGTTTAGAAAACTTGATACCAAAAAACTATCTGCTTCTATACAACAACTGTCAACCTTGCCCAAAGGTAACTGAAGGTTTTGCCCTGAACAAGTTGCCATCCATTGTGACAACTTTGCCCCACATAGAGATACTGCCTAGCTTAGATTTACATTTTACTCTAAGTAAGCACACAGTTTCTACAGTATTTTTTCATTCATCTGAATCATATTTTTGAGCAGACATTCTGAAGTGACCTTAGAAAATCCTAATAAGGATTTTCCATTTCTTTCCCTAATCCATCAACTCCATCCATATACAGCTGTATGCAGCGAAGAAAGTCTCACCTTTTCTCCTGATAGTCCCACAGGTCCTGGATCACCAACGGAACCTTCTGGTCCCTGAAAAAAGCGGTAAAGTCAAACATGTAGAAACAAAAAAGTTCTCAGATCATTTCTGTGTTTTTTCATTTTCTGTAAACAGCACAGAATACCTCAATCTTGATCAAAGACAATTGCATGAATAGATCACATGGAGTGTAATATCCAATTTTTGTATGGCACTTTGTTGAAATTTAGGCCTTACAAAATAACTAAAACATGTTAATGAATGACACCTTTATTTAAAATAAATAAATAACAATCCCAACACCAGGGTAGTCCCATCAGAATATATGGCTCTGCTATAAATAGGAACCCTGGTGAATAGGATCCTAAAATAAATACAATGCATAATACAAAAATAAATATAAATAATACTACTAATAATAATAACGACAGTAAGAATATACATGCTATCTAAATATCGAACAATACTACAAAAATCTATATATATACAATGGTATAAAAATCTGTAAATACACACAAAACAATAAGAAAAATTTTAATTAAATGTTAATTTTTAAACTATTGCAAAAAAAAACTCTTGGTATTTGTGAAAATTATAGCATAAAATAATCAAATTAAGCAAAAGATAGTTTTAATCATTTTAACAACAGTTTTATTTTTTGTAATGTGCAACAAAGATGTACAGGGAAGTGCAGGAAAATTATTTTGTTGAGAGTATAATGGAAAAAAAACATTGTAAAAGTTGCACACGCAATTCATGATTTTAAATCAGTCATGAAACTTTACATACACCACTTGAGCCTTTAATTTACAAAAAAAAATTAGATTCCCTTCTTTAATTTAATCTTAATACACCTGAAGATAGCCAAAGAACTAATCCATTCCATGTTTATAATATCTGTAGGTGATCACTGCGACGTAGCATTCAACAACAAATTTTCTTAACTCACGAACACAGGCACCTCGTAAAATTTCCGTATCTGGGGAAGATTTGAGTAAAATTTCCGCACAGCCCTATACTATTGTAAAACAAATCTGTTTTCCCAATGGCAATGTATTGTTTTTGTCATTGTTTTCTCTATCCAAGAACTGAATGCATAATGTAGTATGGGGCCGTTGTGCGGAAATTTTACCAGTTATCAATTCAGGTTAACAAATGTAAGATATCGACCGAATTCCCCTCCAAGATGCCAAGATATTTTCCACATACCATCACCTTCTCTACATATTGGGGTACAGGCAGCCATGTTTTTTAAATTTCTAACATTGCACCGGTTCTTTCATGAACAGAATCATGTGTTTCTTCTCAAGAAGGCCATTTTTTCCAACGTAATTTTAAGACAGCAAAATTGAGGCATATAAATGTCCGCCATGTTGTCAAAGATTCAGTCACCAGTGCTACTCTTCGTTTAAAGCTCGAGGAATCCTCGTGCCAAGTTCTCTATTTTCACAACGTTTCAGTTGAGTATTTCGTTTGAAATTTATTATGCAAACCTTTCCATCGAAAAATTATTTTTAAAAAAAACGTAAATAATCCATCCTGGATTTTTGAGAGCAGTTAAGGATAGATAATGTTTATCCTGAATTTTGCGCTCGAAATCAATCTGTAATTCAAAACGCAATTAAGACCTAATTAGCAAACTAAAATCTCGTGCAAACGTGCAAGTTGACTTGCAAAACGCACGATTTTGCATAACTTGCAAGAAGTCGCATTATTCCACTTGTTTATCGCATCTCTCTCTGCAGCAAACGGTGCGGTTTAAGTTATGAATGAATGCACCAAAAGTATGGAGTCTTGTTCACCTCACATGCAGCAAAACAAATTCCTTTCAAAAAGGAAGACACAGCCTCCCACGAAACCGAAATCGAGAAATTCTCTAGGAAAGAGAGCGCATCACAATGCACTGGAACAACAAAGGAGAGGCGTTATTCGAGGTTGCTTCGAAAGCCTTCGCAAATCAGTGCCATCTCTGGCATCAGACAACAAGAAACTATCACGGTCCGGAATCTTAAGAGAAACAGCCGTGTATATAAAAACGGCAAAGGAGAGGGTTGCAGAATATGCGGACGATCTTGAAGAGCTCCGTCTTCAAAACCAGCTGCTCAGTGGAGAAATTGGTTATTTGGGGTACCTGCAAGACATGACACGTCCACAAGACGATCTGAATAGTTTTACAAAAATCGCAATGGAAGGTGACGAAACTGAAGGTAGCCAAAACGAGGGGTACCACACAGACAGCATCATGCTCGATAGCTTGCCTCTACCTCAACACAACAAAGATCTCAAACACAGTTTTACATTCGTTTATGACACTGACGTTCTCTTCATGGAAAAAGGTCTCGAGAGTATGGATTGTCCGAGGAGCGTCGCTCTAGAAGGAAAGAGCTCCACAGACGAGGAATGTGATGTTGATGTCGACGTGGAAGGCTTTGAACAAACACCGTTCTCCTTCACGGCCATATCTGATGCTTAAAATTTTTACTCATTTGATTCACGGTCAAAGTAAGCCCATTAAAGGAAGACACAAAGGCAGCCAAGAGTGTATATTGACATATTTCGCAGAGATATCAAATGTTGTGTTGGTAATAATAAACATGTAATAGTGGATTCTCAGAAATGTAAAATGAGACTTCAATGCTGATTATTAAAAAGTTGATTATGAAATGTAGTAAGGTATGTCCACGATCATGTGTTACTCCACCAGCAAATTTCCAAGTGAGTGAGAAAAGTAGTCCGGATCTGCATTGGTTTTGCCTCTTTTCGTTTCGTAACTGTTATAAAACTCGTGCCAACTCCTAAACCGATCAGACAAAAACCTACAACATCGCCACTTGAAGGCCGTTTTAACAGAAGGAAAAACCGGGTACGATCCGGACCCACCAAGAAAGGAGTACTAATCCCAAAATTTTGCTAGGATTGATGCGTACCTGTGTTTTTTACGGTTTGGGGCCATAGGCGTCTTTGACCCCAAAACGTGAAAAAAAAACTTGGGTCCTTACTACTTTCTTTATATTTTTCGAGTCCATACACGATTTTCCTGCGGTCTAAACGGCTTCTTGTTGGTTACCCCCTTTAAACCTTGCTTCTGCAAGTTTATTTGTTTTTAGCTTAAGTTCTTATAAACTCCTTGCAGCATTTTCATTTTTATTTTACTACTACCTCGTTCCGACTTCCTTGGTTTCTGTTTTACAACACTCAAAAGAGAAGCCTGCAGCTGTTAAATTGTTTCGATCACTCAATTTTTACTGTCTGGCGTGATGTGCTGTTGCCATGTAACGCAGTCGTCTAAATGATCTTCTTCAAAATGTTTTAATAGCACATTTTGTGGCAAAAAGTAAAATGCCTCAAAAGGAAGTCAACTATGTATAATTTACAACAACATTCATCTTATTGAACGCAAGCTTATTGAAGGTAAGATACTTACGTCCTTTCCAGGTCTCCCTGGGTCTCCTGTCGGTCCGACATCACCTGGAATACCCTAGAAACAAACAATCCCAACCGTTAGAGGGCAAACTCACCCTAGACTAGTGAAGTCTGATTGAAAGAGGAATTCTTACAACGACGAGCTGCAACACACATCAAATTCAGAATTTTCTTAATTCAAACATCGCAGCGAAAGTAACTTCCCTGCCCCGAACAGGCGCTGCATCGTTAAATAATAAGAGGGATGGTTAAGATAAGATTAAAAGGCTGATCAGCATAGAACCTAACATTCGTGGTACCCAACTCGACCATACTAAATGCGCAATTTTTCATGAGTAAATTGACCAGAAAGATGTGCGCTCAAGAGATGACCTATAAACAATTTCGGTGAAAATTAAACATGGGAACTAAAACAGACGTCTGCCTCTAAGTAAATTTGTTCACTCGACACTCAGGCTGGTCTACTTCGCAGCTGTCCTTTTGCCATTTCATGGAAAATTGCAGGACAACCTTAAGAACCAGTGTGGATGATGTTTCGCCCAATTCCGCTTTCAGTGCGTTAAAACAATTTTCAACTGAGTGTTAAACATAATAGTGATAGGTCCAGAAAACTAACTCCTCTTTTTTAATCAATCAGATCTAACGGTTAAATCAACCGGGATTTGGCCTGTCGCGTTTTCTTGCGCTTCAGGGAGACTTCCTTTTAATTCAGTCTTGCCCCATGTGATACTTTCCTTTGTTTCAATGGGCTTCGTGATCATTTAGATTTTAGTTTAATAACATTCAACCGAAATGCACTCGAACTGCCTCCAGTCAACTTAGTGTTGCATTACAAACGTGTCAACGGAATATCCCCTCGTGTCATACACACAACCCACCTGTTCTCCTTGACTTCCCTTAGCACCACGGGGTCCGCGTTCTCCTTGAAGGCCCTGGAAACAAGCAGAGATTTAAATCGCAAACATTGTCCACGTGTGTCCTTTTTTGGACACAAAACATATTATAATGGAACATCAAGACGCTCGTCTACGTCAGAGGAAATTTCATGAACTAACTACGGCATTGAACAAATTTATACTATGTCTATTAAAAATGATATAAACATGACATAGATTAGGCAGAAAAACAAGGACATTTTTTACCCGTTCACGGGTAAAACAAAATTACGCTTAGGTGATAGCAAGATTAACAAAAACAGGATATTGGTGGATTTTTTTCCCGTAACTTAAAGAACACGAACGTAGCTCATCAAACGAATAGCAGTCCAAATCGCGTGTAAATTTGATACTTAGGCCCTACCTGGTTACCAGTTTCTCCCGGCTCTCCTGGAAGACCTGCGGCACCTATCCTTCCATAAGTTCCCTTCAAAGATAAGAAAAATTCGTAACAAATTACACCAGGTGGTAGTTTCGTTCCATCTTTTACGTTTGTTTTTATATCAGAGGAATATTTTCCAGCAGCTGCACCTTGTTCACCTGTTAGACAGAAATTACTAGTTGTTCGAACGTTAAGAAGATTAGAACGCTTTAAGCACCGCGATACTTCCAAACAATATCCATTAACTTTTAATAACAATCTCTGCTATTGATATAAGTAGTGCATGAAACATAAGAGAGAGACGAAGTCAGACCGCCTTTAGTTATTAAAAATCCTAAAAAATTGTGCGCTTCTACGCCTTGAGATTGGTTTTGTGAAAATAGGTCAGTATGTGAGCTTAGAGAGCTGTAAAAACATGATTGTTAACAAGGTCCAATGAAAAACTTACCTTTCCTGACAACAAAGACAGCACGCGGTTTCAAAAGAAATTAATATATTCAAATGTAGCTTTTTCCAACTGAGTGTCGAAAATGAGCCGGGATTGTTTTGGTTACATTTTTCTTCGCTTTATGATTGGTCCAGAAAACTCGCGCCACTATCGATCGTAGTTAAAACTAAACCCAATCGCGTCTTGGTCATTCGCATTTTTCCCCGCGCTTTAGGCGGTTCGCTGGTTTTTACTTTGAGTTCTCATTGGCTCTTCAGGGTATCTTCCTTTCTTCTGATTGACCGTATGATAAATTTGATTTTTTTTCTAACGACACTCAATCGAAAAACGCTCTATATGGTGCGACACATTGACATAAAACCAGCCCCCCTCTGTGGGACTGAAGAATGTTGACAAACCTTTTGTCGCTGCATAGATTGCCAAATTTGCACGATCTGGTCAATTTCATCCTGTGACAAGAGTGTTCCTGCTGGTGCCTAATCAAACAATAGACAAGAGTAGCTTTTCCCTAAAATAGCTGAATACTATTTCTTTCACTTGTCACTCATCACGCAAGATTCAAACCATAAGAAGGAAAAGTTGCGTGACGACACAGTAACACCCAATGACGATAACCTGTCATCAGCCTTGACTCAAATTTTCAAAGGGTGGATAACGCTTTACATTATGGAAACGCTATCCAGTGGATGTGGTTACAAAACCTACTGCGCTATTCACTGTATAGATATTAATACAGAGCAAGGAATTTTAAGCCTGTCGATAGGGAAATCTCAGGCAAGTTTGGTGAGCTTACATGTGATGATGATCAACTGACTGTTCAGACTGAATCAAAATATTTGATTGAAGAGGATCTGAGGACCAAGAATGGAATCGAGCGACAGGGCGAGTCCGTGACGCGAACACGCGAAAAAAAAATAAAACAAACTTTTGATAAAGCAAGTTTAGGTAACAAAACAACGTCAGTTCCTTGAGAAATCTACTATGGTGTTGTGGAATGTTATCCATGACACCCAGACGCGATAATATATTAGCGAAACATTTTCCGCTTGGACGGCAGAGCCTCACTGAAAATGAATTTTTCACTCAACGATGAGGTAAGACTTGTTCTTACGCATGTGATCAGTGTGATCTCCATGGAGCATGGATCGACCTCAAAAGTAGAATTAATCCTGCAAAGTACAAAAAGCAGATAAATCGTTTTTCATACCAGCTACTCAGCACTTACCCCGATAAGTGTAATACCCGACGGACCTGCACCTCCGGGAGGACCCGGGGGCCCCTTGCCTCCTTGAGATCCGATATTCCCCTATAAATGGAAAAATGGAGGTCAGAAGATTTCTCTGCACGTTTGATACTTACGCTGTGAATGATTTTTACTAGTTAATTGGCACATTATACCAACTAGTTATAGTTTGAGATGTTGCATACGTGTGGGAGATATATTTGCTGAACTCAAGATCCAGTATATCGCAATTTCAAAACGTAAGTGAATGTAAAAGAAAGAAAGTAGAAAATCAAGAAGCTAACTTTAATTCCTATTTGCTGTAAACAAGCGCTAAGCTTAAAAGTAATCGATCATAAAGCGCTACTGCGTTTTTTTGTCTTCTTCCCATAATTCAGTTTTAGTTATCTCCATCCGAAATCAGTTTTAGTTATCTCCATCCGAAATGTTATCATACCGGTTTTCCAATAACACCTGGACTTCCGGGGTCACCAGGTGAACCCTGTAAAAAAAAGGAAACATTTTAACCACTACAGACGCTAAGGGCTGTTTTACTTAAGGTCGTTTTACAAATTTAGTCATAATAAAGACTGTAACTGCTTCAAGACCAACTTAAATTCCTCGGTAGTAGCCTCTTCACTTGCGTTCTCTTAGCCCCGTTGCGCGCACAAATTCTGAGACGAAGTGAGCGAGAGACCACACCTTACTTACTTGGCGAGATGGTATCAAGGCCCACAAGGGGCCCAGGCTAAAACAAGTCGAGAACGCTTGGGATCTAGGCTTCACCTGATTGACATGCCTACAAAGGAAATCTCGTTGGCTTGAGTGGCAGTCGTCTTCTTGGGAAAGCGCGCAAGGCGTAATTATATCTAGTTGCTTGCAAATTTTTTCTTTTTTTTTGTTTTTGTTTATTAAATCTAATCCAAAGATGAAGCATCAGATTCAAAGATGCATCATAATGTAGGCTCCCAAGGTAAAAGATGGTATCACAATTTATATTCAAGGACAGATTTCTTTAAGTCTGGTTTCCTTCTATTATTTTGTATCACCTCGATCGTTCCAGAAAATGCTCAAGCGTTCGGAAAGGCTAAACGAAAACCAGGCCAAGAAATCATAAACGACCTGGAGGATTGGTATAAACACAATACGTCAAATTTTGAGCTCAGGCCTGATTTCCATGTAAACGCCCGAATCGTATCAAATCGTCTTGAAAACCGAGGCGATCGAGACGATCCGGCTGATTATATGGAAACCAGGCCTTAGACATTTGGGAACCTGAACCATTACAGTTGTTTCTTTGCCCGCAGTAACGAGGCGTCGAAGGAAAGCTTTCACATGAAACGAGGGTAAGTTTTTGAAAAAACTGTGGTGCTGCGTCGGTGGGGGTATTACAAGATCATTTTGTTTTTATTAACTGTGTTGATAATGTAAAATAACCATCGTAAAAGGTTTATAGAGCTAACGTTTCGAGCGTTAGCCCTTCGTCATTCCTTCTGACGAAGGAAGCAAATTATCTCTTAAGTAAAAAGTTCGCCATCAGAAACGGATGAAGAATAAATGTCTGATTATAATCATAATACACCTTCACAACAGGCGTAAATTTTTTTTCAGTTTGCGTATTCGTGTGAGTAGACAGATTCCAATTTTATTTTTGCGCACTTCTCCTCTCGTGCATGGCTTTTCATTAATGACCGCCTCGAGGCGAACATAAGATAAACATTCACACGATAATACTTACTGAAAATCCAGCGACGCCTGGTAATCCCTGTCGTCCCGGATTTCCTGGCTCTCCTTTGGGTGGTAGTGTCTGTCATAAAGATAACAAAAATCGTCATTTCCGTTTTCATTTTTTCCTTTCCAGCCTACATTCAAATGAATCAAGAAGGTAAGTTTCTAAAGAAACTGTGGTTGGAGATATAACAATATAATTTGGTTTGATCATCTGAGTTGATAATGTAAATTAACCACCGCAAAGAGTTCTAGCTGACGTTTAGAGCATTGGCCCTTTATCAGAGCGAATAATTCGCTTTAACGTAGGGCTGACGCTCGAAACTTCAGCTATAGAAACTATTTACGGTGGCCAATTTACGCTATCAACTCAATCGATAAAACCAAATTAGCCAGCCTACATTCAGGTTACCATATGTTGGGAGGCGAGTGCGGATAATTGTGTCAAAGAGGCAAAATGTGCAACGCACTTGTTCATGTGTAGGGTACATATAAATTGTCAAAATATCCATAACCAACCGGCAATTCGTACCTTGTATAGCGTTTTCCCAAAATGAATATTCGACCATCGATTTCAGTGTTAATATTTTATTCCTAATGAACTATGACATTTCCCGTAAAATTTTCAGAACGTATATATTCTTCCTTTAAATAGTGGGCTGCGTAAAGCACTTTCGAAAACAATTTTAAAAAAGATATTTTTAGACCGGCACACGCGGGGGAGGTACTCGCCCGTGCCAAGATGCGCGTTTCCTTTTCAAACCTTTACTAAATTTTTCGTTTTTGATCGCCTCTAAGTTTGTCATCAATGACCTAGAACCTGTCACCTCTAAAATCGAACGGTAGTGACTCATGAAATGTGACAAGGTCGATAGTCTCTGTCCACTTACCGAATTAAAGAATATTTCAGAGGGTGGTGGATTAAAAGGTAGTCGGTAAGTCCTCGAACTACGAGACGACAAAAGAGAAAAAAGCAAAAACAATTAATTCTATACCAAGGTGATTTTCAGTCGACTACATATCCAAAAACAAGGCTATTTTTCCTGTTAACAAGCCGGGTATCTTACGAGTAGGCCACCATTAATAGCGTTGCAGGACGCACGTTTCTCCGCCCGCAGGAAAGTGTGGAGGCCTGGAGCAACGCGAGCCAGCAAGAGGTCTGTAAGGGGTCTGGGACTGATAATGATGAATCAGCGCCAGATTCCGGCAGACCTTTCCCCGACTCGTCTCAAATCTTCCCGCGGGCGGAAAAACGCGCGATTTGCAGCGGTAATAATGAGGACTAGCTTGTAAGCTAACACGAGTAGCAAACTAAGATCATTGAGTGTAAACATACAGAACATGTATAATCTACATCTTGCTACATGAGAACCCTTAGTCATCGTTAGCTATGCCATGATGATTCAGCAGTAATATTGTAAAGAAAAATTAGATGCTTGTCAGTCTTTAAGTTTTAAAGGTTAATGGTTACGCTCAGTTTAAAGCTATTTCGAAATGCGCTCCCCTTTGAAATAGCGTTAACCCTTTAATTCCCAAGATCTGACTTCTAATTCTGCCCTATAGCAGCTACACTTTTAATTGTAAATCAGTTAGGAGAATTTGGTATTAGATATAGGTAACAACTTCTACCTGATAAATTTGAGTAGTCTCATTACCTGTTTGTTGGATAATGACTGGATATTGTAGGGAGAATTTACATGTTCGTCACTGATTTCTCCTACAAATATTACTACTAAATCATACTGGGATCATGAGGATAAAGGAAAAGATCGCCAACCTTAGAAGCTTTGATTGTTAAAAAACTTCTCCTTCTTAGCACAAAAGTAAATGTATTGAGAAGAGTATGGGGAATATGGATACTGATATTTATTATTAACTATTAACTATTATTAACTAACTGATGAAAGTTAACTGATGAAAGAGAGGTAACTGTACACCGCAAATAGCATAGCTAATCTAGGTTGAGTAGAGTTTATATATATATATATATATATATATAAATATATATATACATATAACATAAAATAATAAACATGAGAAAAAAACATATACATATATATATTTGCTTGAAAATTAATACATTGAGAAAGGACAAGATCATAATATACAAAAGAAAGGAATTTAACGAGATCAATACTAAGAGTAGAAGGCGATGTTAGGGTGTAAAGACTTCAATTGAGATATGTAACATTTTATCGTAGGTGCCGGAAAAGTGTGGTCTTCCCTTTGTGTGTTCAGCTTCCAGTTCTAAACCGAGGTCAACATTCCTAACGTTAACCGTTGATTATTAGACACTTACTCAGCCGCTTGCCTCCGGCTCCTGCTCAGGATCTGTTGAGCAATTTAAACAAATCATAAATTAAGTTTAAAGACCTCGTGTTTTGCAGCACATTTCTTCAACGTCACCAGTGCAAAAAAAAAAAAATCAGAATTTTCCTTTTAAAATGAATTTAAGGATAAATGTTAGGCAAAACTTGGCGTATTTCTTATTAGCTTATGCGGAAACAGCTCACACAACCTGTTTACCAGGGTCCTATCTCTTCCTCGGGAGAAACGACACTGGCAGCGAGGTTGACTGTTCGCATGTCACTGAGCTGTTGCGTGACATTATAGGGCAAGATCCCCGCTGCCGTCGAGGTAGCAGCGCAAAAATGAAAACCGAGTTTGTCTGATGTTTCTCCAAAATCATTTAAAATCAGCGAGTCTCACCTCTTCACTTTCATCATCTATCGGCACAGCTGTTGAAGGAACACGAGTATTTCAAAACAACGCAAGTCATAAGTGGAAAATGCCATGCATTACAGACTGTACTACCAATCACGCAGCTTTAAGTAAAGTGGGTCAAAGGTTAGCAAATTTTTCTTTATGAATGGGTAACGAAAGTATTTATGGAAAAAGGTTTTCGGTCTCCAAATCGTAAATTTCTAGTCTGTCGTTGTCCTAAGTCTATTAGAGGATAGTATTTTTATTTCGCGTGTCAAGGGTTCGGTTATTTCTTTGATGAAAGGTATAACTCTTGACGCGCGTCCTCAAAAAACATCACGTTACAGTTGTAAACAAACCGGTCATCACCCCACAACAACAGTTCCCGATTTCGAAGTTTCGACCTTCGCAGGATTCGCACACAAACGTCGTATACACAATTCTTTGTGCCTATTGTTCGTGGTGCTACATGGGAGAAACGGGCAGAACTTTCAACAACAGAAAAATAGCGACCAAAGGCTTAAGGATTGCAAATCATGCCTGGTCTTGACTTTGAAAACGTTTCTATCATTGATTAAGGTGGCATACCAAACTGACTCCCAATGCAGACAATAATTCGTGTCCAATACCTGGACAACATTCTTTTAAACAAACATTCATAACCATTTGCATTATTATTTCACAATTCCACGCATTTTTATTAAAAATATTTCCGCTTCTTGTCACTCACATTTCACCCGTCTAAAACTGCAATTCAGGCAGTCGAAAGCTCGTTATGTTTCAATCGTTTTAGCCAAAGATCCGGTTCTAAAGAAAACATTTTTTACCGAAAGTTTCCTATTTTTTGGAAATCGTGGCATGTAGGGATCCATCGGCGCCTGTTTATCGTCCATGAAAGTTGCAAGCTAACGAACAAAGTGGAAGATCACGCCGCGTTAAGCATACGGGAGAAACCCTTGAAAAGTCGTTACTGCAAAAGCGAATGGTGAAATTCACCCACGATTTCGCCAACTATTATTCTTGGAATCTAAGAGATCCAAGAAATAAATAGAAGACAGCTTATTCTAAAAAGAAAGGAAAATATTTCAGTCGTAACCGACTATTGCTCACAAATCGCTTAAGAGAAAGATAGCAACGTTCACATCTTTCTGATGATGCACGTGTCACGCCATTTCCACAAACGAGGCATTATTCCATTCATTCTGAGAAATATTTCAGAGAGTATTTCACAATTTTCATATTTTACCTCAAGTAATGTCTCGACTCGATTACCACGCTAGATATTGGGGTAATATTCTAGAAGTTTTTATCAAAAGGACCTTTGTAGCGATAGGTAAGAAATACATCCATTTGGAGTGACCAGAGCATGGTAAGATTTCCCACGTAAGCCCAGGTTGGTAACTTAATCTGGTAGACAATTTTATTACGACTTTAGAGCTCTTCTGTCTTTCCAACAGAGACGCGCGTAAACCTTGGGTCAGCGCTTAACAAAGCCTTGAATTTCCAAACATATAGTAAGATAATGCATTTTAAAATGTTCGGTATTTTCCGATGTTTTCCTTCTTTATTAATTTTTTAAATCAAGAAGTTAACCTTCATATAGAGGCGTGAAAAAATATTTATCAACGCGTTATTGTTACCTTGTGTTAATGTTAGTGAGGATGTTTGATCCTTAAATAGAAAATCACTAAATTCAGAGAAAAATCCATTCAAAATAAAATTCAAAAGCTTAACTGCAGTGAAATAATGCGTTGTTTCAGATCTGAACGAAAGAAGAGAAAGAATTAAGTTATGCCCCAAACCGATCCTGTGCCAGACGGATGTGTCTTGAAATAAATGTGTGAATCTCCAGACACCTTCGTTTTGTTCACACTTGAATCTTCGAGCTGCGAGTCTCTTAGTAAAATAGTATATAATTAACCCCTTCAGCTTAACAGTTACTTCACAGAAGATGAGAGAAAGAACTTTTCTCGCGACAACTCAGCACAAGTGAGCTGTTGTGACACACACACAATTGTAACAAACAAGCAAGCATTGTATTCAGTGAATGCTGCTGTTCATTTCATTTGGTGGTGAGCGTGTGTGTTTTTCTCACAGATGCTATCGGCTACCTAATAAACCCGATTGCTTTTAGAATCTCAAGAAATACCTTATAGACACTTGTGTATTTTACTAACCTTGCGACGTGAAGAAGCTCGCAAACCATAACGAAAATACAAGAAGTCGCGCTAGAACCATTTTGTTATCCGAAGTCGACGTTGCTGACTTCAACAGTTCCAAAGCTCAATAGGAACGTGAAGGTCCAATGCAATATTGATCAGAGAAACTGTAGCATGGAAAGGGAATACGCCACACCAACGAGTCCAAAATTTTGCTTTTACCGGGAATGAACTTAGCTAAGGCCTACCCTTAGTAAGGAATGCCCAAGTGCTGACTCGCTCGCGTGGTATTAGAGAGAGCTATTACATACTTTGCAAGATCAGATCTCTCAGGGTATCGTGTTCGCTCGGTAAAATGCCCCTTTCTCTCCAGGTAACGACGTCGACGGGGTTCAGGTTACGTCCGCGCGCATGCTCACAACGCCAATAAGCGTAGCAACATTTTGAGTAGCTCCTAATTCATTTTTTAATTCATTTTCCGATCAAATCATTCTCAAAAAATTCGTGACAGCTTCTTTTTTATTCTGACGACCGCAAAAAGATAAAGAAAATAAAAAATTTTAAAAAATGAGTAACACAATCGCTTCGCACAAATGTCACGCAATAAGTACACCCAACTTGAACTCCCCCGCTTCCCCCCACCCCCCGACAGTGCGCGACGAGAATAACACAAATATCACGACAAAGACCAATAATGCCAACTAAAATGGTTCAATCGAAAGTTACCTCAATCGTTTTTATTTCAAATCTACTTAATACAGCAGACAAAAATCATTTATTTTTATCGAGGCGATAAAAATTCGACGTGCCTAGCAGAGCAAACGCCACTAGAATGTTATCTTTCCTTTTAATTTGCACAGACAGTGGGCGGATGAACATTATAAAGACGACTCTTTTTTAATGAAAAATAATCTCCTCTATACGGCTAAAAGTGGTACAAAACGCAACAAAGCAAAAATATGTACGCACGACTTTTAACTTCTTAGTTTCCTCAATTTTTAAATATCGCAAGGTGAAGTTACCAGTCAGCCATAGAATCGTTACTTTCCAGGTTTAATAGAAAGTCGTTTTTCCTGAATTTTCCTAACTTACTTGTATAAACAGCCATTTAGATGTCAAGGAAGTGATGTTTTATTCAGAATGTAAGACTCTCTTAGACTCTTTGTGGTTACTGCCGATAACACCAGTCAGCAAAAAATGGCGGGTATATGGGGAGGAATAATGCAGGCTCTCTCTTGCTATCTCTTCCCAGACCTCCGTCACATTTAGCACGCCCACTCTATCGATCTAATGATCAAGAACCTAGCGATAACATCGCATGAGGGATCGCGGTTCTCGGGACGGGATAAGAAATGTCGTCGGTTTCACAATCACAAATTAACAGTAAGTTATTGTTTCTCCACTCAAGGCTCGATTTCAACGGGATTGGGTTCCGCCACTGGATGAGTAGTACTTAATTCAGTCAGCTCCCGGACTCCTGAAATTTCTCGTCTTTTCCTATTGTTCATCACTCGCTTGGAACTGCGTAGAAAATTACATTGAAAAGCTCATCAATCCTTAATCCCTAAGTAAGTGAGTAAGACAGCAAGTATTCTCGAGATGAATTTAAGCTAGCCTACAATGATAAGCGCTCGATCAACCTCACTGCCATGCAAGGTCTTTCTGGCGGAAGGAGGAGAGACCCTTGGAACGACACTGGCGTAGCCTCGTTGGCGCTCGATTAAACTAACTGCGATTGATTCAGAACAGCGCCCGCAAGGAAGAAACTAGGCGCACGCAAACACAAGAGGGAGCGCTTGCCAAAGTAGTCATGCGGTTTGGTATGAAAACCCAAGAATGAACCGAATGGAAACTTTCCTTGATGAAAAGAAATGGCTTTTAACAATTTTACTCCCAAGAGCTCATTAGTAATGCTCCTTACTGTACGCTGAACAATTTGTAAGAAGTTGGCTCGGAGAATTTGTCATTTGGTCAATTAATTGCTATTTTTCTCTATTGTTATCACTTGTCTGCTTGATATGGTATTGACATCGTAAGGAGAACTCTATTTTGGTCACTCATAATAATTAATAATTAATAATAATTTATTGACTTCTAAGGCGCAAATTCTATGTATATATATCTATGAATATACATTCACTCACTCATATAGTCACTCATGGGATTTTGGGGCTTAAAGCGATGAGAATGTTACGTCAACAGACGATTTGTTGAAATAAATTGGAAAGAAGCTCTATGGTTTACAACAAACTGGAAACGAACACCCAAAAAAGTAGTAGTTGAGAGTCTTTCTAAGCACTTTGCAATGACAAAATAGGACAACTAGTTGTTAGTTATTGTATGCCTAATAACCTAACACTCATAACCAGCATGGGTACAGAGATCTCGTCAAATAGGTCCGTACCCTAAGCAACATAGACTTAGATTGCTGTGATATCATGAAACGACGATCACCCAAGCCCAGCTATTAATACGAAATACTGGTGTCACAAGGATCCCACTTTACGGGAAGAGATGGTCAACTATTTACAAAAAGGTCCTTTTAGATAATAATGTACTCACATTACTCCGAGAATTAACATGACGATGGATAGAAGAACAAGTGCCACGGCAACTCCAAAGACGACCCATCCCCAGTAGTGACTTTGAGCAGCTTCTGGGGGCGAACTTGTGGTGACTAGTACAAAAAAAACACCATTTACTGCAGGTTTGCATTTCTGAGAAATATCATCTCTTACCATGGACGTAGCTACAAGGGGGGAGGGGAGTGGGAGTGGGTCCTGAGGTTCCCTTTCCCTTATTCTCACTACCTGTTTGCTGAATAATGTATGGATATCCTTGAGAGAAGTTACATGTTAATCACTTCGGGGAGTTAAAGGGTTAAAGAAATAGTCCCGTGATATGGGGATTCGCCAATAATCTTTTACTTTGTTTCGTTTTGCTTTGATATTTTGTTCAGTTACGATGTTTCGCCCTCAAACCTCGTCCCTTGACAGGATAGATTTTAGGGTTAGGGTTAATAATTGACGACAACGGACCTATAATCAAGCGTGAAGGCCTAACGCTTTTACATTAGTTTGGCGCAAACTGTCAGCGATACTTTAACGTCAAAGGTGTACGTCCACTGTTTTGCACTTTACATCAAGTATAATGGTTACCTTCTTTACATGTCAGACCATCCATTTCAAGCTTGTGTCCCGTGCGACAAGCACACGCATAACTGCCCACAGTATTCACGCAAATATGCGCACATTTATGTTTGTTAGTCGTGCTGTTGCATTCGTTTATTTCTGTAAGAATTAAAAGACAACATTTTGGTCAGTAGTGTGGGGGAAGTAACCGTTTTATAAAATCATTCGGGTCGCTAACCTTCAGCTGGTATTCGATTAACACTGTTTTGACAAATGAAGGCTTCACGACTTCCTAATTAGATAATGAAATCTTAGAATAGGCTTGAAGGAGTAAGAAAACACCATGGAGAAAAAGAAGGCAGCAGAGGGAGAAGAGAAAGCGAGGCCTCGCTTTCTCTTCTCCTTCTGTTGGGAAGAACAGGGACTATTTAAAAAAAAAAAAAAAAAAGGAAAGAAAGAGACCACTGACAGTAGCAAAAGAAACAAACTACTTGTTTGGATACGGTAATACTTTGTAAAGCTGGCCTGTGGTACTGGGGTCATTTCCAACACTTGTGCGTGTCTCGTCCCTCACGCTATCCACGCAGTTGCCTCGCGCTTTCCACTCGCTTGCCGCGCGTTTGCTTTCGTTTACCAACAGAACGCAAACAAATGACACCTATCACTCAGACTTACATAGAGCGGTAAAGATGAGGCATACCCGATTAATACGGTATGCCTACCATAGCCGGCTAGATGGGTTTACCTCTAAAACATTTAGGCTACGTAATTCTATTATGACAATAAAAGCTTGCTCCGATGGCTGGATTTTAGCCACTGTTTGGGAAATGAGCCCGCGTTCCCTTTATCCTTCTTAGAAGGGTCGAAGACCGCTTTTGAGCAAACAGTAGAAACCGAGCCTAAGATATGGTGGCCTTATCCTGTCTTAATTATATGTATCTCTAAGTCGTTTATACCTGTACAGGTGTGTCGGTCGGCATTCAGTTTAAAGCCTGAACTACAACTGCAGTTATATTCCCTGTTAAGTCTTGTGCAATAGTGCGCACAGCCACCGTTGTTCCTTTTGCACGGATTAACATCTGCATAAAATTTTAACATTATGAAAAACCGTCATAACAAAATCAAAGGACGACGAACCAAACACAAAAAACAAAGACAGAAAACCAAACTGGCCAGGAAGTAGAAAAAAATTATAAAAGAGTTGTGTTCCCAAAACAATTTCGAGATATGATGATCGCATAATAGCGTTGAAATCAAACTTGAAAAACAAATTGCGTGACAAGTAAAGAAGAAATGGGAAATTAACTTACCAGTCGGTACTGAGGCACTTATACCAGGTGATGTTCGAGTGGGCGAAACATCAATTGTACTGGTTTGACCACTGACTGTATTGGCTTGATCAGTGACTGTACTGCTTTGACCACTGACTATACTGGTTTGACCAGCAACAATACTGGTTTGAACAGCGACTGTACTGGTTTGGCCACTGACTGTACTGGTTTGGCCATTGACTGTACTGGTTTGACCAGTGACTGTATTGCTTTGACCAGTGACAGCACTGGTTTGAACAGTGACTGTATTGGTTTGGCCACTGACTGTACTGGTTTGACCAGTGACAACACTGGTTTGAACAGTGACTGCACTGGTTTGGCCAGTGATTATACTGGTTTGACCAGTGACCGTACTGGTTTGACCAATGACAACACTAGTTTGACCAGTGACAACACTGGTTTGAACAGTGACAGACCTGGTTGGACTAACTAAGGAGGTCCTGTGGCTACTAACAGACAGGGAAGAAGCATCCGGCCCAGTAAGCTGTAGACTCAAACTTTGGGAGACCGGAAGAGAAACTGGAGATGAGGGCTGTCTAGCAGAGACCACAACAGAACCCTGGGAGGAAACTCGGCTTGATGAGATTTGACCTGAGCTGCCTCTAACAGGGGTGAACAGAGAGGTAGGGGTAACAGTTGCTGTTATCGACGAATGAACTGGTAACAGGAGAGCTGAGAAAAATTAAAAATCGCAAAATAGAGTAATGTCAGTAATATCTGTGGTTAAAACTACACCACAAGCTTAGAGGTCAGTAAAACCAGTCAAAGCACTAATTAATTTCATGATGTGAACAAAAAAAGACAACAATATTATTTTCCTAAGTAATGAAACAATCTCTAAACATCTTTGTTTTCATCACCCTATCGTCTTCTCGTTTGTTTTTCTTTCATCACTAATATTTCGTTCAGGGGAGATATCTTGGATATCTTAGCCTCGGTCGAAATTACTAGACAATCGACCGACTATTCGATTCTAAATATCGACCGATAGTCGACCGATAATGCCGATATATCGACCGACTGTCGGACGATGAATCAGCCGATATGTGCACATTTAGACGTCATATATAATCGCCGAAAAACAGATACTGTCGACCGATAGTGCTAAATGTCGACCGATATATCGGCCGATGTATCGGCCGATATGTCGACCGAGGCCACCTATAGTACACATGATCCGATATCTTAGCTCAAACTCATCCTTTCGTAAATATAATGAACATATATAACAGAAAAACAGATAAGTTGTAGGGAAACAGAAATGAAGTGTACAATAATGAACACAGGTATGTACTTCCACGGTCGCTCCTATGTATCAAGAATTTTCTGTCTCCGTCGCAGCCATGAACACAAGCGGAAATGTACTCCGAAATTCTTTTATGTATTCATGAAACTCGCATTGAAGTAAACAATCTGAATAACGCTGGACGCAAAAAGCAAAGGTGGTTTTAATTACGTCTTGGGTATGTTTGCCTTATGAAAATCCAGTCATCTAATTTGAATGTGGAATTATTACACTGATACATAGCACGAATTCAAAATGACAAGAACGGTTGTCATAGCTTTTAAAAATCGAAAAACTGACTCGGTGAACCTGGGAGAGGTAGGAGTCCGCGGATAATCCAGGAGGTCCTCTTACCAACTGATTATGCAACTTTCACATATCTACGAAGTGCCTCATTAAAATTCATTCATACAAAAACTCGTTCATGAAGGCTTCATTCGTTTACGGTTTATTTAAATTCCAATTGCCCGCACAATTAAAGTTATCGATCTCTCTGCTTTCTTCGACCAAACCCAACACTCTGCCAACGAAAATGTAAGCTAGAAACCTCAACAACTTAGGATTTCCGTGCGAAAAATTCCTGAAAACGTTTTCTAACGAACCATTTCATCATGTTTGTTCATTAACGTCGCACTCAAACAAGCAAGATAGTTTCTAGGATAAGAAAAATCACTTACTTGCAAAAAGAACTACAGGAATAACAACCATCTTTTGAAAATTCTTCACTACCTTGTTGGAATTAATGGTAGCACGCGTATTAGCACTGTAGCAGAATAAGCTCATAGCGCTGAAATTGTAACTCTGTCTGTTGTTCCCAGCGGATTAATCAAGTCGGACTTCCGGTAGCAAGTTAAATATTAAAGTTTTACCATGTCGCGCAACAAGCGCTGAAAACCCAATAAAGGGTACGAAATGGTAACTGGTGAATTCTCCCCTATAAGAACTACAGGGATAACAATCATCTTTTGAAAATTCACCAGTACTTTTATGAATGTCAATGGTCGCAAGAGAATGGCACTGAGGCAACTTCAACCTACAGCGCTAAAATATTAGCACTGACTGTTGCCCTAGCGGATTTCTTAGCAATTTGAATATTAACTCTTTACCATGTCACACAGCAATCGCTGAAAACCCAACAAAGGACAAGAAATGTAACTAAGAAATAGATCTTGCCATTTCCCTAAAGTTACTACAGAACGTTTTAAAGGTAACTGGTGAATTCGCCTCACTGCAAGTTCGCCTCCAATCACCTTCGCGACTTCGCCCCTTAAAGCAAAACGAGTTCGACCCCACCTTTACCAGTTCGCCTTCAAGTCATTCAAATACGTTCGTTAGTCATTACTGTGGAATAATTGTTGGCTTCGTCTTCCATTTCCAGTCAAAATCGAGCTTTTTTTGCGACCAACATGCGATTTTTCGATTCGATCAACTTGCAAATTACTCGGCCGTGTTGGAAACGCACGAGTAATACAAAAGTGTTGGTGGGGGGGGGGGGAGGGGGAAACTCAATGAGCTTACGACAGTGACTGCTTTTATTTAAAGTGATACTGTGAACTACCTCTCATGATTCTCAATTAAAGAAATCCATTTATTTGTGGGCTTCTAGTGTTATGGCGACCACAGAATGGGAAATATCTAAGACAGGTGAGAAAACTGTACAGAATGAAAGTTATCAATGAAGAAATAGAAAGATTGGAAGAGACTGATGAACGAAACCGAAGCAAGTGCGTTTCCCAGAAATATTCCAAATCCTGAAGTGACGAAACAACGAGAAAAAAAAAAAAAACGATTTATACCGTAAAACATAATTATCTAGCGAAGTCCTCATATAACTGTTTACTCGAAAGTCCTAAACGCAGTTTGTCGTGAAATGGTTCTGTGTCAGTCTCCATCCTGGGCCACCTCCATTAGAGACATCCCTTATCACACCTTAACGTCATTTGTCCACTTTGCGCATGCCCTTCTTCTACCCTCCTAGTCGATTACGTTCCCAGAGCCGGGCCACACTCCCCTAATCCATTGCGGTCGTCTTGAGCCCGAAGGCATTGGGGGAGTATGACGATTGCTTCACATCCTTACATACATAGGTTTGACTAATGGTATAATTATAATTTTTCATTATTCCTCTTTATACTATAACAAAAACAACCATGAAAAACAGCACCTCTTTATTTGTATCCTGCACTTACATTTTTTTGTTTACTTAATGTTGACGAGAAAAGAAGCGAGCACTGGCAGCCCTAATAAGTAACCATATGGGGCTGGTTAAACAGGGCAATCAAACTTAGGATCACAATAATAAATGGTTTAATTAAGGATCATGGAAATGTTTCAGGAATACAAGGAAACACACACCTACATATTCTAGTATACAAAACTTACAAGGATGTATTTAGCTAGGAGTCAAAAACTGTTCCCAACTTAGGTAGAAAATAAATAATTTTGTAGAAAACAAATTCAGTACTTACTTTTATATTTGTTAAAGTTATTATTATTGTTATTTGCCTAACTTCAGCCAAGGAAATATTGAAATAAAGACTTCTACCACCATCACAGATTTACGAAAAAAAACATGATCCTGTTTTGTTGTTTAATTTTGAACGACTAGAAGATTTGGAATAAAAGGGTTTTTGCTCTCAAGTTTCTATGCGTGATTGATTCGGGCTTCACTCTCATCAACTATCACGCGATAGAAATCTCGAACTTACAATTTAATTGTTAACGGGAAGGTAACGACAAGCACCGTGCAATACTAAAATATAAGAGCGCTGAAATCAATTTTAAAACATCACACTGCCTAACTAGATTAATTAGCATCAAAAGCTTGCTAAAAATTTTCAGGACATCTAGTTTGAAAAACAAAATCAAGCCTTAAGGAAGAGTTTTCCAGTTGTCTTCCTGCCTTCGAGCAGATCAAAAGCTTTCTTCGCTTCTGAAAGCTTAAAAATGGTAAAATCTTCCATTTTTATCTTGCCCTGTGCGATCCAATCAAATACAGCGTTTGCTCTCTCAGACAACTCCTCAGGCGTCGCTACATAGTCGACTATTTTTGGGTGAGAGAGAGTATGTGACCCATTCCCATTTGAAAGAATAAAAGGATCCAAAGATTCAGGGATACCAGATGCGTAGCCGTAAAGAACCATGGTACCAAGTTTCTTGAGGCACTTAAAACCTGCAGAAAACCAAGTCTTACTTCAAGATTTTATGTCAATCCAAACAAAATCACATGAAAACTCTGCATATCACGGACAATATATGTAATAAATATGAACTGCGCAGTAAGTATATTGGATAACACCTAAGCAGGTTTTTTACAGTAAAGCCTGAAAAATAAGAGGTGAAGTCTGTACTCGAGCCTACTGGCCAACCCAGCCGAAGCTTATCCCGGTTTCCAAGCAGCAAGAACCGACAAGGAGTATGACTACTTCCCCCTGGATTGGATGCCAGTCCATCGCAAGGCAGTATAGTGCTTTTTATTGAGCCCTATTTTCGCAACTCGCGTTGTTTGTGTTTTTCTTTAGGTCTGTCGTTATTTTTTTTTCACTGTGCTGATCATCATTGTGATACACACATGTACCTTTGTGAACACAACTTGCCTTTAAGAAAGGTCTCCTTTCCAACCCCATCATAAATGACGTTGACTCCGGAACCTCCTGTGATTCTGTTGACTTCTTGGACAAAGTCTTGATCAGAGTACAGAATAACTTCATCGGCTCCACAAGCCTTTGCCTTGACAGCTTTCTCTTGGGTGCTTGTTGTCCCAATAACATACGCTCCTACAATCCAACACAACAGGTCAGCGTCTACAGTAAGTCTTGGTCAGTTTAATCTTCGTTATTAACTTGTTCTAGAAAACGAACTGGTGATACATGGATACATTCTTAAAAAAACCATTGTTAAAAAAAACTCGAAAAATTATGTTAAATTTCACCGTATAAGTGCAATATCAATATTGTTATTATTGTTATCATTATTGTTATAATTATTAATAGAGCCTCTCTTCACCTCTGGAGGTGTAAATGAGAACCGGGATGTACTGTGAACGTGTTTTTTTGAAGGAGAGGAGGAGTCATTGTATTGCAGTGAGCTGAAGGCTGTTAACCCTTTAACTCTCATGAATGACCAAGACAGAATTTCTCCTAACAATATATATACAACATCAACTAGATAAGTGATGAGATTAAAGAAAAAGATCAATTTGGGGATAATTAGTTGCTCCAATACTAAATTCTCTGAACTAACATTACAAGAATTGCATGGTTGACAATAAGGAGAATTACAAATTTGATCTGGGAGTTCAAGTAATAATTTTGTTACCTGCATTTTTAGCCACTTGACATATCAGGGATCCAGTCCCACCAGCAGCTGCATGTACCAACACCTTGGTACCAGGTCCCACCGGGAATACAGTGTGAACCATGAAATGAGCAGTGATACCCTGAATCATGGTTGTTGCTGCTTGTTCATAAGTGATGTTTGATGGCACTTTGACAAGTCTTTCCACTGGAATAACACTGTATTCTGCAAAACTTCCTAATTTGTTTCGAAGAGATGAAATTACATTTAATCAGAAATTCTTTACCTCATTATTCCTACATGCAACAGAGTCTGAGAACTTACATTCATGTAGGGTCCAGAGAAAAGTTGGTACCTCGCTAAGAAACTGCTTCTTCTTTGATCTCTGAGCTGATATATATATATTTTTTCATTATGTCAATCGCGCATATTAACTGAGTGTGGATAGCTTCCATTATTCATCACAAACAAGTGTGGTTATTATGCACCCGTATACCCATAAGGCCACTTGGTCTCAACGTCCATGGCATTTTAAGGCGTCAACGTGTTTGCAGTCGAATGTTTATGGGAATGTGTCAACCATTGAAACCCCAAGAATGACTAAGATCTAATTTCTCCGCACAAAATTGCCCCTTAATCAAAAATTAAGGTCACCAGAATAACAGAAAGGATCACTAACAAAAGCAGCACTTGATTGAGAAACAAATTCTCCTTGTCGGCACTAAAGGAAATCCAAAGAGAACAGTAAGGAGAAAATCCATACTGATGTTAGGGTGTAAAAGTTAAAATAGCATTCAAAGCCTCTAAATTTTCACACAGTCTTTGACAGGAAGTGTACCCAGATACCCTAAGAGACTCGATCCGTTGTTAATTGTGAGCTGTTTGCTTCATTCTCCTTGCAACCTCTTCTATACATTACTGAGAAGCCAACAGATCAAAGTATCAGAAAATAGCGGTGAACTGAAAAACGATGGAATGACAGGTACAACCTTTTTACAAAATAGCTGAATTTAAACTTATTCACCTGAATTAAGATGAAAATATGCGACACGATCTCCTACTGCCATACCAGTGGCACCAGACCCCAGCTTTTCAACAACCCCCGCGGCCTCCACTCCAAGGATTGCAGGAATGCCAGCTATGTGAAAAAGCCCTTCACGATGATACACATCAAGATAATTAACACCGCTAATAAGATTCTTTACTAAGGCCTACAAAAAGAAGAAACAATGGGTTAAAAGAAAAATAAGATAAAAAAAGACAATAAGGTCACTGAGACGTTTTATGAATTTCGTTCGAATAATTTACAAGTTAGCTTTACAGTTACACGTTCCGTTGTACAGCCTACTATTCCCAACCCTTTCTTCCACTCTCAAGGAACTGTCACGTCTCATGACATTTCAGTTGCCTCTCATATTGAACGGGTTCTGGTAGAGTAAGGGCAAATCAACGTGGATTTTGCTGGAAAGACTTGACACTTCCGATTCAAATTCTCTATCCCATCCAGGCAAGGTTCAAATTCCCTACCCCCTGAAAGGCCTTTCATGTCAAATTCCCCTTTCCTCAAGCACAGACAACATATAAATGCACAAGGGTTGCCCAAGAGGAGGCGGGGGTGAAGCTTCGAAATTGATCGACAGATTAGTTTCCCCAAAGTTGTCAGGTGATAGCGTGAGACCAGTTTCTTGCCGAACTTGTCTTCCTGATTATATACATCACTTTCGTCTAACCAGAAGTTCCTTTCTGTGGATTTTCCTGCTACGGTAATTTTCTGAGTGGTTCAAAGTGATTGGCCAGTAAATGTCAGTGTAATCTCTCCCCATGTTTTGTAAAATATCAAAGTAAAAGGGACGTATGCTATTTAGCTCAAAAAGGTTTCATAACGTAATGGCGATCGACTTTAGAGTTCCGTTAACTTTCTTTAGATTAAAAGACGGAATGTTCTCTATTCGTTATATACATCTTCCTTTTAAGTCCGCTTACTTAAGCACACATTAGTGAACAACAAACAATCCTTCCAATCACGTTAAACATGTAAAAATTTGCATTTCCTTTCTCATCAATTCCCACGGACAACCTTTGTGCTCAATGCCTTTGTATTTTAGAGCAAACAATGAAATCGTGTTTGTTTATCCCTAAGTAAATTATTTGCCTTCAAGAAGACAGTGGCTAAATTTCCAGACACCTGGCCCCAGAGACCAGGTGTCTGGAATTATTTCTAGGCATTCAGATGCCTGAATTTGAAGTTTTAGAACACAAAGCGAAAAAAAATTTTCCCTTGCTAACACATAAAAGTGAGGGCAATACGCGGCAAACTTTATTTCGCAACTTTGCAAAAGAAAGTTAGCAGATATTTTTTTATTATCAGCCGACAGTTTTGACTGCACCACATGACGAGCTTTGGTCACCAAGAGAATTCGGTCCCTCACCATCTACTCGAGGCGTTAACTCCTGGTGATAAAACCCTAACAATCACCGAATACTGCGAATAGTCGCAAATAGTCGCGAATAGTGACGAATATAGATAGATCTATTGACTGTCAAGTTTTCGGTAAGTGACTAAATCAAGTTCCCCTATTTGTCAGGCGCCCCTATATGTCATGTCGCGTTACCAACCCCGGTAATTTTGGTTCTCCTACTAAATAGAATGTTCTTTGTATGTGTTTTAAAATTGAGTCGTTTACTGTAACTTAGTACCACAGATCGAGAGCGCCTAAGATAATAAGATATCTGACGGAGTTTGAAGGAAATTGGGGTCGGGATAAATAAGCAATTTGTAATAACTCTCAAAATGAAATAGTGCAATGGAAAATAATCTAATAGCTTTAGAAGATGTTACATCATACAATTTTTGACGACGTCAAAAATGAAAGACGCATCTGTATGGCAGGTTGGAAAATATAAAATGCCAGAATTCGGAATTGGAACCGGAATACTCAGAATACCCGGAATACACGGAATGACCGAAAAATGATGAATTAAAAAAGATAAATTAATGAATTTATTGTTTCGTATTATTTTAAAAAATGCATTAGTTTCCAGGTCACGCAGATTTGTAAACTATGAAAATCATTTCATATGAGCACAGCAGTCCGATTTCTTGAAAATTTTTAATGTTTTGTTTTTTTCAAATGCTTCGAATATTAAAATATCATCACCTCGTTTTTGCGCGAACTGGAATAATTCCTGGAAATACTTTATTTCTATTAATAAAGCACAGTTTTAGCAGTTTTAGAGGTAACTTTGAAAGAGGCGTTGGTCTTAAAAATTACTGGTGCGTGGAGATTTACACTCTGATGAAGTTTATGGACATGACAGTCCAAAGTTTCCTTGCAAACAACGATAGACACGTCCGAGACAGTGAAAACAAGCGGTGTTGGCGTGACAGTCTGGCAGTTTATTTATCGACAGGTAATGATTAAACAAGACCCGCCCACCCCAATAAAAAAAAACACAATCATAAACCCCTGTCGAAGGTAACAAAGTTAAAACACATGGAAATAAGGAAAGCTACAAAACAAGAAATTATTAAACGGGAGGGATGGGAGGGAACTTAAAAATCGAGCGAGCTGGTGATGCGCGTGAGGCGAGAACCGAGACTGATTAAGTTGCAAGGCTGCGGGTTATTTTACTTATTTAAGGCTGCTGATTATTTTTACTTTATTTTTATTTTCATTTAATTAATTAACTATTTATTCATTAAAATTTATTATTTTAAATTATTAATTAATTAATAATTTTTTAAAATTTATCATTTTTCGGTCATTCCGGAAATTCCGGCTGTTCTAGGTATTCCAAATATTCCGGTTCCAGTTCCGAATTCCAACATTCCTGTTTTCCAACCTGTCCATCTGTATTCACGCCTTTGGATGAGGCCGCCTGTGTGAATTACAAGTGTCTGGTTACTATGCAAATGAGCTTATGCAAGATTGAAGCTCGCCTAACCTTATTTGCTTAAAAGGATTAGGCGGCATAATACCAATTGGGACACAAATTTACCTGATGCTATTTCAATATTTGTTTGATTTGTCATGAACATCTATGATAAGATAAAGTGAAAGAGGCCAACAGTTTTGGGCGGTCAACGACTCTCCCAGACAGTCACTATTATTGTTACTCTACTGAGCGTAAATTCACTGTCTGCCAACCTTCGGATCATTTTCCAATCATAACACCAAGAGGTAGAGAGTGCAGACTTTCTTTGTGCTATTCCACACCCTACTGGTCATTGTTTGCGAGTCTGAATATATTTTGGGCAATGGAAATGTCTTTAAACCCTCATGTTTTCTCGATCAAAAAATTTTGCTAATCGAACCTTTTTGGCGACAAAAGTTCTTCATCTAGAGTCTGAGTAAAGGCGCTCAATCACTACTTGGCGCACGCGTGCAAAAATTTCCTTACAACCTTTGAGAGCCTTACCTCGTTGTGTCCTGGTTCAGGAATAGATGCCTCTTCGTATTTCAATTGAGACGAATCTCCAAGTGCATTGATCTTAATAGCTTTCATGATGACGCTAGCTTTATCCTGGGGATTGTTGTATGTCTTACCGAGGGTCAAGCGACGATGCCGTGAAATCGAAAATGAGCAACGAAGCTGCAATGGTAATGCTTAAATCCTACTGGCTAGAGGTACGCCCGAGGAGCACTAGTGACGAGTTTCCGAGTCGGGTGATTATCAGAAATTGTCGGCTATTGTAATATGGCGGACTATTCCAGTAACACCATTTGCGATTTACCAACATTTGGCCTCTGGAAGAGGATCCTCTTTTCATGGATCACCTGACAGAAACAAACAATCATTATCACAGGTGACATGAATTTAGACAGACTTAAACCTGAGAATAAAGGCGGCAAACTAAGGAACTTAGAAGAAATACGTGAACTTGAATGCCTGATTAAACGAGCGACGAGAATAACAAGATCGTCACAAACTTTGCTAGATGTAATTCTTACTAATAAAGCCGATCTGTTGGTTTATGGCTTCCTAACTGAAAAAGTCATGCGACATGCCGCGAAAATAATTAAATTTAGAAGCACAAAGTCGTTTAACATTGCTGATTTCCAACAAGACCTGAGAGCAACAGAGTGGTTATCGGAAGACAATTCTGTTACGGCTGAAGCGAAATATTCACACTTAATGGATAAACACATGCCTAACAAGGCCATGGAGCTAAACATATTTCTATAATTTGTAAAGAAGCGAGCAAATGAATAGGCGTTCTCATGAGACTCAGAAAACTCATCCCTACCGAGGCAAAACTGCGAATTTATAAAACAGCGATATTACCGCATCTGACCTATTGTTACCTTGTCTGGCACTTTTGTAAAGCAACGGACAAAAAGAAACTAGAACGAGTAAATGAAAGGGGACTTAGGGCGGTTTTTTACAGTAGATACTTCAATGGTTTTCCCATTTCTAACAGATTGTTACTTGAAACTACCTTAAAACTAAGAACTAGCATACCAAAAGTGTATTTATTTGTTAAATAATGAAATAACAACTACTAAACCGTAAATGAAGCGTTTGATTTCAATTTGTAGAACGACGCCATCTCCATTGTTTCCTCAAAACAACAAACTTGAAATCCTTTATATCTTTCAATTTCGCGTATCATAATAGGCATTTTAGATTAAACAATAAATATTTTAGGCTATCAAACTAACAGTTAAGTAGGGCTCCCATAGGATTACTTTCACAAGTATCGAGTTATGCAATCAGCTGAATAAAGGGGTAAGTTTCTAAAGGAACTGTGGTGCTGCGTCGGTGGGAGAGTATAGCAGGTAATTTAGTGTTAACAACTGGGTTGAAAACGTAAATTAGCCACCGTAAAGGGTAAAAAAAGCTGACGTTTCGAGCGTTAGCACTTCGTCAGAGCGATTGACGAGCATCGCTCTGACGAAGGGCTAACGCTCGAAACGTCAGCTTTTTTACCCTTTACGGTGGCTAATTTACGTATGCAATCAGCTGTTTTTTATTGTCATTTTCGATCCGCTGCACCAGCATATAAGCATGTCAAAATGAAGGAGTTTTATTGTGTTTTAATTTATTGTTTAGTTTTATTTTATTCCCTAGTGTAAACTGCCATAGAGTATTAGATATAGTGCTTTATAAATGTGGAATTTATTATTGTTATTTAAATTACACAGCATTGATTATTTGCAAGTGAGATATCTAATCTATCACCCCTTTTTTAGAATTCTTTACCCCAAGCTGCAGTGATCAGGATAGCATTCCTGATGATGTGAGGTTGGATGCATTGCTTGATGATTCTAATAATTCTGATGGTAAGCAAAATTTTTTCAATTTCGTGTATTTGATGTTATGCAAATAGGGGCTCTGTCACTGGGGTACTGTTAGATTTGTCTGTGTATGTCAGGCTCTCAGAGGTAGGCAGAGTTAACTATATGGATAGGGCAAGGGAATAATATGTCAATTATCTAGAATGGGAATTAAGATTTTCTCATCGTTCTTATCTTTTTGTAAACAGATGAGTCCTCATCATAGCGAGCACTTCCAACAGTGTACAGCGAATCTTCAATCCTTGAGTCACTGCCTGAGCTGTGTGATTTCACTGATCAACCTATTACATACTACCTGGTTGATAGTGGGACAAAAAGAGGGAGAAAAAAACTAATCAACAATCTGGGGTTCACTTAGAACATCTCAAGGAAAAGGCCTTATGCGACTTACTGGCAGTGTACTGTCTGCCCTCAAGGAAACCAATGCAAAGCAACAGTGACTGAGAGGGATGGACAGTTTACTGTTGGTAAGACTGCCCACAACCATGCAGTTCAAGTCGGTGCTCTGACAAGTGCAAAAATTGTCTGAAGTAAAAGAAAAAGCTATGAAAGACAAGTATAGACCAGCATCTGCAATAGTTGATGAGGTATGTGTACAATAACATTCAAGTGAAATGAATGAAAATAAGGCATAATTTTACTATGCTCACCCATGTTTTCCTGTTTTTTCTGTTTTATACAGGTCCTGCTCAAGGAACTTAGTGACACTGCTCCATGTGCATCTCTACTGAAACTAATAATGACATCGAGGGCTGACATAATGCCCTTAATCGCAGGGCACAAGGCAGATGCAGCTTGCCCTTTTACATGCTTATCGACATGTTATATACAGAAGCCAAATTGACACTTGTCGAAATCAAGCTTGTGTCTGATGGTAAACTAAGTAAATTCCAAGGAAAGGTGTACAGACAACAACAAAGAAAGATTTTCAAAGCTTAGGAACAGTATGAATTTAAAAAATGAAGGGCCCTAATGGCATCAACAAGTGAAGCCATTCCAGCAATGTTTTTAGTGTACTGAATAGGGAATATGTCTCTTTCATTATAAAGTAGGGGGAAATGCATATATTTTGATTTTTTTGTGGGTTTAAAGGTACAACTGATGCAGTATGAAGGAAATGATATCAATAACCCTGTGCATTCACTATTATGTATTATTTCATTCTCAAGAACTGACTTGCTTTGAAGTGAATCAGTTAATAGTCCTTCACTCTTAAACAAATTATCCAAATTTACTTCAGTTTCACAAACATCTACAGTTTTTGGAAGATTAACTGGTGATTGCTGGTTGTGTTCTAAACTTGATTTACAACACATCTTTTTGCCTTTGTCGACAATGGTGGGTAAGGATGAGTTGTAATTCCAGTAATTACATGATTTCATTAAAGGGTAGCAAAGAGAGTAGAGAGCTACAGCACAACTTAGATTGAAGTTTATGGTTTCATTCAGACTGTTTTGAGAAACCATCCTATTTTGAATATTCTCAATTTGTACTCCTCTCACTTCAAATATATCATAGTTATGTATACTCTGAAAATAATGCACTAAACTATCAGGAGACAGTACCTTGAGAAGAACACATGTACCTTGAGGCTGCCCTCTACCATACAAATCTCTAGCATGAGAATCAAATATTTTGAACCCCATATTACTATTACAGTAATACACCCTACTGTTAATATGAAATTGGTGTCTGAAATTGAGCGACTCAAAGGCTCTTTGTAAAGATGTACAGTACTGATATCCCTCTATAGTGATTCCTTGGTGAACAATACCAGAGTAGCTTTCACTGTATTCCAGTTGATAATCAGTATCAAACACATTTAATACTGTTGGTAATTCTGACTGCATTAAAATGCCTGTCTAGCCAATCGTGACAAACTTGAATAAAGCTGATTTCCAATATTCATTATTTGTATGAGATCATTTGCTGAGCTGATCCCTTGTGTGTCATTGTAAATCAAAGAACACAAACTCATCGCAACACATTGTTGTCCTGCATTCTGTCCAAAAAACTAACTCTTTACCTTGACTGTATGGAGCTACTATTGTTTTTTTAGCGTCAACATGTCTATGTCTCTAATTAATTTATAGTTGCAATAATTTGCTACACGAGCCTCATTCTTGCAAGAACACATCAGTTTGTTACAAGAAAACAATTTTAAATATCGACTGGCACGATATTTTACCTTTCATATACATTAACGAATTCTTTCACGACAGTTAAACTTAAATGTCTTTTTATTTAATAGTTTTTTAGCGTTAACATAACAGTATAATGTAGATGACATAGGGATACATGGAAGAATACGTGCATAGACAAATTTCTAACCTTTCTGCTCTTGTTCCTTAACCCTTTCAAACTTCGTATAAGTATTCTGCTTGGTTCACGATCAGGTCTACATACAGGATGAGATTTGCATCTATGCTTCTCTCGATTAACATTAGATAGCTCAGTTGATAGACATGCTTCTCGATGAAAGGTTCACTCATAAATGTTGGCTCATAAAGAGATATCTCATAAGGTTCACGGACCGACCCGTTCCGAAAACGCTCGACATATTTTAGTGTGGGTCTACCGCGAACGATGTGAGGATATTTTGTATGCGTTTTGAGCGTCTTATACACAATGTCTGTCCTGATTTTGCGCCGCGAAAGCTCCTCTTCGTCCGCCATTACACCATCCTGTGGGCTCATTAGTCAAAACGTCGCGCATGCGTCAGACTTAAAAGGTTGCCCATACATGATGATGAGGACTTGACTGCGGTTTGCGACTAAACGAAAAAAAGAACGAAGCCGGAATTTCAACTCGGGCGTTTCCCTTGGAAAGCCCGAGTAACAAGCCTGGTGATCGTTTAAGCTTAAGTTAGTCCCGGGAAGTTAGTTTGAAACCATAACAATGATAACGGAAGACAGTAGCTCGCTGACTTTCACCGATAAATGGTCCATTCCTGACTAATAAATTTGTTTACTCTCCCGGTAAAATTAAAAATTACTATAAAGGGTTGGTTGATTGAATGGTTTTGGTCATGAGTGCTCGCCCTCATAACACGTCGGCGAACTGGAAATTCGACCGAAGCTAAGCGAAGCCGATCCGTAGTAGTACGATTTTCATCGAAATTTTTTTTATAAAAGATGTCGCAAAGTCATCGAGAAACCTATTCAGTTGATTATTTTCACTTGTCGATAGCGTAATGTTTTTGATAGAAATAATAGAGATGGTAAGTTTTGAGCTCGGTGAAGAATTAATCGATATATTAATCGATGTCGACTATCGACATTAATGATCCTAGCAGTATGCAGGACGCGTGTTATAAAAACTTCGTAATAGACCTCGCTCACCGAAGTGTCTTTGTGGCTCAGTGGTAGAGCATCGGAGCGCAAATCCGAAGGTCTGAGGTTCGATTCCTCATGGAAACTCAGAATTTTTCTTCTTCATAGCCTGAACAGAAGAGCCGCTGGTCGATGCGGTCTGCCCCTCTACATATTTGTGGCCCCACTACACAAAGAAGCCAGACTAGAGTCGCTACAAATTCGTCCACCTATCGTGAAGTGCAAAGGAGGCTCTTCGAACTTTGGGAGGCCTTCAACAAGAAGGAGAAGTCACTGAGGCAGCTGCTCAAAGGATGTGCCAATATAAACAGGCCAGTGATGCACTTAACTGAACTTAGACATTATTTGCATTTACTACTAGGATTATCATTTATTATTAAGTAGAATAGGTACGTTTAGTCGTATAGGCGCTCCGTGATAATGGGCAAAATATATTAGGATAGGTCGGCTAGGGCAACTAGGTCACGATTGTTCAAGAGTACGATAACTTTTCAAAGTTACTATGATTTAGAAATGGGTTTTTTTTACGTAGGCGCTGCGTGGTAGTAGGCAAAATATATTAGGATGGGTCAACTGGGTCACGATTTTTCAAGAGTATTAACTAAAAGATAACTTTTCAATGTTTCTGTGATTAGAAATGAGCTTTTTTGCGATTACTAGGATAAATGAAATAAGTGTATATGTTTGTTTTAAACATTTCGTGTCATGATTTGTTGGGTACGAATCGACCAGAGGGTTGGGTACAAACTGATCGAAAGTGGTTACGGAACGTCTGAGCCTGGGTACAAATCGTCTGGGTACGAAAGATCCATGGGTACGAAACGACTGGTAAGCGCGCAGAACTCTGGTCTCTTGCTAATTTTCGTGTGCCTCACTCTCAGAGTTCTGCACGTCATGCATACATCAACATTTTTTTTACACGGATAGTTGTGACTGGCATGACGGACTTCACAGAAAAGCAGGGACTGCTTTTGTCTTCATGGGAACTCCCTTGTCAAATCACTTGATCATTCTCGTCCCAGAGCCACTCGTTTTCAGTAACTGTTTATCCAACCACGTTCCGAACACAAGAGGAAAGAGAGTAGCAAAGAGAGAGCACCTTAATGTCATGGGTCCACTCTGCAAATGCTCCTCCACTCCCTCTTTTTTGACTTTTTTCCCTTCAACCTTTTAATCTGGCGTATCCTCATGTCGGGTCAACGAGCAATATCACTATAATATTTCGTTTTTCTTTTTCATCTTAAGATTGAGATGAAGAAACAAAAATATGGGTACATAAAAAAATTTAGCGGATAAAAAACACATTTTAAAGGTCTACACTATGATTTATTTCATTGCGGGAGGTGATGACAATTTGTGAGTACCACAAAATATCTAAATATCAATGTACTAGAATCAATTGAAAAAACACATGACTGGCTGGCTCTACTAACATCGAAAGCTTACTAATAACATTCAGATCACATAGTTTCAAAGACAGTTTCAAGGTTTAAGCAAGAGTTTTCCACTTGTCTTCTTGCCTTCGAGCATTTCAAAAGCTTTCTTTGCTTCTGAAAGCGTAAACACGGTAAAATTATCCATTTTAATCTTTCCTTGTGTGATCCAATCAAACACATCATTAGCTCTCCATGACAACTCCTCGGGCGTTGCAATGTAGTCGAATAACTTTGGAAGAATGAGACTGTGTGACCCAGATGAAACAAGATTGAGCTCTAGAGAGTCTGGGTAACCAGATGCACCACCAAAAAGGACCATGGTACCTCGTGTTGCAAGGCATTTAAAACCTGTACAAAATTATGCTTTGATGTAAGTTTTTAAAAGGATCCACGTATTCCACAAGAAAGCTCTGTCCATAAAAGGGAATACTTTATTCATGTGAAATCCACATCTCTAACGAGCAGGAAAAAAAATTGTCAACTAATAATATCAATGCACTTCATACAAAACTAAAAGCAGTTGTGAAAATAAAGCTTGTAAAGGGGAAAAAATCTGGCTTGCATGGAATTTAAACTCATTAGCACTCAACTATTTTTCAGGCTTTACTTTCACCAATTCTTTAGCATTGTTTTCACTGCAATGACCACAGCCTCATTTGATGCACAACTTGCCTTTGTAAAAAGTTGTCTTTCCAACCCCGTCATAAATGACGTTGACTCCAGTACCTTCCGTGATCCTGTTGACTTCTTGGACAAAGTCTTGATTAGAATACAGAATAACTTCATCAGCTCCACAAGCCTTTGCTTTGGTAGCTTTTTCTTTTGTGCTTGTTGTACCAATGACATAACCTCCTGTATTCAAACACAACAGGCCACTGAGAAATGTAAGTCTTGGTGACTCAATCAAACAGCAAAACACAGATTACCTTTCCGGTTTATTAAACATGTGATGTGAATGAACTACTAATCTGAGTTTAAAGATCAGGTCTGACAAGTTTTCCTGCAACTTAGCTCACAGACGTAAATATGAAAGCAAATAACCTTGGTTATTAATCCAAGGTTATTTGTTTGGAAGTTTGAGGCACCAGCCTTTTTTAACAAGAAAAAACTGATCATCTTTAATGATGAAACGAGATGTTACAGAAATGTAAGACAACCTCCAGAGCTTGTATTCCCTTAAACATTATCCCATTTTCCTGCTAAAAATGTTTTCATTTATTCCTAGGCCTGAAACTCACATGTGTTGCATAAGAGCTGGCAGGTATTTGAAAGATAATAGGGAGATGTCTAGCAGCTCAGTGTGCCACAGCAGTAATCAGTAATTTATTTTTTGCAGAAATATTCAGGCCATTTTTCAAGCTCATACTTGATTGCCTGATTTTAGAGAAACCTACAGAAGTCCACCTACTACAGAGAACAGGTCTAAGAAAAAATTCCTTTTTAACAAATCTATAACAAATCCTGACCCTTCTCATTAGAATTTTTAAGTTAATGTAATGCAAAGTGGTAATCTTTGTGGCCTAATGTGTAGTGTTTCAAACTTCAAGAGGTCTTGGTATAATTATCTTCAAGAGCTATAGAGTTATTTCTTCGAGAACAAATCTCTCTTCTCCACTCACAAGTATAAGAAGTAACTGGGATCTATTGTAAACATATTTCTTTGGAGGGGGAGTGATTGCTACGGGGAGAGCTGTAGGCCATTAGATAACTCAAGTCAGAACAAGACTATATTTCAAAGCTGTGCTTTTACAAAGAATCACATGTTGTGTCAAGCCAGTTATCTCTGTAATATAGGGTGCCCAGCATTTGAAGGTTTCAAGGAATCATTTTTATTCAAGTGCCTCTGTAGCAGCCAGGGTCTGTTGGAGCAGTCAGCAGTCTTTTTCTTCTATGCTAGCTAACTGTTTCTCAAGAAAACCCAAATTAAACTACTTTGTTACCTGCATTTTTAGCCACTTGACATATTAGGGATCCAGTTCCCCCAGCAGCTGCATGTACCAACACCTTGGTACCAGGTTCCACCGGGTACACAGTGTGAACCAAGTAATGAGCAGTGATACCCTGAATCATGGTTGTTGCAGCTTGTTCAAAAGAGATGTTTGATGGCACTTTGACAAGTTTATCCACTGGAACAGTGCTGTATTCTGCAAAACTTCCTAAAACAGAATTATACTTGGATGAGTACAAATTAATCACAAATTATGACTTTCATAATGTATCTGCATTACAGTTTGACGTCATATTCTTGTCCAAGGTTCTCATGTCATGTTGGCTGCTGGCTTAGAAAATGGCTTCTTTGATTTCTGTGCTGCTTTCTTTTTTAATGTAAAATAAAAAATAGTGTGTGAAAGTTGCAAACAGCAACTGACTGTAAAAATATGATTTGAATTTTTTTGTTGTATAAATTAAAACACTTTCAATCAGAAGACGACTAGTTTTTTTTACCTCATTAACAATTAACCACATTACTCACTGTGTTTCAATGAGATTTTGAAAAATATCACTGAAAGCCTCTAAATTTCCATAACAGACTTCCAGACCCACCTGGACTTGTGTCTTTACACCTCATATTTCATACCTATATTTCTTACTGACCTGCTGATCTCAACATCAAGTATACAAAGTGTAGGTAATAACATGATTTCGAGTGCAATTTGATATTACAAAGCAAAATTGCACAAGGAAAACAAAATTTAACAAGCCCATAGGGCAAGTGCAATTTGTAGTCTTTGAAAAATTTACAACTGCATATTCCACCACACTGCAAGAGGAATCATGTAATTACTTGTCAATAATGTACATGAAAAAACATAACAGGAGATCAAAACAGACAAAATTTTAAAAGTGTGTGCATCCTATTTCTAATTTACAGGTGTGTTGCAATTTTGCACTTGCGTTACATGAGAATGCCCTCATTTTCATGTACATTGTAAACTATGTTAACCTAGGATACAAGGGCATAAATGGTCAAGCCATTTACCTCAAAGCCTTCAACACACTAACCTGAACCAAGATGAAAATAAGCCACGTGATCATCCACAGTCACACCAACAGCACCAGGTCCTAGCTTCTCTACAATCCCTGCACCCTCTACTCCAAGGATTGCTGGAATGGTAGGTAAAGTAAAAATACCTTCACGAAGATACACATCAAGATAATTAACACCACTTGTATGATTCTTAATCAAAACCTGCAAAAAAATCAACAATGTCTGTAACTGTGCTTTTAGTTAACTAATTCCCTTAGCCAGCTGCAGCTGCACTGAGCTATCCATTAATTCTTTAAGCTACTGGATGACACCTCTATAATTTGTCCAACTCATTAAACATATAGGTAACTTTTGATAAGATTGCCTTAATTGTTCAAGTAACAAAGTTTTTTTGTAAGAAAATGGTCCCATCACATTTCAATGATTCACTCATCACAGTGATGTATCCTAATTCATTGAGCATTGTCTCAAAAAGCCAACCAAAGTATATAAATAATGAAATAACTAGGTGAATATACCAGTGTGTAAATAAATCCCAAGTTTAAGGCTCTCAGTGTTCTTCTCTATTTCAAGCACAACAGGTAAATGAAATTTTCCAAAGGATAGGACAATCCTTTTACTTAATGATTTTTCAAGCACTCAAACTGCTTTTTAGCAGTAATAAGAGGTACTAGAGATAGCAAATTTTACTAGCTACTGCCTGAAAAGGAGAACTCTGCTCTCTATGTTAAAATGCACAGACAATAGTGTAGGTGCAAGTTGCATATTGCTCACTGTAATTGGGTAAAATATTTTCAACAAAACAGGAATCATTTTTTTATAAGAGTATTTGCCAGCTAGTAAAGTCAAGCAGAGGCAGGTAAGTTGTGTGAGTCAATCGGCTGGAGGAAAAATAAGATTTCCACTCAGCCCTGTACTTTATTATGCATACAATTTTTGGATAAATAAAACATTGGCAAAAAACAATGGATTACATTTGGGGACTGTGCCTTTGTTTTGAAAGAGTAAGGAACTGTGCAGAAATATTCTGGGGGTAGGAGCATGCAGAAAATTACGCCAAATTTTCACTTCAAATTTGCTTTCGTCTTCTCACACTTACCCTCCCTTCATGGTTCCCCTCCCTTAATGGTTCCCTCGCCCTACTAAATTAAATCCCCACTGGGTAGGGGCTAGTATATATTGAGAGAGGGCTATCGTTGTTGCTGTAAAATAACTCCATGAAGCTCCTAGCGCACAAACCGTTAATGCTACGAGAAGAATATTTGAAAGGGATAGATCCAGCAATTAATATGTGAGACTTACAGTACCATGACATTTTCAATTCTGCTTCTAAAAATCGTATCCTATCAAAGCATATGTCCTCAAATCAAACGGGTGATTCGATCGTGTCCTTACCTCGCTGTGCTGCGGTTCTGGAATTGGTACATCTTCGTATTTCAATTGAGACAAACCTCCGGTTTCATTGATCTTAATGGCCTTCATGACGATAGGTTTACCCTTCTCAGGGATCAAATTAAAAGCTAGCCATCGGCGGCAGCCGGAACTTTTGGCACACTTGCCAGCGGTTTTTCACCAAAGAACTATAGAAAATATTATGCTTATGATCGTCCAACTGAAGAAAAGTCGCTGTATTATTATGGTGAACATGTCATATCAGGCGATAGAGCAGCCATGAAATGTTTTCAAAAGCTCTTTGAAAACGTAAACGATTATAAAGTTTCGAAATTTGAAGCGTGCTACAAGGAGTATTTTGGTCTGCAGTATTCAGCTTTCTACTTATTTGTTCAAGCGTGAAACGTGCAATTTTGTGTACACACCGTCACATTACTGTGTTTATGTTTCTGTACGTACATACTACCTTTAATCGAGATTTATTTTCCGCCAAATCCTGTTTAATGTCGTTTGTAAAGCCTTCTCACGCGTTCAAATTTAAGTCGGTGCTTGACAGTAGCGCGACAGTTTGTCTAGACAAAGTTGTATATTTCACGCTTGAACAAACACCGACAACTTGAACCGTTCACTACCCTTGGTTGGGAAAGGAATTGCCGCAACAAAAGATTCTGATGTTAAAATTTATTAGTGACAGCCGAGGAAAAAAATGAGCCTTGACAAAAGCTTACAAATTCATGCTGAAAGCTGAAAAATTATTTTGAACCCTGCCTTCAGGCAGCTCTTTCCTCAGTTTACCCTTTGACGCGTTAGACGTGCATAGTCCTCGGGACACTGAGAAGACGTGGGAAGAGGTACTTAATCCCTCACGGGTATTCTAATGACAATCATTCACAACACTCTAGTGGGAGCCGAAGTCGTTTCATGCCCGCGAATGGGAGTTAATTTTTTTCTCTTTTACTTTTAAAGTGTGATACAAAATCAAGTTACTAAACTAAGATGCGTGCGTGCGTTGTCAAAGTTGGTAACTTAACCTCCTACAAAGATATTTCGTGGCTGCCGGTCATAGGGTTAAATGCTACACAAGGCGGAACATGTTTGGGAGTTTTGTTACGATGCAATCAATAAACATTCATCTTCTCGTTGACCGCTTAAGAGCCCGTTTTGTTCGTCTGTCATTCAGGGGTGTTTTCACTGAATGTCACGTGGTCTCCCGTGTAATTTAAAATCCATCAAGTTGACAACGGTAGTGTTGATCCTGTTAGAAAATCCTGAATCTGCCATCGGGATACAGTTTTGGGCCAGTGCTTTCACCTCGTCTTGCAATCCGACTCATTTCGCAGTTCTCAAGATTTCGGTAAGTGAATTTTAAATGAAAGACAACTGAATAATTACTTTTAATTAGATCACGTAAAGCACTTACGCTTTCTGCACTGAGAAATGCTTTAGGACGTGCAGCAAATGAGTTCATTTATATTTCGTCTATGTCGCATTGAGTAGGGCAGTCTGTCACTCCAGTCGAATGCGCAGTCTTTGCGCCAAATCAGGGAAGTTTTCGATGAGTGACAGACAAAATCATTGGTTAAATCTGTTGGATTTAGTCATCTGTATCGCTGCCGTGTTCAAACTATCAGTTAGCATCAAAATTAGTTTAGCACGGTTGAAAATTTTGGTTAAAACCCAAGAAATAATCGCCTTAACAATTGAAATACCTTAACGTGACATGAAGGCAAGTTATCATCGTCCCGTGCCGTATTCCATCGCCAAAACATAACATCATTACTTGTGTTTGGAGCACATCAATCACATGCAAACACTGGCTACGCGGAATTTTTGTTATGAATTTATGTTGTTCGTTGAAGTAATGTGTCTAGGATTGACTGATCCTCCCGGAAAAAACCGTAGAGAATATCTTAGCAGAACGTCAGACCTTCCAAAAGTAATTCATACTTCGATAAGATTTGAACCTGAGGCGTTTCAATTTTCCTTTAAGATATCAGCTGGGTACAAATTAAAGAAAGTTCATTTGACTGTGAGGACCACGAGTCATCTATAGGTCAACGATGATGTATTCCGCACAATGTTCTTGAGAAGGAAACGGCAAAAAAAAATGGGTATGAAGCCAATTTTTACAGATTTGTTGACAACGACTTAACTCTAACTGTTCAAATTCAAGTTTCCTCAAAAATAATTGTTCATAATTTGGAAATTGACGAAGGAAATCAACTATTTGCGTAATCAAGAAGTATCCGGTTTATAGAAAATGCTAATCTGTGCAAGGAAAGAATAGGACACTCAAAATCATGTCAGCGTGATGTAAAGTTATTTAGGTCAGAGTTGATAGAGGTTACTGCTTAGGAAAGCTGACAACAATTTAAGATGAAAACAGCTGTGCAGCAAGTTTATTTTGGCGCCCGCCGACTGTACAAATCCTTTTCATTTTAAGATAACGCTTTGTGACTGAATCAATTAATAAGAGTTTTAAGCAGCCAATCGGTTCAAAATGATTGGAATGCGTTAAAAAGCGTAAAACAATCTTAAAACAAAGAAATTTGTCGGGTTGCCCAACCAGTTACCTCCATATTTGACTATGTTACAGGCCACCAAAGACCTTTTTTGTTTCCACAATATCTACTATGTTTGACAGTTTCTACCTTATTAACTGTACTGAGAGCATGCCAAAGGCGCATTTTCTCACATTCCAATCAAATGCGATCACTTGATGGTTAGGACATTGAGCATTGTTGCCATTTCAGTTTCCTTTCTATCTTTTTATAGATTTACACCATGACGCTTAATTTTGTTGGAGAGATGCAAGTGCTTCTGCGGCAGTGGAAGGTCACTTCTATAAACGGTACGTGTAAGAATAACTTGTATTTGTTCGAGGAATATCAAACGAAACGTGATCTTGTGTGGCCATAAATCCAAGTAACATCGGCAAGTGCACTGTATCAAGGTAACCGTATAAATCAGTGGTCCTGGTACACCAAAGAAACCCGTAAAACACCACTTGAAGTAAAAATAGGCAGTTCCAAAGATTGGTTCCAGCTAAAAAAAAACATATTCAAGTTCGACCCTTTAAAACCTAAGAGGGATTGGCTCCTAATTTCTTCTTACAGAATCCCCCTTGAATCAAATGTAAAGGTCATGAGAATGAAGGAAATCACTGCCCACCTAAGAGGCTTTGATTGTTTAACAAATTCTCCTTGTTAGCACCAAAGGAAATGTATGGAGAAGAGTATTAAGAATATGGACACTGGCCTTGGAGTATAAAGGGTTAATGATCCAATTATTTTGGTAGTGACGTATGCATTATTCTGTCTCACAGGGTTAGGTGGATCATTGATAGCAGTGTTTTCCCTTGCTGTACTGTATGAGTTCATGTCGTCATATCATAGGTACCTCGGCCTACCTAATGGAAGAGGAAATACCACAAAAGAGTTCAAAGGAAACAAGAGGTTGGTGAAATGCAAAGTAATACGAAAATACATAGATCTGTCATGACTCGGTCAGTTTTTGTGAAAAAACATGGTCATGGTTCGAAATTGGAGCCTTTTTCTAGTGCTTTGAGCCAGCATCAAAGTTAAAAACAATAAATAATTTGCTTATCGCTGTAGGAGTTGACATGAACTTACAAGTGTTCTTTCGTTTGACCTCTTCCACAATGGAATATTCGGAAATAGTGGGGAGCACTAAGATCATGGTATTTATGAGAATATTCATTCCACACCTTAGGGAGATTCTCTTCTTGTATATGCAATTCTAGGCTCGCATTCCACCATTTTCTTAAACCCAGTCTTCCAGGAAGCTTCGAGGTTGTGGTTTGGTGTGGTGTAGAGGGTGGAACGCGGGCTTATCCCGACCAGCGGCCTCTGATCGAGCCTTTTTAACCCAATAAACTTCATTTGTTCTTCCAGGATACTTGATCACCTCCTGAGGACAAGTTCTTATCTTCTGTCAGCCGTAACAGGTTACTTGTTGATGCTTGTGGTGAACACTTTCAACGTTTGGCTCTTTATGTCTGTTGTGGTTGGGTTAGGCTTTGGTTTCTTTCTATCGAATCCATTGTACATAACGTATCGCAATTTGGAGGTACAACGAAGAACACATGATCAGAGAAACAACAATGGCGTTATAAGGCGATCAAGATGCGACAAGCAGAAGGAAAAATCGCCGACTTGATCTGATTTACTGAATGTGATCTTGTTGCCTCGCGAACGTTTCGGATCGAGCGGCAAAAAGAAACTTTGTTCTAGAATCCAGATGGACCACGAAGGGCATTAAAGCGAGGTCCGTCGCGCGAGTCCAAAAATATCAACAAAAAGACAAATGGTGCGGGGTAGTGCGCCACGTGGGACTCTGGACCACGGACTTTTTTCGAACTCGCGCGACGGACTTCACTGAAAAGGAAGGACTGCTCGTAGTCTAGAATTCAGAAGTGGAAGAAGGACACTATAACATACGAATCTGTTACACTGCGGCCAGCAGCTCACTCCACGTTAACCCCCTTTTCTTTTCAAGGTTTGATTAGAAATTCTATCGCCAAGTTGTTATATAGCCTCTTATATCTTAGTTAGGAGTCTTTGATGCAATATCAAAATAGTGCCCATTGACGGATGCATTTGTCTTTTCTCGTCACTTGTGTGATAATTCATACATACATACATACAGTAAGGAGGAGTTAACTGTTACGTACCTCTTTGTGTAATGAAAAAGTACACTGAACTCAAAAGAAACCAAACATTACAAGAAACAAATCAAAGTGTTTTTGAAGATGTATGCCAAGAAGGAACAGGAATAGTTGGGGTGAAGAAAATTAAAAACGATTACAATTGACAAACTCAGCTTAAAAATTTGGGACAAATTTTCCAAGACGAGCCCCAATTGTGATCATGGGGTTGTCTGTAAAGAACGTCCACGATTTTTACTTATTCGTTGAATACATTCTCTATTAACTGTTATTTTATTAAGGAAAAGAAATTTAAGCGATGACCTATCTTACAATTCGATTTTATGATTCAACATGTATAAGATAATATTAAAAAGAAAAGAAACAAGCACATTATTTTATCTCAACCTTAAAAAGAGAGAATATGCTCTGTAAAAAGTTATCAGTCAGAAATTAGTTACGGTTATCATTAAAATGGGAATTTAAAAAATTATACATCTTATTTCAAGATATGTTTCATTTAACAAAGGTTTCTCAGTTTCAAAAAAGTTATGAGACTGTCTTTGCAATCGGCGACGCTTCTACACAGGACTGAAATGCCTCACCCACTCAACTTCGCAGCTAAGGGGTCTTCATTACGGCTGTGGGAAGGCGCCAGGCGGAGGAATGGGAATGAGTGAAAATAGACCCAATTCTTCTCCTCCTCCTCCTCAAGGTTTGTAGCTGAATCCTTCCCATTCCCCGTTCACATACTCTGCCACAAGTTAGATTAACTGTGCCGACATCCTACGTGAAATTTTTCGTCGCAACGAATCTCATCATTTGAAATAGACTTCACTACAAGCCTGAAATGCCTCTTATGAGTTCTCTGTCTCTTCCTTCTCAGTTCATCCATTTCAAGACTTAAATTTTCCTAATAAAACTTTTTTGGGTCTTGTAACACGTGCCAGTGTGCAACAGGTTTGTTGGCAGTGCGTACCTCCCGCCAGTGTCCGAGTTCTTTTCCGGTGGCGTGGGCACCGAGTGACACGCAACCGATAACCTCGTTTTCATGCATAACAGACAGCAGTAGGTCCACAGAGTTCATGGCGTCTACTGATATGTCGAACGATACGGCTTCGTTGAACACAGGGTTCAATGTTCCTTTCCTAACGGTCGTTTTCTTCTTTTTTACCCGTTTTCCTGCCATTAGCAGATAGACTTTAACATAGGGATCTGCGTGAAAAAAACAAAGATTGAGAACGTTAGAAAGAATGACCACAGAGAGTGTGTCTGCTCTAATGCTGGATTTTACTCGGTTTTTCTGGAAGAGAACGAAGCTTGAATTTAAAAGAGAACTGCAAAGAAATTTGAGGATGATAAACAAAGAACAATACAAAAGTAACTCAACATAAGGATATGTCCAATCACGTATACAACCAACCTGTTCCCTTAATATTAACCGCTGGTAGATTGCGAGCCTTAATGACGACAACAGTCAACCTCTCCGCCGACTTGAGGTAACCAAGAGAGACCATCAGTTCCCCTAACGCTACTTGTTTCTATCGCAGAAGGAAATTATACAAACAACAATTATATCTTTTTTTGAGAAGTCTTGATGGATAGCTATAAGGAATAGACGTACATTGCATATATTTGTTTGAGAGAGACGTGATAACAGAGCTTCCGTTTACAGTGACATCAACAACTTCCTTCGATATCAAAGCCAAAAGAATGTTTTTCTTAGTAACATAGATACCCAGAAAAAAAGAAGTAGCATAGATAATGTCCTTGTTTGACGAGTTACAACCAATAAAATGAATTCGGAGTGCTACGGATAACCAGTTACTCTATTACGCGAATTCAATCGATTGTCAATAGTGATCGACCCGGGCCAGATTACGCTGGTTTTCATGACATGCTAAGAGATTGGTTTCAAAAACTCGCGTCATCATCTCAACCAATCAGATAAAACAACTTGGTCATTCGAGTTTTCCTGAGTTAGAGGCAAGATGCATACCTTTATATTCAACTTTGAGTCCTCATTAGTGCCCTATCATATTCATCTTTGTCTATCTTTGTTCTCTTAAGTCGTTATGATAGCTATGAAGTTCATGATTTGCGCTCTTTTAAGCTACTAAATCCTAGAAAAGAACTTTTTACCTTAAGACTCGGTCTAATATCAGTTCGATATGTGTTGTCTTGAGAGAGTGATAAATCAGCCAGCGGCAACAATACTTGGCCAATCACCTCGTGACGGGAAGACGTGTCAAACGAGAGGAACGTCAGCCATAGGGTTTGCAACTGGAGTTCCTTATAAGACAACTACATTTTTCAAGAAAAGAATCAAAGTAAAAACAACTGTTTAACGATAGTAAAGGAAATGATACTACAGTAAATGAGTTAAGCCCATGCCTCGGGAATAACAGTTGATAGTGAGTTCTCATTGTTGAGAGAGAGTGGTGCTGAAAAAGACTGTCGTAAGCAGTAAGGCTGACATGTCGATTACCTGAGCGGAACTTATCATCAGAATCATTCGGTACCGAATAATTAGTCCGTCAGTAAGCCGTCATTATTAGTGCTGCAGGACGCACGTTTCTCCGCGTACGGAAATATTAGGGACCTTTAGCAAACCGAGATGGCGACGGCAACAAGGACGTGGCAAAACAAAAGATCTAATGAGCAGAACAATAGCTCAGCATGTGCGTTCTAAAACAGGTACATTTCTTAGCCGTCCTCTGCAAATAACAACATGAAATCATCAAAATTTGCGTAACCCCGACGGCAAATTAATTAAGCTTCTATTTGGAACTCAACGCCGCCCTCATACGTTATGTTGAGGTTAACTTGCGGTGCCGTAAGAGATGGTAAACACACCCAGTCAGTCGCGAAATTCCAACTAAAAATATGTATTTATTTTAAATCGACGTCTTCTTTGGCGTTGCCGTCCTAACTGCTAAAGGTCCCTATTAAAAACGAGTCGGGAAGGGGTCTGCTGGAAGACACCTTAGATCTCCTGCCAGCTAGCGTTGCAAGGCCTCCTACTTTACTGCAGGCGAAAAAACGCTCAAGCCGAAGCCTGCTCGCGGGTCAATGAATGATACATGAAAAATTGATGGTGTTAGCTGTAGAGAACGCTCACTGAGACAAATACGCGAAGGAAGAGACGCACGAGCACGAAGGTTTAGGTCTTCACTCGCTGCTTCAAATCAAGCGTGAAGAGGATATTAGAGAGTTTTAGATCCACGTTTGGTGTGTTCACCGTCAACGTCAAACCGCGGTCAGCAGTTTGTGGTTAGGAGTTAGAAGTTTCGAGACTTTCAGCTTTTTAGGTCGACGTCGGCTTTCATCTGAAAAAAATTAACATGTGCGCCGCAATCTTGAATCACACAAAGGATAGAGTTCCTTCCTTTCAAACACAAAATGTGGCTAAAAGATTGCTTTCCTAGCGTCTCAAACGGATTGCTTATAAAGAAAAGACTTTAACTCACATATATTTATGGGAAATGCGTGAGAACTTTCGAACAGTGAGGAAAAAAGCGCCGAAAGAGTTGAAGTACCTGAAACTGCCTTGCCCGAAGTTCACGCGTGGACGGCAAACGGCGAACGTGACCGCTGGCGTCTGTTCACGTGACTCCTAGACGTTTGCGGTCATGCGTATTCAGAAACAAACGTAGATCTAAAACTCCCTATTGTCTCGAACTGAACGACAAAGCTAAGGTTATGCCGATCCGATGACGTGCGGACTGAAAATCTGAAATGAATACCAAATGCCTGTAATTTACGAGAACCTTTACCTCAAATTCAAACGTCTCGTCAAAACGAGGGTTGGTAGTCTTTTTGTGCACAGTAGACTGCAGTTGATGTCTGTAATCAGGAAGCAGTTGCACTATGACGTAAGGATTACATGGCTTGCTCCAGTCCTTTCCGAGCGGTGACAGGTTCATGGCTTTCACGAGCTTTACTGACAGGATTGAACGATGCTGATCGAAATTGACTTTGAAATGAGCCTGGCCAAGATTGTGAGTTAAAGGGGATCCAGATTCGGAAGTAGAGCATCCACTTTCCTGAGGGAAAGTAAAAACGATCCAGTTAGGTAGCTTGTTACTATAGCTTTTCAAAGTGCATCCTTTGTAGAAATAACGAAGGACAAACATCATGTCGCAAAGTTTTAGGCTTAGACTTTCGTTTAGACGGCTTTTTCCACTCAGGTGTAAATAACGCTTTATACTCTACAAGATACTTCGTCAAACTCCTTTGCATCACTATCTCCTAATTTAGGTTTTTTATTTCGTTTACTACTTCTCTTGCGGAAAATGTAAACTCTAAGAAATCAACAAGAATGATTCTCATGAAAAATTAGGCAGAAGAAGGGGGAGGGGGAGGGAGGGGTGACAAAATGGCTTACCTCCGCTACCATTGTGTAAAGACTGGGATCCAGGGTTCCTAAGTCATCGAAGAAACCCGGAGTTCCGGGCGACTTTGGTGTCAGTGGAGTTGCAGGACTGGCGGATGGTGTGAAATCCGTGGGGGAGCGCCTAACGAGACGGGGCTGAATGTGAACCGTCTGCACATCACCAACTGGAAAATGAAGAAAGAAAAATAAAAAGGTTATTCACAGGCAGTGTTTGAAGAAGACACTCGACTTTATTCTTGGAATTCAAAAGTGCCTAACTTCCTTCCCCCTTTGGATACTCGTAGAAGCGTGCGGCATGTTTCTTGAAGCCACGACCCTATTTTAGATCTCACAAAGACATTTTACCCTTCCCATTTCGGACCTGCAAAACGTGTAAGACGTGTATTCGATAGTCAAAAACCCGCCCTTACACTCGTTTACATGAATACGATTCGAAAACGCACCCTGAAAATCTGACCTGTTTCTCATGAGTTCTTACCAAAGTAAGGAGGCTGAGTTGGTGGTCTGACTGAAGCTTCCAAAAGCTTAGGGCTCGGGGATCCATCGGTAGCCGAAGAAATTTCGAAGTCTTCCGAAGGCGTCCTCAAGATATACCGATAACTATGAGCGCGCTTTATGTCTTGCCGGATGCTGTAAGCTTTGAAAGCCAGAAATCCGACGTAGACAAGCGTTATTACCAGCAGCACACCAACAAGTACATAGGCTATGATCCATGATGCTAAGAACATCGTTGAAAATTTCCTCTCGCAAGTTTTTTTTTCTATTACAATATCTATATTAAACAAAATTAAGAATAGTTTACACTTACATACTTTACATAAAGCTTTGATTTATCCTATTGGTCCACTGACGAAATAGCCCACGTGGGATGTTAGCGGCAAACGAGTTAACCCTTAAACCCTAAGAGTGACCAGCATCAAATTTCTCCCTACAATATCAGCCCTGAATCATACGTTAAGGTCATGAGAATAAAGGAAATGATCACCAATGAAAGAAGCTTTTGATTGGTAAACAAATTCTCCTTGTCAGCACCTTAGGAAATGTATATAGAGCATTATGAAGAATATGCATACTGATTTTAGGGTGTAAAGGGTTTAGTGAGCGAGCGTTCTCTCAACATCTCAAGAGTGTTATAACGCTGAATAACTAATAAAAAGTACGACAAGTTTTCCGTTGATTTGCCCGTACAATCCAAAAAATAGTTTTTCGACCAATGATAGGGCACGTAACACATCAGTTATTTCATGTAGTTAAGGAAATACTCCGAGCCTCGTATTATGTTAAAAAAAACAACAGCTCTAAAGAAAGGGGGTCTTACTGGGGTGATGGCTAACGGTTAAAATTTTGGCCAATTTACGGCTAACAGTTAACATCTTTCCATTGTTTCCACCGGAAAAATTTTTTACGGTTAACTTTTTTTTACGACTAACGGTTAAAATTTGTCAATTTCTACGCCTAAAAACCCCATTGAGGACCTCAAGAAAAAGAACCTAATATAAGATCCTGATAAGACTGAAGAAATAGAATCTTCAAAGCTTATGTCTTAGTTGTTATTTCTCTTCAACAGTAAGTTCATAAGTTCATACCCTTTGGTGTAAGCTGCGTTTGCGGGAGGGGGGGGAGGATATTCACACGCGCAGTTAAGTTTTACTAAGATAGTACTCCTGTAAGCCCAAAACTTTACGTCTTAAAGTGGCTCTGCAAGGTAATCACACACCAAAATGGCCGACTCTTCTATTTATTTTCGCTAACTATGTTGCTTGTTTCCAATGCATTCTTACCCACCGTTCCTTAACATACATTTTAATCTCATTAACGATAATTTGTTTGAGGGGATAACTAATTGCACAACCACGTTCAAAGTATGCGCTATTTCCGGTTTATGTCTACAGAGTTTATCATCACTAGTAATTACCCAATGGTGGAATTGTACACCATCCGCTTTTAGCGCGGGTTTCGTTTCAAGACTAAAAATAATATTGACTCTTAAATGTCCACATGACGCAGAAACCTTATGTTGAAGGCCTTTCAGCATAAAAAGTAGTTTCGAATGGGGTAGTAGTGACCTCAAAGTAATACCAAAATTTATTTAAGCAACGAACTGTTTGACATTTCTGACATCGCCTTTAAATTCCAGAGGTGAAATCTCTGACGCCCAAAGCGGGATCACGAAAATGAAGGTCAATATTTAGGTCTTGAAAGGCTGATTTATACTCAGGGATTTTTAAGAGAAGTTATCACGGGTAAGGCTCTCAAGCCGACAGGATGATTGGATTAAATATTGCGCAGTTGTAAGACTTCGCCTGTTAAATTGCTCTGGCTAAAATTTATTTTGCTAAAAGCTATAATAACCGGTGAAAAATTGTGGCGTGCATAAACATCTCCCCATATTTTTGGCCGAGAAAAGAGCCGCGGGAAGAAAAAAAACAGGAAGACTTAGACGTGAATATTTAAAATATGGGGTTGGACTAAGATTGATCTAGGGGAAATATGGAAGGCACTCAAGAGGTGATAAGCTGCAATGTTGTTCTGCTTTGAAACTTTTCTCCTCGTTGTGGGAAAACAACTTATCTGATCCAGCTCTTATCTTCGTGGATGATTAACAAAAATTTTCACCCACTACACAGAGAGATAATCATTGATAATGTAAAAATTCGTCACCCATAAAGAAGTCCTCTAGAAACCGCTCCGGACGCCACGAATTGTTTAGTAGGTCAACTAAATTTTTAAATAAGATATGAAAAACAGTTTAAACATTTGAAGCCTCTTCCTTATACCGTGTTGTACTAGATCCAAATTCTTCCCTATCGAAAATATTTTTCTCTCCTCAGTCCTTTGGCAACTCAAAGGTTTCTTTGGATTTTTAGTCCACATTCTATCATCTCACTGGTGCAATGCTAATATCCATTTGTGACTGATAACGTCTTTACAAACTCAACTTCACGTACAAAGCAGTACATATCACACAAAAAGTTTTAATAATTGCAAAATGTATTATTTATATTCAACAACTTACCTAAATTACTAAACGTGACTCTTTCCAAACGAAGGTAGCTGTCATTCTCCGCAATAAAATACAGCTGGAATCCACATCTATCTTGGGCTCACGGCGGATTGCTGGCTTCTTAGTTCTACGGCTAACGGTCGTCAAATTATACCCAAATATCTTTAAAATGTTACCGGCTCAAGCGATCGACTCTGCTCACCCATATCAACCCATTATTGAGTCCAGATCTTCATGTACCGTTGTCGAGTCGGAGGGAAAATTGGATACTTCTCCCTAGCTCTGTAACGGAAGTACGATAGCAATTAAGTTGTGATCTCGACTATGTTTGCAGGCGGTATTCAAATTTGGAGCGCGTAGTTTTATGGACGCAAATGTATGTTATCTGACTTGACCTTTTGCGACCTGAGGGTGTATCAGATACCGAACAATCACGATTGCCAGTTTCGAATAACAAGGAAAAAAAAATAAAGAAATTATCAGAAAAATCAATTTAATTAACTTACGGTTTTTTTTTTAAGTCCGTGGCAAGCACGTAAGGAATCGGAAAGTTTTCTCGGTTTGAGCGTCTTTGTTGAATTGTTATGTGTTGATATTTTCGCGTGGGTTTGCTTTACGCGTCACTTAACACAGATTAACGGATTTCGATATTCGATTGTTTGTCTGTGGCCATCGGAAAGCTTGTCGGCTACCATGTGATAAACATAAATCGATTTCCCCAACTTTCGTATACGTCTGCGTCTGCATCCTTTAGGACAAGGCTTTTATAAGGGACGAATAATGTTTCGCTAAAATCAGCTGGAAATTGCCTGCTGCGACTTATAATTTAATTATTAACTATTATTAAAATGGCATCAGTGTGACGGTTGACTTTTAACGGTAAAAAATGAAAACCGACAACACAGTTGCACTTCACTGAACAATGGATATCGCTAGAAAACAGCACAGAATGCGTTTGGGATGCTTAGCACTCGGCGAACGCTTATTACACTCAAACACGTTTTAAAAGTTAAGAATTGGGTTGACGTTTTCAAAGGTCTACAAAACTAGCATATGTGCAATAATAAAATTATTACGGTTGGTTGAACCTAACAACTGGAATATAACATTTCCACGGATGATCGATTTTTTTTGATTTTTTTTTTTAATTACAATATGCTAAAAGGAACCGTCTATTTGTGACACCTCTTTAATTCGACCTTTGGGAATGTCCATCTGCAAGAAGAAAGGAAACTTCTTGATCAGGGAGACCTCAACGTCCTTAAAAGCTTACTGAGATAGCTCGAAAAGGTCGAAACTTTTTGACCCATAAGTGCATCGACAGCAGCTTGGCTTAGAAAACTGTTATCAGATGGCAAGGGAAGGAACCGGGACCTTTTTTTTTAATCTCCAGAAAAGCCGCGAAGCACAATACATGAAGAATCTAAAGACAAAGCGTTGGTGTTACACCAAGCAACAGCTCGCGAGTGAAAAAAAAATAAAAGCAACGGAGAAAAAAAACTGCCCGTCTTTTTGAATTTTCTCATTCTATTTTGCGATGAAGATCAATGAGCCTTTGCAGAAAAGCTGTGGAAATAACGATGATTGATCTGTACAATTTGTTTTGTACATGACTAAAGTAATATTTGTCTTTCACATTTAGTAAATGCACAAATATTGTCCTTTTTACAACCATCTTTTTTACGAAGAAGTTGTAAAACACATACTTTAGTTAAATTTACCACCTTTTAGAAGCTGTAATTCGATTTCCGGAAATAAACGAAGTGGTCGAGATACATTCGGGAATCATCGGAAAATCTGACGCATTTAAATAAAGAATGCAGATACACAAGTCAGTATCATTTTAAATAAACACTCAAGACTTGAATCACTGTAGTTTAACAAGTAAGAAATTCGACTTCTTATCGTTTGTTATCTTTATTTCAAAATTATGTTTTTAAAAAGCGTCTAATCATTCAAATTCTGTACAAAATTAGTTATAAAATTTATTAGCCTCCATTGCACGTTAATAATCTGTATTTGACACCCGTTTTGAGTATAATTACCCATGAAAAATTTTAAATACACTCTGCACACACCTATGAAAATATAGTTTCTGTATTAAAATGGTCGAGAAAAGCTGACAACACACTGAATTTTTTTCACATGATATGGATTGTCACGCCAATATCATGATTATTCAAGAATATAGAGATTGAGATACTGAAACACAAGGCACACTGCATCAACAACAAATGTACAGCGACCCCACGTCTTATATCAAAAGCCAAGCCTTTAACTTGCTGAATGCCAAATGAACGATGTCTTGGTGGTGAAAAAGTAGCGTCCCTTGAAGAGGAAAGGTGCTGTTGATCCAGTAGTGTCCACAAAATCATTCAGACATTCTTTCCCTCAAAAGGTACAGTTTTGAGTGATTCCAATCTCTCTGGGTGTCCTTGACATTGTGAAGGCTGGGGCACAGCGCTTAGAACTTGTGCGATACACATGAGGATTGTATGACCCAGGACCTGGAACAGGCTCTGGTGAAGAAAAATTATACCAAAGCAAGGTACACATAAACTCTTTGGTCCAAGATTATTCAAAACAAAAACAAATACTGCAACACAAGTACAGTAAACAAAGCTTTCAACAGACCATTGATTAAACCTCCAAGTCAGTGAGTCAATCAGTCAGCCAACTGGTCTGCTGGTTATTCAGTCAATCATTCGGTTTGTCATTCTGTTCTACTAACAGTCGATTCTTGGTTAGGTTAGTCAGACAGCCAGTCAGCAAACTAGCCACCCGATTGATTGGTCAGTCAATCAGTTGGTCAGTAAACCAGTCATGTAGCCAGTCACTTGGTGTGGAAGGCAGTCAGTTGGTCAGTCAGGTCAAATGATAACATACATATATTTTATTCATTTGACAAAGCAGCTAAGGGGATCAAAAGAAAAATAAAAATGAACCGACCTCTTGCCATCCAAAACACTGTTCCACCTCGTCTACCTTGCTGAATTGAATAGGATGGCGATTTATTCAACAACTTCTCCTTTGCTTTGTTGTGGTTGTACTGGTTTGGGGCTGGTTCATCTTCTGAACCTGTTCAGCAAAGGTGTCAAACTTATTAACCCTTGAACTCCTAAGATCTGATTATTAATTCTCCCCTTTAGCTGCTACACATTTCCTTGTAAATTGGTTATGAGAATTTGGTGTTTCATCAAGATAATATCTTGTACCTGATAAGTTTGAGTATTCTCACTACCTGTTTGCTAGATAATGTATGGATACTCTTGGGAGAATCTACATGTTGATCACTTCTGGGAGTTAAAGGGCTTGTGAGTCAAACCTTGTTTATCCAGCAAGTGGTTTTTCACAGATGTTTCATACCCTTACAAGAGCTTACAAGTAAGTTAATGTAGAACCTGCAAAAGGTTTTTCCTTGCCACAACACACAATGTAAGGTTCTTTTATTTTAGAGTCACTTTCCAAAAATGAAGATGGAGAATTGAAAATTGAGGTCTGATATATCCACTTACATCTTAATACAGAGAGTATATGCATGAACTTGGAACCAATGAAAGTCCCTCTTGCAATTAGCATCAGATGCACATGCACAAAGTATGAGATCTCACCTTTCTTGGATATAGAGAATTCCCTTCTTTTTCCAAATGTATGTGAAGGTGACTGGGATAGAACAAACTGTGGACTTCCCACAGTATTTCTAGAGGTGTAATGAGCAGGAGATGGCCAGGTATACTGTTATGGATCCAAAAAAAAAAAAAAAAATTCACCACCAATTCAAATTTAACTGATCATTTAACTCTTCCAGCATAGCTAGTGTCCTTAAACCATTAAATTGTTTTTAAGTGTATGTCTGAGTAACATAAAAAGTGCTTTACTTGCTTACTCTCCAAACTTCATGAAAATGAAATTTTGATTTCCATGACCATTAATTTGGCATTTTTACCATTGCAATTTTTCTTGAGTAATGTCATGTCCTGCAGATTTATGGTCCCCTGAATAATTAGCTATTTAAAATACTTTATACAGTAAATTAAACTTATAGGCCTTGGTCTCTGCTAGGATATCATGTTTTGACCCATATACAGTACCACCTGCATAATTATATGTTAAACAAAAAACGCGAATAGAACTTACAAAAAAGTGCATGCAATTGCAAATAAAAAATAGTGCGCATCAAAAAATCGCATGTGCGAGCATAAGCTTGAGAAATCTGCCTCATTAGTATGTATGAGGTAGTCCTTCTGTTTTTCTTTTGTTGGCAGTTTATTGTTTTATAGAATAGGTTTCAGTGTAATAGCACTAAAAAAATTCATAAAGGCTCCAACAACAAGTAAACTTGTTTGTTTCAATAACTGTTTGAACCAACCTTCCTGATATGCTGTTACCAATGTGACTTCCTAATCCAAATATATGAATTTTCGAATGGAATTATTTTCTCAAAATAGCTATTTCTCACTTAGCATAAAAAAATCTGGCATAATGGATTGGGAATCTGTTCAAAATAAATTTATTCTCAGTGTGTCATAATTCAGTAAAATCAGCTAAGGCGCCCGTTTGTAACCAGTTTTTCCGTTGTACATGTACTATCCTGATTCTTACCCTGCTATCAAAGTTTGCTCTAAATGTCCAGATATCTGGACTGGCAATCCACTGTTTGCTCCAAGCTACTCTGTCACCTCCTCTATCTGCACAAATGGAGCAAAACAAAAATAATTGCCAAAATTTAATCACAGTCATTCACATGTGGCAGCCCTTGAGAAGTGTACAAAAACTGAACGGTTATTTATACCTCTCTCTGGCTGTGTTTTGGGTCTCATCGTATAACATGGTGATGAAGTTTCCCATGGTAGACTTATAGGTGGGTCATAACTTGTAGGCTTAGGACCTGTCAGATCCAGTTGCAGTGGAGGACGAGACTGCAAGCATTCCTCAAGACCTGGTATGAAGCCAAAATCAACTCTAGTCAGATAAAGAAACATTTTTCCAAACACAGATAAGATGCTAACCTCTGCAAATGTCAAATGAGAGACATTTTACTTCAGATTAGTTTCCCACCCTCTACCCACTCAAATTTGTTTGACAAGGTGAGGTTGCTATATCTGAAGAAAAAGAATTACAACAAACAACAAAAATAAAGCCATTCCGTAACAGGAAATCGAATTTTTTTAATGAAGAAAGTATTAACTTGATTTCCCTAATTTTTTGGTAGATATATGAGTACAATGCGATGCAAGAAGTTTTATTAACAATATTGCAACCAATAGATTTTTTCTGTACCTAAGGCTCTCCAGTAATCTGAGCATCTAAATTTGTATCTTATAATTGTTCATAAAAACCCTAGAGATGTTTTTCATCTATCTGAATGAACAAAAAATTACATTCAAAGATCTGTTTATCCAATGTAGTGTTGGAATCCAAAATAAACAAACAAATAAACAAACAATAACAATTTATCATAGGTTCAAAGTACTCTAAGGAAAGCAATTTCAATGATTAATTTAAAATATCTGACTAAGGGAAGTAAAATAAAAGAGATTAAAACAAACAAACAAGGAATAATTTATGTAAGATTCATTACATGCATCTTGAAAAAAGTTGTATTAATGAATAATTCTCAAAAATTAGTGTCATTACTAAAATACTGTCATGGTTTCATCTCACTCTTACTTGCAAAAGTTTCGTCTTCCTTTTCCTCAGTCAACACACTCGGAGCATTCTTGGAGTGATCTCTTCTACAAAGAATCAATTTAGACAGTGTTCAAATTCGTTGAAACGCAGCCAAAGTTTCGCGATCGAAGATTAAACACAATACAACAAGACAACCGTATAACTCACCTTCCAACTAAGCTTACTGTGGCTAATTTGACGGGAACCTTGGGTCGATATGACTGCGTTATTGTGCTAACTGGCGGTGGAATTGTCGGCAACGCTGGAATGTGAGTTTTAGACTTCAGAGGAGATGGCGCAAAAGTGTAAGTAAGTTTGCCCACCGCCGACTGTGCAGCTTTCGGCAACGGATTAAAAGAAGGCATTAGGTATTCTCTCCAGTCCACATCACTCCTGGCTTAGGAAGAGAGGTACCTTGACAAAAATGGTCGAAACTCGCTTCTTGGCCGACAAATGAACATCAACCATGTACTCGATGCAACTATCAACAAGGTGTTGAAGCGTCTCCAAGGGAAGTCACGTGACATTCGTAAGCGCTGGAATGCACTGAAGTGTTTTGGGATTAACGGATCGAAACGAGTGGACACCCACCGGAAGGGAGATGGCGAAAAATGATAAGTTTAATTTAGGTTTATGGGATGGTGCTCCCGAATTTATACGCTGCAAAAGCTTTAATGCGAATGCCTTGTGCTTTTTCCTTCAGACGCATAACGAGTGATAAGAAAATGAAAGCAAAGCACGCAGACAAAAAGAGAGGGCGTGTGGCCCCGTTTTTCAATTCAGTCTGACTGAATCGAGTCCGAAAAAATCATGACTCTTGTAATATCACAGATGACAAGGTTGCAATTTTCGGTATATTACAAGAGAGGCAGTGGGTTATCACATGATCCAGTACGTGCTTCGGATAAGTTAAATAACAACATCGCCGCAGCAAACAGGTCTTGAAAATCATACCCTACGGGTGATATTTTAAGAGTAATAGCATTGGTTGGCGTCATGGATAACTGAAATCTTTCAATAGAATTTGCAAATTGACAGTTATTAGAAGATTCCTCAAGCGTGTCCCAGGTTGACGCCATGAGTTTGTTTGTCTCGTCGAAAAGAGAAAAAAACTTTTTCTTCTCAATCAGACATTGGGCTCGCCAATAGCTGGGGGTCATTTGTATCCGTAACATAAGAAATCGCATACCGTCAAAGAAATTTTAATAACAAATGATAGTGCAGAAATTACTGAGCAACTACATATGTTGATGTCCTCAGACTTCGGGGGCTAATATTTGTTCAAATTGCTATTAAGATAACGGGACTGAACGACATGCGTTACAATGCAAATCAAAAGGGCGCAAACATTGATTAACAATTGATACGTGATATGCACGCACTAGATCCGTTGTTTTCTAATCCATAACTGCGTTGTCCCTGATGTTTCTTCTTAGTGTGCTAAGGTCTGTTATCCTACTAAACCTCCTGTAAGCTTTTTTAGAAGCAACACACATCGCTACACGACGTCTGTTTTCAGTTGATAGAGCAAAGAATTTTATGCTTCATGCACAAATATTAAATCAGAACCTAATAATGAGATAGCTTCAGCATAAAGGTATCTTCTAACCGTTTGTTTAAAATGTACTTTTTTTGTTTCCTTTCCTTATTCTGGCGTAATAGATGCACTCATTTAAAGCTGCTTACACGTTCGTTTACTGATTAATGCATATCTCTTGGTACGCACTTTTTTACGGTCCACTTGCCTTACAAATTTAGCTTACTTAGGTTAGATTCAAGATTTTGTGTAACTCAGGCAGGTCTGGATTTCGAATTAAATCTACGGACGATTCCTTTTAAAATGCTCAGAAATACAGCGCTATGCGGTTCTGGCAAGTGGCTTTGGCGCCGGAGAACTGACCGTTAAACTGAAACACCCATACCATTTTATGTTGAAGTTAAGGCCGCCCATGCTTCTAATTAAAAACATCTAACGGGTTAACCAAATATTAGCGATCACAGTCTTTGGAAATCAAAGTATAAATAACAAAGTATCCTTACCGCAAAGCGTCAAACCAACTTCTCTAAATATCGGCCAGTGATGAAAAGGAGCGAACCGGCTGAGATTGTGTCAAGCTGTCAGCTAATGTACCTGTGAACGCCAATATTTTAAGTCAACCGTGACAATAAGACAGTGTAAGTACTACACTTATATTCATGCATATGGATTTTTAATGTTTTACGATGCAAAACAACGTTGTAAAAAACTTTTGAAGCATGAAGGATTGATGAAATCTTTAAGCTATATATAGGCCAGCACATTCAAAGGGTGTTTGTTGTGTGCTTAGTCACCGTGAAGAGCATCTTGTTTTTCTTCTTCTTCCTCTCCAATTCAGCTGATAAGAATGTTCACTTTCACCATATGACTTGCATTCAAGAAACATTTATACAGATTGTTTTATCCTCGAGATTTTGTAAATCTTTAGTTGTTATACTAATCTATCTATTGGCTGGATTACCGATGCATGTCGGTTTTAAAATCACATGCAATAGATTTTTAGTTTTAGATACGAGACAAATTCCCTTTCTTTAGTGACCAATGAGCGCTGATCCGCAGGCAAAATATTGTTTTCAACAGAGCGTGTATTCCACATTCAAATTTAGTCTGTCCGATTTGCGACTGAACAAGTAATATGTACTATAATATCACAGATAGCAGGAATAATAGATGTTCGATATTATTTTTAAATTGATAGTTATTAGAAGTTCTCTCCCGTACACAAATTAAAAAATTAGCCATCCATGTGGCCTTGAATATCGAAGGAATTTGGTTCTTTAATTTGACCGCTGTGCTGAAGGAAAATTGGGCTTGGGTGTGGCTGGAGAACCTTAAGTCCAAAAAGGGGTACAGGTTATAAACAGCAAATATGATATAAAAATTTTTCTCAACGGCAACTGCTAAATAAATATCAATGAATAAATGTTAAAAGAAGAAATAAAGAAATGAACGAATAACTAAATTCAATGTATTCCCGTCACTTTCCCAGTTTTGAGACATCATTTCTGGCTTTCGAAACAATTTCTTACTTCAACAGGATAGCTGTTGTTAGGGTGCTTTTTTTCTTGGTTCCACCCTGTCTCCACACAGTCTTTGCCATCAACCAAATAAAAGCGACCAAAAGAATATGTTAAATTCACATGAAGTGACCCTACCGTGGTTTCCGTGATTTCCATTTGTGCTCACCGGGTGTGCTCACCGACATATTATAGCTGAAAGATCTGGTTATAAGGTTGCCAAATCACCTTGCGAGCTGTTTCAAGGCTTCGAAACAACTATGTAGCTATGGCGGAGGAAAATACATTAAAAGTTCGCCTAAAACGATTTCTTCGAGATGTTCGATAGGAGCTTAACAAGATTGTACATCGTGGCTCATGGCAGGCGCTGACAAAAGAATTCAGCGTCGATCTTTACACCGCGGTTTGAAAGCCGAAGCACTTAATTCCATCCCAAATCTCGTTGATAGCAGTTATGAAGAGTTTCAGGAAGATGTGAGAGTGCGAATGGAAATTTTGAAGAAGATGAAAACAGGAGCTAATCAGTCATTCAAAGGGAAGAGCAAAGTTGGATTTCACAGCTTTTACGGTATACATAGTTTTACGCCATAATGCATTCTCTTTATGAGTTACAGCTGACAGGGAAGTTTTGACTCAATCACTGCAAAGATTTTGTGGTTGGACGTTCGAAAACTATGTACAAAAGAAAAGGAACGAGCAGTAGAATAACAAAACTACAGCGCAAGGATAAACCAACGTTCCGCTGAAAATACCAAGAATAATAATTACCTACGCCTACCGAAAAAACACACACATACACACACACCCAAACTAATAACAATGAATACGAATGTTCCAGAAGCACAAACACAAAAACGCAAATAAGAAGACACGGCACAATTTTCCGCAACAAGTAGGGAAAGTAGCCCCCGGTGTTGTTGAAATGCCCGAAATGCGGGCATTAATTTCTTTTAAAGAGTTTGTAAACTTCTAAATGCAATCTGGTCAAGATCCCCCGCAAAGTGTTGTAAAGCGCATTAGCGTATAGCAGTTTGGATGATGCGCTATGTAAATTCGACACTCAGTTCAATTACCACTTTATTACAACCATTTTGAAATCGCAAAGTTCAGTCGCTCAGGCATAGGATTTTTTAGTCTGTCTAAATATTTTATTGATCCAGTAGTGAGCTGGTCTGTAGAAAGTTGCAAAAGTTGTTTTTTCATTTTCCTACAGTTTGATTGGTTTCTACAAACAAGCCTTGAAATCTGATTGTTTGTTGTATTTTAGTGGGGCTTCCTCGTTGGCTGGGAAAAAGATGCAATTTAGTGCAAAAAGTGGTGCGATTCGCAATGAAAGCCATGGATCACCACTGATTTCAAAATGGATGTAACAAAAACAAAAATAAATATAAATCAGTTGGATCCAAAATATATTTTGTCTTGGTTTATGATAAGCATTTCTAAACCTCATTACTCTACGAATCAACATTGAACACGATGAGATAAATATTGGTATATGGGCTATATTGAAATTTTAAACCATCTCCACTCCAATTATTTCCCACACTATTCCCGTCATGTTTTTCTGTTCGTTATTCTTGTATTATTTTACTTGCTTATCTAACTTTCTTGGCAATAGGCGCCAAGATTATTGTACCTTACTCGGATTCACCAACCGCTACAATTGAATGTAATCTTACTTTCCCTTTTCTAGGTTTTGGCTTGTTGGTCAGCGACGTCCGGACGGTCTGTATGACATCGTGTTTGCCCACATTGCCCGAAAAGAAGAATTTGATCTCTTTCTTAGCCTGACAAAAGTTATGAAGGGCTCGGCTTATGCGATGGCCGCAGCTCCACCCATAATTTTAGATCTAGTGGGTCGACTTTCCCAGCGGGCGTGCGAGTACGTACATGATGGTATATTTCGAGAGGATGAGGATAAAAACCACTCACCACCAGCATCAACTAGTCTCCCAGCCAATGAAACGCGAACAAGTCCTTACACTGACCTCACTCAGAACCTGGGAGACCGCCTGACTGATTACGAAATGGTAGAGGATCTTATTGAGAGAGGAATGCTGGCAGAGAACGAGGATGGGACACTGTATATATAACTCAAGTGAGAAAGTTAAAGGGGAAGGCAGTGACTATAGCATTGTTGTATTTAACTCAATATTGCACACCAAACCAAAGACATGATCAATTTAATTTATTATGCAATTAAAGCTTAGTTGGTGTAAGTGGTGCCTAGTTATTGTAGGCGACAACTTATTCGCAGCTGTTTGCTATAATCATCAACGTATCAGTAAAGCGGCAAAAGCTTTTGTCGCCTCGTTTGTTTTCTCCAATACAATCGGATTTTATTTGTTACAGGGTAGATTTGCAGACTTCTCTTAATAAAACTTGTGTTAAAATGGTACTGATTGTGTGACATGGATTTTTATTGACAAAATGCACAAAATTTGATAAGCTCTAAGAGAGCTTGAAAGCTTTCTCCACTTATCACCTAAGTTGATGTTAACCTGCTCCTTATGGTATGACAAAAACTGCATAAACAGCATTTAGACGTTGCGCCTTTTCGCACACGTGAAGAAAAATGCCCTTTTGTTTCAAGATTTGACAAGCTTCTTCATCAAAGTTCGTGGCAGTGTCTGACCAAAGAGCTGAGCGTTAACATTTTTACTGGTCTTACAGCGCTTGGACTTGACGGTAATACTAATCCCACCGGTCGATCGCAGTTATCCAGAATAAAAGAGAGACATACAAAACATCTGATAATCATGAAGAATGCCTCGCGAGGCAAAACCCTGAGTTTTATAGGCAAGAGAAAAGATGGCTT